TTCACCATGTTGATTGCTACAACCCAGGCAACTAAACACTTCCTAGCTTGGCGAATCGAACGGCCAAGTCTCACTTCCTGAGTCGCCTGGCCCAAAACAAAAGCTTGCACTAAAAAACAACATAGCACTAAACCGGGGTCTTTCCAACAAGTTGAAAGTCCACGGGAGTGAGATATGTAGGGCTCAGGCAAAAACCCACCCAATCGCGCGACACCCGGCGAACCCGGCTTCCCTTCAGCCCCAGACCTTGGGGCTCTACTCACACCTGGGACCCCCCAAATGATCTTCATTGCTAGTTCCCTTTGAAGGCACACCCAGAGGAAAAGGACCAAGGAAACCCACTCCTTTGGAGGGTAACCCCTACTGTGCGTGGACAATTTGTTGTATCATCTAAGACACCCGGGAATGATGAACCACGGTTTCACAGTGGCGCGAAATGGATTTCACAACCATCCACATGACCATATGTGTGTGTGTGTGTGTCGTTGTTTTTTAGGACGGTTGGAACTCATCCGCGGTTTTTTGATACACGCCTGAGCTCCCCAGCCTTTCAACGATGTAATTCCCAGAGGTGGAGACTATGAAGAGGCTGTCGATCATCACCTGGGTCTCCAGATCGTCACTCTGCCCAAGCTGCAACGGTGACTTCCATTTGAGTCACAATCAAAACTCGGTATTCGAATGGTCTACCCAGAACCATGTAAAGAATTTAGAAGGCGGATATCCACAGGTATTTCTGGTTGGGATCGTCTCTTACTAACCTTCATCTGCCCGGGTTTTGATTGTGACTCATTTGCTTTTGCGTTTCCTGGGAAAAAATGTTCAGTAGTGATAGATTCCCTTTAAAACCAACAGGGGACAATACAACCTATTTTTAAGCAAATGGAAGGTGAGGTGGATGCCTCAATTGCAAGTGGATGCCATCAGCTTTCAAGTAAGAGCCCATTTTTATGGGTAGCCTGGTTAGCAAGCCTGGTTACCTACTCAGGAGACTTGTGAAACCATGGCTTTTGTGAGTTATTACCGGGCTTACTAACCACTTGCCTGCGAATTATCGCAAGTCAACCGCAAGTGAACCTACCCCACACATTGCAAGAAAGTGGAAACAACTTGCACATTAGCCCTACAACATTGCAAGTAAACCTACTCAACCACGAAACCGTATCTTGCTTGCCATGAGTTGGCCACTGGCAAGTTGGTGTCCTGAAACCAAAGAGTTTCAAGGCTCGGGTTTTCATCGTGGCTCTGTGGTCAGGTGGCGGTTGAAGGACTCTGGATCCACCCCCTTCTTTCATATTTCGTCTACCCCGAACTGAAAAAGATCAGGCTTCATATCCTGAAACATGAACCACGGTGTTATTGCTCGTTCTGTTCTAATCTTGGCCCACGTGTGTCGGACTAGATTTCATAGTTAGTCTACCCTGAACAAAACATAGCCTACAGCAGTTTTGAAGGAGACCTCAGTTGTTCGTGGGACTGGCAAATCGGGTGGGGGGCGGGGCAGACTTTTGGACTGCATTCGCGATTCTTGGAAGGTTCCTAAATCAAAGCGAGCTGTACAATGGTTTGGCCTCACCAGCATGAGATGATTGAGCTTCCCTCAATTGGTAGTTTGGACCGGTGGTTTGATCTTCCAAAAGGGTTTCCCATTTACCCTCCACAAGAACCATGGCTTCAAATCCAAATTCAAACCAAACCAACCTGACGGGTGACCTGAAGATTGACACCTAGCCAAGATCGAAACTCTCCGAACCCGAAGGCACCGATACATTGGGGGGGGGGGGTCAAAATCAAAGGAATTGGACCGCAGGTCTTAGTCCAATTGTTTCCATTTACCTGGCTTGCATGTTGGGTATCTATGTTCGACTCACTGCCATAATTTTGCCACCTCAAACAGGGAGGGCACATGCGTAAATCCCCTCTCAAAACTCCCAATATTCGGGGGCATGGCCGAATTGCTGGCCCAAGGCAGCAAACCAGAAACTGCGCTGGTGGTATGCCCAACAGCCCCGGAACCGCTTGAACCCTCTGGAAGCGTCCCTGAAAGCTGCCCCAAACCACCCCAGAGCCTGTCTGGGCAAAGACTCCTTAGCTTTCAGCTATTGGGGAAAAACAAGGCTATTTTGTTTGTTGCAGGGTACCCCCCTTTTTCCCTTTTCTGTGGATTCGAAGAAAAACAAAAAAGAACACCATTTTGGGGGGTCCAGTCCAACCTTAAAAAAAGAAGCAATACACCAGCATAGACCCCAGATAGCAGTGCTTGCACACCAGCACCTCCAAAAGCACCCCCGCGAAGAACGCCCCAAGCAAAACCCGGCCGTCAATCGAGCAAAAATGCGCCCGCACCATCACCCTGAAGAGCACCCCCAAACAGAATCCCAAACCACCACCTAAGCTGCATGCCCCCTTGCACCCTACCGTCGAGATGCAAACAAGCGCCTGCACCGTCACCTGCATGCCCGATGCGCCCCACAAAGCACCTCAAACAGCTCCCCACAAACTGTGTCCCACAGCACCATCAGCAGCACCCCAAACTGCACTCCCCCCTGCTTCCTACCGTCAAGATGCAAAAATGCGCGCACCAACACAGCACCTGTACAAGCAGCCCAAACTGCATGCCCCCTAGCACCCTACCGTCAATCTTGAAAAGATGCGCCCGCACTGCCATCAGCACCTCAAACAGCACCCCACTCAGCACCCCAATCAGCACCTACACCAGCACCCCAAACCGCACGCCCCCTAGCACCCGCCCATCAATCTCGCAAATCACTTTCCCCTCTTTATTAGAAGTTAGAACCCCTATAGCTTTTAGCTATCTGGAGAAATACACACCCACATCACAAAAAAACGCCAGCTGGTGAAAACCGCCACATCGTCCTTCAATGCCAGAGGCCTCTGGCTCATTCTCCGGATGGTCACCAAGAGTCACGATCAAAACCAATCGGTATCAAAATGGTCTACCCAAACCCAATGCAAAGCTCTACAAAGGCGGCCACACCTAAGTCTGGTTGGGACTGTTCCTTACCAACCTGTACTCCCATGCAGTTGAAACCCTGGGCGCTTGGTAACTAATTACAGGGGAACCATCATTCCATGGTTTCTTAGGTGGTGCGAAATGGATTTCTGGTCGAACCCAGAGAGTCGCTTGTGATGTACAAACTGACCCAGTTTGACCCGCACAAATCCTTAGAAGGTACCAAGGGGCCCTCTGTGCAATGTTGACCCCCAATTCATAAACCGGTCTTATTCATAGGGTGTAGTGCCCCTCCAAAAGTGGTCTGAACCACCACTAGAAGGGGACACCCCCAGCTCTCAAAATCAACCAAGGCTCGAAGATCCGGGATTCCCATTAGAATCAGATCCAAGTACCTACGTCATGGCTAGTCCCTCACTTTAATCCAATGGGTCAGCTCGCCATAAGCAGATTCAAACCTGTCACCTGAGTCTCCACTCTCTCACCGAGTACTCCGCTCCGCATGGAAGAAGCGCCAAATCCCGGCACCAGTGGGTTTGTAATGTAACTTGGCTGCGACATCACGTCCAAAGCTGTGCGTTGTACTCGGTGTAAGTAAGGATTTGGATATTCCGGGCAATCACAAGCATAACATAGATGGCGAAAGCTATGTAGAAGATGTGAAGGAGTTGGGCTGGCTCTCTTGCTAGTTTCTTGAGCAAAATGCGCCGGCGCTTGGCTGATGCCATCTAATCACAATCAAAACCGATCGGTATTCAAACGGTCTACCCAAATCTATGGGAGATTCAAAGGCCGCACCTAGTCATGGCTGGGACTGCCCCATGCGAACCTTCATCTAGACCAGAAAGGAATGGCTAGGTGCTTCAGTGAGGTTAGAATAAGGGTACCAACTTTGTGTCTGTAGTGTATTATTAGTAAGAGAACCCTCCCTCAAAAAAAGAAACGGGTGAGAAGGGCACTACCGGGGGACCTATGTACAAGGCTTCCGGAAAGGCTGCGTCGCATCGGGGCCTGGTCGCAGCGGTTTCCCGTTCCGCCGTTTCCCGTTCCACACCCCGGTGTCAGCTTTTCTATTCGGGGTGTCAAAAGGACCTACATCAGGACAGGGGTGTATTCCCCCTTGGAATGAACAAACAGGCAGTGTGGCTCCTCTGACTTTCTACTTGCTTCATGCTTGGGTTCGATTTGCCAAGTTAGTAAGCACCTGTGCTATAACATGCTAGGGGGTCTCTTTGTTGTAGCTTAGGTTACAATCACAACTGACTAACTTGGCGAATTGAACGTCCAAGTAGGGCATCAACGCCCTCAAGTCCTCCACCAAAGGACCCAGAAAAAAAAGGCTATCCTTTTGGAACCTCGACTAAACATCAACCGACTCGGTGAACCAAAAGGTCAAAGGTCGGCTTTTGACATCTGACCAGGGTAACTAACACTGTGCAAAGCGGAAACCAGTTCCCGGTAGAGTTGGTAGGTAACCAGCCAGTGTCCAAATAGTTTTATATAAAGGCTGGCTCTCTTGGTTCCCTACTATATAGGTAAACATGGAATCACTGGGTAAACCACGCGGAAGCCAAACGATCGACAGGATCGCGCTGTGCAAGGGCCTGGCCCAGAAAATCTGCTCTTTGCCCGGCTCGCGACTCACGTGGCATCTTTGGCCCAACGGCCCGAGCATCGGCTCCGGCCCCCTGGGCGTTTCGTGTGTCAATGCCCTGGGCTGATCCTTCCAGCCCCTGCCAGCCTCCACTCACAAGGCTTGCCCTCGCCGGGACCCGAACCCAACGAGCGTGGGAATTTGTGCCTGACTCCTGAAGACGACCCCCTCAAAAGCGATTTGCCATCCACATTGTGCAAGCGGCAGGGCGAAGCGGCGTTTCTCACGGTGAGAGCTTTTCAGACACGTCGATCGTCCGAGAAAGTCCGCGTGCTCAGTGGATTCCCGATGCTTGCAAACAAGAGCAGCTGACCACAAAATTCCCAAACACGTCGCGTAGTGAGATACCGGGTTTCTTTTCTGGAAGCATGCTCCACCCCAAAAGCAGTGCATCCACCGAGCAAACTATCGGCCCATCCCGGGATCCAAGCTGCCTCCGCCTCATTGTAGCTCACAACACTGGGACTTCTTCTTCCCAGCGACGGCCTGCATTCAAAAGCTCCAAACATGAGATGGCCAATGGTTGGGAAACGGAACATATTTGATACGTCGACCGAAATGGAAAACATATCCATGGTCATTTGGCGGAAGGGACTATTGATCAAACAGTGTGATGGGCCTTGCCTTTCTTTATTTCTTGTGTACTTCTGACTCCAGGTTCTCTGGGCGATTTGTTCATTTGCTAAATTCGAAACAAGGAACTTAAGGGGGTCACAGACACACAAACACACAGACACGCAGACACACAGACACGCAAACACACACACACAGATTTCTGGGTGATTCTCATAATTCTGGGTGAATTTCTCAGAATCCCGGGTGCTGATAGAGTTTGGGGCATGTTGACCCCGGACATCAACTCGGTCGGGGTATGGAGAACCGGGCACGGGTCCTGGGTTCTGCATACCAAGCCGCGATTGGACCCTTGGGCCCTTGGGGGAGTCACTATTTTGAAGTAAGGAAGCGCAACACAAACCCCCCCCCCCCCGTGAATTTGCGACTTCAAGGGGCGTTGTACGTCAGGTAAGTGCTTAGTAAGCCTAAATATACCCGCTGAACGGAGACTTGTAACCATGGCCTTGTTGGGTTATAACCGACTTACTAAACGCTTGCTTACGCCCCTTTAAGTACTGGTACAATTTGGCCCATTGCTTTGGTCCTCATGAAATCCATCCAACCTCAATATGTGCAAAACAGCAGGTGTGCCAAGATCAAAGCTCTTTATTCGCATGTGGGTCAGCCCAAAGCCTCTACATTTGTAAGCGTAGGTGACCTTTTGGAAAAATAGGCGGCCCTGGTAAATGGAATAAAATCAATCTAAACCGGTGAATTTCTAACCAAACAAACCTAAAAGAAGACCTATCTTAGTAAGAAGCTGATGCCCATGCCTACTTGCCAAATAAAGGAACACGATCTTCTGAACATAGCGCATGTGCAATGCTCACCATTCATCCTAGGGTTCACCCTTCAAGGGGGCCCAATTTAGATTACGACAATCCGCTCGAACGGCAAACAATGGTGGTGCAATACGAACCCAACCATTGAATTTGAATGTTGGCCCTGGTTGATTTGGGGGGTGTCCCAATTTCGGTGGTGACATATGAACCCTCTTTTTTTTAAGCGGCCTGAATCAGTACCTCTCTCGCGTGCTTTTTGGATCGACTTGGTACACACTGAGCGGCCAAAATGATGCAGGTACCAAGAGGGCATGGAAACTGAAGTCCCTGGATTCTGCGGAACATTCAGTGAAGCCCCCTAAATAAACCATAGACCAGCGTATTGATAGCCACACCTAAAAAAATCAACTTAGGTGCTTCCCACCAACTCATGATCAGCGCCTCTTGACGAAAACCTTACTTCTGGGAGAAGCACATTTATCACCACAAGTTGCACGCCCAAGAGAGGATGCGGTGCCCTGTCCACCAATTCGACGGTGCTTCTCAACATGAGTGACTCGATCCCAAACATGTGCGCCTTCCGGTTGAAGTTTGACACCCCCCCCAAAAAAAATCCCCCCATTCTGAGACATGGGTGCGTGTGGTTCTGAGAAGACCCTTTTCAGGGTTAGGGAAACCAAAGGGATGCCTGCTCAAAATGACACAGACTCACTATGGACCCCCATCGGCAACGAGTTGGAGTCCCATGTTCAAAACAAAACAGCTTCTACAGCCCAACGTTGGGTGACAAGGTGAATGAGTTCAAAAAAAATAGGTTCTGGGATGCCATGATTGGAGTTAGGCCCAGTTGTAGAATGTATATCTTGTGGTTTGCTCCACTTTGAGTCTCTGGTGAAATCGAAAGTGTATCCTTAGTCTACCCCAGTCGTCAATCCTGAGTCAATATCATAACCTCTACTTTTTATTCTTGTTCTTTTTTTTTCCGGAGTGTGCCCAAGACCTGTTTTTTGTTGTTTCTCGAAGAGGCGGCTTGCTACACCTCAGGTGCTACACACATTGACATGGGTATCCCTGCTCTGCATATCTTTGGCTTGGATCAGGTTTGTGGGAAATGGAATCCACTTCTGTGTGATTCAACAAAAAGGGTTTCCCAAAGACATGTTCCCCCCATAACGCCCATAAGCGGAGATTCCAATCAACTTCCGATCGTCTTTCCGCCTTCAGACCCTCGACGCGAGCTCGCAGCTCCTTGCAGCGCTGGATAAGAGATATGTGCTGGGTATGGTGGGCGCTTCTTTGTGACGTGGGGGCGTCTTTTTTCGTTTTTTGAGGTTTTCTCTGTAGGTTTTTCAGGTTTCTTTGTTCAGTCAATTTTCATGTGGGTGTGTCATTGTGATGTGGGTGTGTCTCCCCAAAAATGGCGGTTTTCTTTTGGGTTTCTCGTTAAGACCACAGAAAAGGGGGCCGAAAGCTCAGGTTCTGGGGTGGTTTGGGCCAGCTTTCAGGGAGGGTGCCGGACAGTTCCAGCAGGTTTCCGAGCTGTTAGGGATGCCACCTGGGCATATTTTCAAAAACAACATGGGGGTGAAGTGTTGCCCAAAAAGGAAGCCTGGTATCTCTGGCATAGGTGTCCTTTTGGTAAAATAATGGCCCTGGGAAATGAAATAAGGCCCATCCAAACCAGCGATCCAATCCAAACCAATCTACAAAGCAGACCTGCTTAAAGGGGCATTGTACTCAGTAAGGGGTTAGTAAGCCTGCTTGTAACCCCCGAAAGCGATGGTTACAAGTCTCCGTTTACTGGGTTATAACCAGGCTTGCCAACCACTTATTAAGTACCCGATCACCCAGTTAAGTAGATGTAGCGAAAAGCCTACACCTGGAGTCTCCATGACCCTTGAAAGATGGGGTCACTACCCAAAATTGTGGGGTCATTGACCCAAATTGTTTGGGGTCATTGGCCCATTGTTAAAGGGTCATGGAGACTCCAGGCAAAAACGAAACAAACAAAAACAAAAAACACAAACACCAAACAGCGAAGATGAAACCACCCGCCTCTCTTTCCCACATCGCTTCCCGGCGCTGAAGTATCGCGGACTGGACGAACAACTTCGAGCGAGAGGGAGACGACCGCGGCCAGTCGTCTCAAAAACAACGAGGGCGCAAGTACCTTGAGTCTGTATGGGGCCAAACAAGAGGTCAACAAGGTATTTGGACCCTTGTGTAGACAATCGCCAGAAATTGGTCCTAAAACCGACGAGACAAGTAGGAGGCGGAATAAAAGAAGGTACTCAGTACATCCTCACAAGAATTATTTGGACCCTTAGCGATGGTTGTAGACAATCACTGTGATACAGACGTAGGATTTATTTACTATGACCACTTCATGTATTGCTTTAAAGGGGGGGCCTGTTACGACAGTGTCAGAAATCCTCCTCTCTTACCTCAGGAACTGCCCTCCCAACCAGTTTGGTATCACAGGAAGGTGAGGAACATTGCCCCCCCCCCAAAGGGCTGCTTGGCACTCAAAGGGGCGAACGGGTACGAACCACTTTCGTGTGGTTCTCTAAATAAACTTGCAGATTTGAGTTGAATCTGCATTTGACGAGCCACCCCAACCTGGGCTAGTCCCCTTTCTGATCCTCTGCCAAAAGTCGAACACTTTTAGTAGGTGAAGTGGAAACCACTAAACTCTAAAAGCCTAAAAACCTAAGGAACTTAATGGCTGGGAATCACCAAGAACCCCCAAACCTGTGGTTCCGGGGGTGGGATATGTCCGATATGTCCATGATCTTCCAAGCCTAAAAAGTGTTTCTCAAAGCGGTCCCTTCAATTTGCTGGCTTCCCTTGTCCCCTTCAACAAACAAGTGTTTCTCAAAAAACACATGTGTGTCCCTTTTCCCTTTCAACAAACAAATACCAACGAACAATGGTTTCCTATAGAACCAAGCTGTGCATAATTTCGTCCATCCACAGTATCCTTGTTCTAGCCCGTGACAGAAACAGAAAGGGAGGTTGGGTTTTCTACTAAGGTTTTGCTTTTTGTTTCTCGGTGTGTTTGCCTGTCAGAAAGTGGTGGCAAACTAAATCTAACCATGTTCCACATGTCAATGCGGGTGTGGGCCAAACGTTACCCCTTACCCCAAAACATAGCGGTTGTCCGTTTGGCTACCCTCACCGACTCCAAAGGTCATCAAAGAAACCCTGCGCGTAAAAAACATCTCTAAAACTGGGTGGTTTGTCAGATTCCAAGTTGCACTCCTAATTCCTTCCGATCTGGGGAACTTGTAGGAGACCCTCCGGTCAAACGACAGGGGTCACTGGATTTCTGGTGGCTTCCCTTGAACCGATCACAAAGGACAATTGACTTTCATCTGCAAAGGAGCCCACTGGAAGATACAAGGCAAGTGGACACAATTTGTCCTTTCACACCAACAGGGGACAATAAAACACGTTCATGTCAGCAAATTGAAGCTTCTTATTGATGAACTTAAGGATGTATTATCAGGCAACCCTTAGTTGGCGGTCAAAGCCTGGAAGCAAAAGGAAGCTGAGTCGCAATCAAAACCCGGTACTAAAATGGTCGATCCCCAAAACCATGCTTCAGGAACTAACAAGGCGAAGATCCGCAGCGATTTTTATGGCAAGGGGATGGTTCCTCACCAACCTTCACTCCCATGCAGTTGAAACTTTAAACCGTGGGTGCTTGGTATTTTACAAAGGAAAACCATCATCCCATGGTTTCTGCACGGTGATGCGATTTCTGGATTTCGCAACCATCCACAGTATGTCCGACCCAACTGGCCATGGGTCAAAATCCCGTACCCCCCAGTGACCATCCCGTACCCCCACTAAAATAGGTTCTCAAATGGGTGGTGCACCTGCCCCAAAATGGGATCCCATGGGGTTTTGACAACCACAGCCATCTACCCGAACTAGGGCTTAGAACATCTAAGGCTACCCTTTTTCCTCTGTAGTCTATTTTAGAGGACCCCTCGCCCAAAAATGAAACGGTGAGAGAATTCAAGGGCACTGGGTGACCTAGACCCGACTCAGTTTTCAGTACGCGGCGCCAAACCGAAGCTATGGACCCGGATGCGCCTCAGTGGTGGTCTCAGCCTCTTCCACCGTAGCGAGGGCGGCCTGCCGGTCGCTTGGCTCCGGCCGGTCGCTGTCCGGACTCGTCCGCGTCAGGAAAGCAGGTGGCCAGCGTAAGGTTGTCATGGATTTTTTTCAGGGAAGCCCAGTTACCCAGGTTCTAACCATGGTTACAACTGCTTACCCATCGAATTGGGTCCCTTAAGGGTTCTCAGATGGGTCCTGTCCTAAAGAAATGGGTCCTCTTAGGGTCTGTCAAAGTAATTATACAGCTTACTTGTGTGGGTCAAACGATCACCTGCTAGTGCTTTTGGATTTTGTTTCAGGAACCCTGTTATATCCCAAAAAAAGTCATGACCTCGACCCAGTGCTGACTTCATGTTGCAGGGCCCACTTGCAAGGGACCCAGCGACTAGTGACCATTGGAGGCTACAAACTTCCCATGCCTCGCAGTGCCCGCGTTGGCTCTGAATCGGTGCAGAAGACTCTTCAAGAACCTCCCGAAAAGCGACCCAGCTCAGCATCCAGATTTCGACATGCCTCTAATGGATCAGACTCTTCTCCGAATATGAGCCTGTGGCACAAGGGATCTTTGCGGGGTCCAAATTGCTCGTCATGAGTTATGAGGCCAACAGTGCGCCAACGGAAGCTCAGACATGTTTTGTTTGGCAATCGTCTTTTGGAGGAACCTGTTTTGGGGGTGTGACGATTTGGGGCGGTCAATAGTATGAATGTGTAGTTTTCTGTTGGTACCTTTTTTGTGTTTTTTGTAAGGGCAACCTAACTCCCTGCAAGATCGCAAGGTCGAACCGGGGGGGGGCTGGTAAGCAGGCTGCTCCAGCCATTCTCGAAAGAAAGCATGGTTGCTTTCCGCCCCACAAAAACCGGCTTGAACAGGGATCCTTGCATTATACACCTGAACATTGCCTTGTAAATGGCGGTTTCCGTCTATTTTGGTGGAAAAAGCAACATGTTTCAAATGGTTGCAAAAAGTATTTTTTAGGAGCCCTGTTGAATGTGTCAGGTAAAGGACATCCACCAAGTAATGTGCTATTTTCTGTTGGTACCAATTTTGTATGTGCTTGTTTTTACGGAAACCTATGGCCATCCACCCGATTGATGCGCCGCTCCTAAAAAGCCCCAGGCCTGGAGCTCCGCTCTCAGGTACTCTGTCTGCTGATGATGCCTCAGAGAAATCCGAACTGAAATATCGAACCAAAAGTAGACGAGCTTGACGTTCTTTAAAGAACAAAAAAGAGAGAGCTGCCCCTGAAAGAAAAAATAGACAGTTGGTTGCCGACATCTGCGAAGCCCTGCTCAAAGTGACTCACTTTTAGTGGTTTAACTCGGAAAACCCATTAGTTGGCCAAAAGTCCTCAAGCCCTAACATCCCTTGGCAAAATGCACCAAAGAAAAGACCCTGGACCCTCAAACTACCCATGACTAAAAATGGGCCAACCAAAGCTCAAAAGGTCGGCTTGGCCGCTCTTAAACGACTCTTTCCGAAGAGGCAGAAGGAGAAGCCTACATCCAGCGCCTCTGAACCCGTAGCAAACGTGATGTGATTTTTATGTGACAACTGCATCACTCACAGGGGATTCCCTTGATACCACAGAGCATGATTGCTGAAAGCCCCATACAGTACATTGTCCAATACGAGCTTCTCACTGGATGGGGGGCATTCCCTTGAACTCAGCAACCTAACGCTCGCCATGGTCCGCCTCCAGCCCCACTTTGCGTTCCAAGAGCCGCGCTGTTGCGCGTCTGCGCTCCTGGGCTTAACGAAGAAGCCGTTTCCTTTACAAGAGGGAGAAACTGCGCACCAGACCAAGTTTGTTGGTAGGAGGTATTCACTGCAGTGTTCGAGGGCTGTGGCCCAATTCAAAAATGCTTTGGCTCTTCAATCGCAAACATGTTTCTCAACACACTTCTGTCCAAACCTTGGCGAATTATAGTTCTCCCAGACCTCCTTTGCCACGGGAGAAAAGGGCTCTCTTTTTGTAGTTGAGTTCAAGGGAAACCCCTCCAAAATAAGGAAACATGGCAGCGCTGCAGGTGTGGGTAAGACAGACCTCTAAGAAAAGAATCGTCATGTCTGAAGTTGGAAGCTACTTGGATGTTCGGTCAAGTTGGTAGTGGTTAGCCACCTGTACAACCCACTGATAACACGGGTAACTGGGATTACAACCGAGTTATACCTTTGGTTCCCTAACAATTTACTAACTTGGCCGAACATCCAAGTAAGAACACTTTGTGAGGATGACAGGTTCATTTGCCCAGACCCAATTCTCCATCCTTCCAAACTGGCCATAGCCTGATTGATTCTGAGAGACTCTGCCACACGGTTGTTTGGTTGTGTTTGTGTTGTTGAAGGGCATACTTTTCAGCTTGGTTGACGGAAAGGGGAACACCTCCATTTTGGTGTTCCGCGTCTAGTGGCAGGGTCAAGCCAAGTTCATTGCCAAAGCAAAATGTCCAGTTCATTGCGTTTTTTGTTGGGGGAAGGTTGGCATCCTTCTCAGCTTTTCTTGAGGAACCCCCCTCTTTTTCAGCTTCGGTTTCAGAACATCAGCATTCTTAGCAAGGCCCTGGGCCCTAGGATTCAAACCAGCAAAGCCATGGTGGCGAGAAAAAAATAACACCACTAGCTTTTACTCAGGATTGTCATCGTCTAAATCGAGTCCACTTGCCATTATTTTAGTCGGCCTGGGGGTAAACCTTCGGGCTCCATGTTTGGGTCTCCCCCCCGACATTTGTTTCACCTACCCAACTTTAGCACTGCTAAACTCCCTTCCCGCGCACTTCGGGCCTTTCATCTCTCAGCAGACTGCCTCATGCGCATCCGCGGCCCGAGCGCGCGCTCGGCCCCCGACCGCATTGGGGCCAGGCCCGTGTGAGGCCGGGCTGTCATGAAAAACAAGCCTTCACACAAATTGAGTGCCGAAAGAACGGGACTCTCCATCCCGGAGATTCAGGCAAGCCAGCGGTTTTGGGGTTTTAGATACCTTCCTGAGTGGATTGGAGAGAACAAGCCAGAACTTCCTGCTTACTGCTAAAATGGCCTTCCCGAAAAGTAGTTCAAGTCCCGGAACCCAAGTGAGAAAAGGGGCAAAGTACTTTGGCTTCGGTACTTGGGTTTCTTTAGGGACAGAACAATGCCTGAGTCCAGGCCCTGGACTTCTCGTCGAGTCTCTGGGCCCTTTGGCTTGCTCCTTGCCCTTTGGCTTGCCATAAAACAAGGAAGGAACCAGCGTTTTGGGTGAGCTGAAGGGTAAGCCATCCAAAACGACAACTCGGTATGTGTGTTTTTAGACACCGAAGCGCATGTGCGCTTCGGTGTTCCTTTTGGTGTCCCTTGAGCACCACAAACAAAAGGAACCAACTCCAAGAAAGACGAGCCACCGAACTGGTGGCTAGAACCCCGCCCCCCTTGTGATTTTGTGCTCTGCAAATCAACGTGGAACCCAAAACGGGTTGGGATCCTCCACGAGGGAACCGATTCCTCCTCAAAAATGCGGTGGGCTCCATGTTCGCGAACCCCCCCCAATAGGTTCGCATGAATCCCGTAGTGACCCTCTCGTTGATTTGTGTTCCCTCTTTTTTTGCGGGGGGATTATAAGTTATAAGGAGGATACCCGAATCTTGGCGAGACTCATCTGGGGTACAGCGAAAATCATATCTTCAGTCATGTTTAGCTGGTTCATATTTAGCCAACCCAAAAAATAAAACTGATTTGGAGGGACCTGCTTGGATGTTCGATTCGCCAAGATAGTAAGTGGTTAGCCACCTGGAATATACCAACTCCACTGAACGGGGGACCTGTGAGCGGCCTATAATCTTCGTTACCAACAACTTGCTAACGTAGGCAAATCGAAGACCTTCCAAAAGCCCAAGAAGAACCCAGAAGAACCTTCCAACTGTTTCTAGGTCCTCCAGTAGAGAGGTTAGAATAAGGGTACCTTTTTTCTGTTGTCTATTTTCCCAGCGACTGTTAGTAACCTGTATAGCTAGTAACTGGCCGTTGGCGACTGTTTTTTGGGGAACCAAGCCTGCTAGGCTTGGTTCCCAAAAAAGTGGGAACCAGATTCCTGTCTAACGGTTCCGAGCCTCTTTTTAACGGTTCCGGGCCTCTTTTTCACGGTTCCGGGCCTTTTTTTCACGGTTCCGGGCCTCTTTTTCACGGTTCCGGGCCTTTTTTTCACGGTTCCGGGCCTCTTGTTCACGGTTCCGGGCCCTTTTTTTTTGGTTCCTGGAACCAGCGGTCAGTTACCAATATGGCAGGTAACCAAGCTGGTTCCGCACATGGAGGTAACTGGAAGCACTGGGTTTAGTAAGAACCCTCCCCCAAAAAAGGGTAAAAGGGCACTACTGCAAGACCTAGGTTTCAAGGAACCTATAGAATGGGCAAAATCATTTCTCGCCAAACTGATGGCCCAGGTCTCGGACATTTTTCCGTCAGCTCCGCGGCGGAGAACTCCACCTGGCGAGTTGTGTAAGCTCGCGGGTGAGCTGTTGCCAGGGGTTGGGGGATCCTCTCATTTTGAGACAAGCCCATATGGCCATGGGTCAAAATCCCAAACCCTCAGTGAACATCCCGTGAACATCCCAGTCCCCACTATAAATAGACTCAAATGGGTGGTGCACCTACCCCAAAATGGTACCATTGGCTTTGACCCATAGCCATATTGCCCCGTTCACCGCCAAGTAAAGCACTTCACTTTAAGGTGGCCTAAACGATGCTACAACCAATCGAAGGTGGCAATATGTACAGTATGTGTCTCTTCTCGGGAAACTCCGCACGTTGCCGAACATTTGAGTCAGAATCAACAGCTGACAATAAAATGGCCTGAAACGTGCAAATAAATAAAAAGGGCTATGTGTGCTGGGACTATTGCACCATAACATCGGAATTGAGGAACTCCTTGGACTACTCTGGATTCCACTTTGTGAGATTATATCTTTATGCAACAAATTGTTCATTTTCGTAACTGTTTAACAGTTCCCTGGTTTATAAACAATTAACCCCTTGTATACATATACATACATATATATATATATAATCAAGAGAATCCTTCAAAGACTGAAGATCCTTGCGGAACTTTGTCTACCCGGGATTTGATTGCATTTCCTTATCAGCCAACCAGGAAAAAACAAAAAACAACAACGAATGGGGCCCGGTCAAACCGAGGCGCAGACCGGGCATTGTGACCCGTTTGCCCAGGGATCTGAAATCTGAGCCTTTGAAAGGGGGGAAAGGGCGTTCTTTCCCCGCAAAGGGTCCCTTGGTACCGTCTAGACCTTAAAAAATAAAACAAAACTAAGGATTCGGATGATTCGCTGGGATCCGCCAAGTAGAGGGGGGATCCTGCCTTTACCTTCAGAGGTCCATACTTAAAGGGGCAGGGTACTTGGTAAGTGGGTGATGGTAATAAGAATTGGTTATAATCCACTTAAGCCATTGTTGTAAGTCTCCTATGATCGTTATAACCATAACTACAACATTACTTAGTAAGTGGTTAGTAATCTTGGCTATAACCCACTGAACGGACTTATAATCATTGCTCTGGTGGGTGATCGCACCATGGATGTTACCCACTTACCTGACATACTCCACCCCTTTAAGCACGCCGCCCTCAAAAGCAACAACAAGATTAACTCCACTTGGAGGGTAGTAGTCAGAATTATAGCATTGACTAACAACTAACTTGGCCGAACACCCAAGTACTCTGCCTTTTCTTAAAGGGCCGTGCTAAGAGGAAAAAAACGAGAAAACGAAACGAGAAGCAAAAACCCCTCGCGCCTGGTGCAGCTCCGCGGCCGCATCCTGCGCCTGCACGCAGAAGCGCCGCGCCGTGCCCGCCTCCGAAGCCGCCAGAACACGCGTCCGTGATCGACGTCCGGAAGCCGGGCGACAGGAAGCCGAAGGAAGCCAAGTTTTTTGTAGGTCCCGAAAGCAAAAGACACACAAATACAAATAGACCAATCCAATACAAGGGTACTTAGGGTACTTTTAGGTTGGATTCGCCATGGTGATCGTAAGCTGTAACCTGCGTAGAAGAGTGCCCGTTCAGGGGAGTTGACCTTGTCATTAGATTACAACCCAGGTGGCTGACCACTTGCTAACTTGGACGAACATCCAAGTGCCCTATGTTTGTTGGGTTGGTCTAAATGGGTGTGTGGTCTTTCAGGCCCCCCCCCCAAAACGGGTCTCGGATTTCCATTTGGTTCCCTTCAAAAGCGAACAACAAAAGTACACCAAAACACAGAGAGACCCAAATGGAAATCAAAAGGAAACCAACCATTGCGGAGGTCCCAATCTTTTTTTGCACATAGCACCTTCTTTGTGGTTGGTCCAAACGGGTGCTTCTCTGGAATAGGGATACATTTTAAAATATGTGTTCTTCTTAACCTCAAAAACCTAAGTTTGAGAAGCACCCAACTGAGCAGCACCCCAGACCAACTGACTTTTCGTTCTACTTTGATGCCCAGCGGATCCGTTTACCTGTATAGTAGGTCACCAAAGAAACCACCCTTTAGACACCCAACGGAAAATAGCCGGTTACCTACCAAGGGCTTGCCTGGGATTCACTGGGATGGTTATCAAGGTGTATATATAATAATGTAGGGACCATAAACCAGATATGAAGCCAGGTGGGAAGACCCAGCTAAAATGACCAATGCATGGGTGTTTGCTTCGCTAAGTTGGTAAGCGTTCTATCTCGCATAAAGAATCCCCCCGTTCAGTGGGGCTTGTTAGTGACTTTTACGAACTTGGCAACACACATCCAAGTGGGGGTGTTGTAAGCTCAAATGGAAACCAACACATAACACTTCCAATTGCTTCCATTTGGTCAAGACCCTACAAAAAAAAACTATTTCCAGTCGTGAAATCGATTCCCTTTAAAACCAACAAGGGTAAAATAAACATATTCATTTCAGCAAATGGAAGATTACCTTCACAGTAGATAACCCTTCGGGATCCGAACCTCAAGGTACGATGGTTGCCTACCATGTTACCTACTATCATCCTGTGGGCGCCGCGCCTGCCTGGAGTCTCCCTAAGGACCCTTAAAAAATGATTGATCATCACCCAAAATGTTGGGGTCATTGAGTACTCATTGACCCATTTTTTAAGGGTCAGAAGGAGACTCCAGGTGGAAGCACTGGCAGAAAGTCCGAAACGGAACTCTGAGGCTTGCTGCACAAAACCCAAAACACCCACTCCCTTCCAACCAGAACACTCGGATTCCAGGCTGGAAGCACTAAGCTCACTTCCCGAGTGGATGGGCCCCAAAAAAGTCACCCAACTTCTCATTTACCAGCCAAAAAGGTCCAAACCCAAAAGCGACCAAAGTCTATCAACTCAGGAAGTGAGAACCCCAAAACCAGCCGAGAACCCCCCCCAAAACCAAAACCCTTGGGGCGGGACCCGTGGGACCCGTGGGCCCCGTCTCCGACCCGTCTCGGGACCCGTCGTGGGACCCGCCTCGGTCTCCAGCGCCCGCTGCGCTTCCATCAGCTCCGTCTCCAGCTGGCCCTGCGCCGCAAAGGCCTCGAGAGAAACTCGGCGCGTCGCGTGGCACCGGCCGGCCGGCCGCAAGCTCCGCGGGCGTTGGATTTTTTTTTGTGGCGGCCCCCCCTGCTCAGCATGAAGGACGGAACCAATCAAACACCAAACAAACTTAAAAACGTCCTAGGAACAAAGAAACAGAACCGATCAAATTGAAGAATGACAAGAACAAAGAAAAGAGAAAGACTGGCCAAGAACAGTGAAGTTACGCAGGTTATAGCATATAGGTTATGTTCATAAGTTGCGAACTCGGCGAATCGAACACCCAAGTAGAGGGGATCCTGACCTTAACTTCATAGGTCCAGTCCATGCTTGGATGTTCAACGTGAGGTAAGGTTGGGGTACATGGGATTGGTCCCCTTACCCAGGGATCGGTCCCCTCATCCAAGTAGGATTTGATTTTTGTCCCGGGTGATGGAATTGGGAGGGCTGTCCAGACTGATCCCCTGCCAAGAGTTTAACTTGTGGGGGTTCTAAAAAGGTAAGAACCCAAGGGAAACACTTTGCCAGAATCTGAGAAGATGGGCGCGGCGTTTTGTTGAGGCTACCCTTAGGTGTTTAAAAGGAAACAAGAAGAAAAGCCAACATGTTGCTCATGAGCTGTTCTTGCTTTCCGTTTGTTTGTTTTGTTTGTTTGTGTGTCTGTGTTCTTTTCTTTCTTTCTTTCTTTCTTTCTTTCTTTCTTTCTTTCTTTCTTTTTGTTTGGGGGGGGGGGGCGTGGTCCCCCAAAATCGAGGGTCTGGACCCCCATCCCCGAGGCTTCTCCAGGAGACCATGCCTTCTCAATGCCTGGAACCGTTCTAAAGGGCGCTATACCCAGACTGATGATTGCTTTCCCAGCTGCCCCCCCCCTCACACAAAGGTTCAACGCACTGAGTACTCTTTCTCTTTTGACGCTTTTTCGCAAGCAATCTGGGACCCTGGGACTGGAAATGGAACCCAGTTGTTTTCCCTGTGGTCAAAAACCAGCTAGGATCCGCAAGAAATCAAACAGGGAAGGCACAATACCCCGAGAAAAGCCGATGTGCGTTTTTGCTGTAAAGTGCCTCATTTTTGGCCATAGGCTTTTCCCAAGTGGACAGTGCCTTCTCAACTTGTTTTTTGCAAAATAAGAATAACAATGAGCGAGCACGCAGAGATTGGGGGAGCACGCAAACCTGGAGAAGGCCCGCAAAATCCGGAGAAGGCCCGGAAAAAAGTCCGAGGCTGTTTGGCGATGTGCGACGTGCAAATCCGCATCCATGGCTGCGGGTAATGCCTGTGCTCCTGATGCTGATGGCTCTGACGCTGATGCCTTCGAGCTGATGATGCCTAAAAGTATCTACCTGGAGTCTCCATGACCCTTAAAAAATGGGTCAATGACCCCAACATTTTGGGTGATGACCCCATTTTCAAGGCTCATGGAGAGTCCAGGTAGCCAAAGCCAAGGCTGACCAACAGACATGCCAACCCTTGAGAAGGCACGCTTATCTGGGGGAACCCGCAAAATCCAGAGGACGCGTGTCCAGACTTCCGACAAAAAAGAAGCACCAACTAGCGCTGTGAGTTCTAACCTCCATTTGCTTTGCTGTCCCCCGACACACATGAGAACATATGTCCAATGGTGATAGATTCCATCTTGAACTAGAGAAACTATATAATTATTCTCAAGCAAATGGAAGTTAACTTGGGATCTGGTGGACATCATGGTGGACATCATGGTGGACATATATTGTTTGGAGCGTTTGGCCCAGATCCCAGATACCAAGTTTACATAGCCCTTCATTTTCTTTGGACCTAAGTGACCTACAATGGGAACCCCGGATCGAAGTAGAACCCTGCTGATTCTGGTGGAACGGGTGTCTTAAAATAGGAATCGGACCACCTATGTATACGAGATGGGCTTCCTGTTGGTCCGAAACCAAACGCCCCAAGCAGGGTACTGTCCTCGACAAAAAATAAGGGGAAACAACGCCCTAGGGTTCAACCCACAAAATAATGGTTGACCCACTCTAGGCGGCTATATGAACCCCATTGTTTTCATGGTGGCCCGCCCGAATCCCAAAGAACACACCGTCGGAAGAACTTTGGGGGGTCTGGAACTTGCTGGTGCTCAGTAGAGAATAACCTTGCGGGCGTAGACAATGAACCAGAATGGGATTTCCTTAAAGGAAACCACCAGACCAGTGGGATGGGGTTTCTCGGGGTCATTCCATTTCTCATTCCCTGCTTGGGTGTTCGATTCGCCAGGTTGGTGAGCTTTTAGTAACATAGGTTATAAGCCGTTTATAAGCCCCCGTTCAGTGCAGATCTTGTTAGTGGGTTATAACCCAGGCCTTTTCCACTTACTAACCTGGCGAATCGAACATCCAAGTGCCTATCGAATCCACAACCCCAGAGCAAAATGGCGTATACCGTAGACCCTTACTAGCTGTATGCCTGTAAATCCACAACACCCCAAAAACCTCGTGGTTTGGGAGCAAAGAAAACTATCAGGGAATCGCCGCCCATGCGAAGCGACGATCGCCTGCTCGAGCTTGCTGCTCAACTGCTCCGCCTGCGCCTCGCTGTGGCGCAGCTGCTCGTGACCCTGCGCCGGGAAACGGTCCATTTGGTCCATTAGAGAGGTTAGAATAAGGGTACCACCTTTTTGCTGTAGTCTATTTTAGTAGGGGAACCCTTGCAACCAAAAAAGAAACGGGAGAGAAAGGGCACTACTGAGGGACCTAGTTGATCCCTACCTTGGTTGCTGGCGAGACCCTTCTGCAAAAAGTGGACCACTTTTTGTGGGTATAATGGAAAACCCTTGATTTCAACCAGAAAGTTAAAGTCGAAAAATCAAACCCAATAGCAGTCAAGGCTGTAGGGCCCTACTTAAAGGGGCCACTTCCATTTGGTCAAGACCCTGGAAAAATGAGTAAATATGTCCGGTATAGTGATAAATTCCTTGAAAACCAACAAGGGAAAGTAAAACGTATTCTTAAGCAAGTGGAAGGTAAAAAAAAACCTGCTGTAGGAGCGTACCTGGAGTCTCCATGACCCTTAAAAAATGGGTCAATGATCGCAAAATCTTGGGTCATGACTCCATTTTTCAAGGGCCACGGAGACTCCAGATACTTAATTAAAGGAGCGATCGGGTACGTCAGGGAAGTGGTTAAGCCTGGGGACACAACCCACTGAATGGAGACTTCTTTCCAGAGTAAGTGGGTAGTAACCATGGTGAGCTAACCCACAAAGACCATGGTTATAAGTCTCCGTTCAGTGGGTCATAACCCGGCGTACTAACCACCTACGTGCAATGCCCCTTTAAGTAGGGTTCAACCGATTCCCATTCAAAGAATGGCAACTTAGATGATGAAACTCCAGTAACCGAGTGATGAAGGGCTTTTTTGAGCAGTTCTTAAGCAAACATGGCTGTGGGTCAAAAATATCGGTGCCCGAAATGGAACCCTTTTTGGGGGTTGCAAAACAAGGACAGCCAAAGGGAAGACCGCCACTCTGGGGTTCCACATCCCGATTTTTTCAGACACGAGCTGTAACCGACTCCTTGTTGATGACAAGCCGAAAAGCCGAATCCGTCCGAGACTTATGGGGAAAAACAAGTGTCCCTGCCCAAAAAGTGCTTGATGGTAACTTGCCATTTTTAGAACTTGAGTTCGAAAGGAAGCTCCCTCCCCAAGAAACAGAGAGCTCCTTCTAAATAGAAACGCAACACGCAAAAAACACTCAAACCATTCCAAAACTCCACAACATATTCCAAAAAGAAATACAACACGGAACCAACTTCAAAACAAAACGGACACAATGTTGACCCCATATTAATCAACCCGGTTTATTAATAGGGGCTGTCCCTGGCTGAAATGTGGGGAAGTAGACCACTCTTGGAGGGGCCCAAAACCACCCCCCTATTCATAAACTGGGGTTGATTTAGAAGGGGGCCAACATTACGCATATTTGGGAAGCTCCCTCCCCACAAAAGGGGAAAAAGGAAGCAACCCGCAAATCAACCGGCCACGCCGCTGGCCCCCGCCTGGTTGGCCGAGGACAGTCGCGCTGCCGCCACCTCCGCGAGATCTTGGAGCCGCGCCTGTCAATGCGTTGGATTCGAATCTGAGATGGGTGCGTCGGTTGCTTGATGTAACCAGCCATTTTCCATTTAGGCACTCGGTTAGCAACTATATAGGAAAACATAGAATCTCTGGGGATGGCTTAAAGAGAAAATGAGGGGAAAGAGGCAAGAGCTACAAACCTTGCTGGTGCTCAGTGGGGAACAGGGAATGACGCCTACAAGCCATCCCTTTGTGGTTTCCTTTAAGGGGACCCCTGGGTTTATTCCCACATTCCCCAATTACTGAGCACCAGCAAGATAAGGATGTATATTAGGTAACCCTTACTTGGCGCTTTGGATTGGTGATACCTCGTCCAAAGAAGGGGGCATAAAAAAAAAAAAAAAAACTCCCCAAGGGTCTGCGACCCATGTAGACCATTAGCTCACTTCCAAAACAACCACCCATATGACTCTGAGTTTTAAGAGGGAACCACCTCACAAGCCACCAAAAATTGATGCCCACCAAAGGGTCTGGGACGGAGCCCCATACGGGTTTGGATGGACAAAATCCTGCACCAGCTAAGAAACCCTGGAATGATGATTCCCCTGGAAATACCAAATAACAACGGTTTCAATTCAACCATGCTTTCAAAGTGGTGCGACCGGACTTCGTTCATCAACAGTAGGTGTTCCTCTTTAGGTTCCTTTTACCATACCAAAAATGGGTTCAGAGCCTCAACACAAAGACGCGCCACCCATACATTGCAAACTATGTTAGCAGACAACGTTGGCTTTTTGTTGTTGCCCCCTACTAAAACTGTACAGTACCCAAAAACTAGAAAGCCAAAACAAGCAACATACTCTACTTTTTATGCAGCCCCCACTAAAATGAACAGTGCCCCCCCCCACCCAAAAAAACGAGTTGCCAAGAACCGTGAGGTATATGCAGCCCCCATACTAAAAAGGTCCGGTACCAAACAACTAAAAGGCCTAAACAACTTGCCAATAGCAACATACTTTCCTTTTATGCAGAAGCTACTAAAATGAACAGTGCCAATTGCAACCCTTGGTATGGTAGCAACATGCATTGCTTTTTGTGCAGGCCCCTACTAAAATGAACAGTGCCAAGAAACAAAAAACGCAAAACAACTTGCCAAGAACAGTGAAGTATATGCAGCCCCCTACTAAAAATGCACGGTGCATAATGCTACCTTCCCCATTCTTTCCAGGGATCCTGCTTTCTAGAAAACCTCCATAAACCCAGGGAAACAAATCCGGTTTTTGAAAAAGCACGATGGTTGGACAGAATGGAACAGGAAGCAAACCCTCAGAAGTCTCCTTTACTGGTAACTGGGATCCACCTGGAGTCTCCATGTCCCTTTAAATATAGGTTATTTTAGGTAATGACCAACCATGTTTAAAGGGTCAGAAGGAGATTCTAGGCATGGGGAACAAACACCAGTTGCCAAAAAAGCAAAATCAGTTGCCCCTAGACGAAAAAGGCTTTATTGAGTCTTACCAGCCCCTACAAAAAAACGTGCGGTACCAAAAAACTAAAAAACACAAAATCAGTCGCCAAGAACCGTTTTTGTCAGCTCCTGCCTCTGCTGCGGTCAGCTCCTGCTGGCGCTGCTGCGCTTTGGCAACATTCGCGGCCAGCTGCTCCTAATTTGCCGCGCAAGGTGAAGCCCCAAGATCCTTTTGCAACTTTCAAATGGGGCTTCAAAATGGGGGCTTCAAATGTTGATCAGTTTGCTGGTGGCTTCCATTGAAACTGCCACTTTTGAAGGCTCCAAAAAGTGAAATTGGCTCTGAAGCCCAGTCATAATATGGGTGAGTTACATGCCTTTTCAAAACACCTGGACCCCAATGTGGGCTCCGTTCACTGGCGTTTGGGACGGATGCCCTAAAACATTGGTCTGTTTCGAAAGTTGGGGAAAAGCATGCGAGGTGTTAGCTTCCCCGATTCGTTTCAAGGACCCTTTCGGAAAATGACCTCACGGAACCTGGGGGGAGAGGGGAGAGGGAATCCAAATCTGGGCTGCCCGATTTCTGATCCCCCGCTAAAAGTGACTAACTTTTAGTGGGTTGAATTCGGAAACTACCACTGAACACTAAAATACTAAAAAGCTAAGGAACCGGATGGGAGTCGGAGCCACCAAGTTTTGCAACGTAGGTGTTCCTGTTGGTGTGATTTTAGCATTCCCAACAGACTTTTGGGCCTCAGAAAGAGACACACCCAAATGAAAAAGATTTCTGAGGGGCGAACTACTAACCACCAACTACCAGTTTGTAGGGAAAGCAAGCGCAAAGAAAGCTGGAAAAAGGTAGTTGACCAACCCGCCGGATTGAATTTAGTTCAAGAAGGGAGCTCAGACTGTAGTTCCCCAGTTGTCCAATGCATTTGCCTCATAGGGATCGGTACAGCCTAAATTGGAGGGTTATTGGCTTCAAACGGACCCCACGATCATTGGTGTCCTTTTGATTTCCTCAGTTTCCCTTTTCACCAACCCAAGAAGGACCACCATGGCCACCCTCACAAAAAGACACCACACCCACCACCCCAACGACCACCTGGTGTCCTTTACATTTCCCGGTTGATACCAACCCAAGCGGAACCTTTCGCCTCAAAAGGAACGTCACACCCACTTGGATGTTCGTTGCCAACGTCGGGTGGGTAGTTTAACGGAGACTTGTAACCATGGCGTTTTGTGGCATGATCATTGCCCACTTACCCGTACCCCATCGCATCCTTTAACCAGACGTCAGTGCTGAAAAGTATCCTTTCAGCACCCTGACCTCCGCAAGCAAAAAACAACAACAACACATCCCTCTGGAACCATACACATCCCGGCCCCGCCAGCCCTCCGCCAAAAAAAACAACACAACAGCACATCCCTCCCGGCCCCGCCTGCAGCCCTCCGCCAAAAAAACAACCTCATTTCCGGGGGGGGAATAAAATGCGAAAAAAAAAAAAAAAAAAAAAAAAAAAAAAAAAAAAAAAAAAAAAAAAAAAAAAAAAAAAAAAAAAAAAAAAAAAAAAAAAAAAAAAAAAAGGAAAAAACAAAAAAAAAAAACAATCGTCTTCCGCTGGGCCCCGCTGAAGACCCGGGACGAGCCCCGAGCCCTCCGAACCCCGCCTGCAGCTCGGTGAGCTCTGTGTCCCGGGCGCTTTGCATCTGCCGCAGCTTCGCCTTCATCGCCTCCTGCGAGCGCGAGGGCCGACGCCCCGCGCCAGGTGCGGGTGGCGCCAGTGGCGCAGTTGGGTGTGTCTTGTCTTTGGGAGACACCAGAAAAAAGAAGGGGGAAAAACCAGATATTAGTTGTCATCTAGGTTGACGGCAAGGAGGCCAAGTTGGATTTCCAGAGGGAAAAAGGCCACAAAGGCTTACCTGGAGTCTCCTTCTGACCCCTAGAAAAAGGGGTCATGACCAACCATAATCTTGGGGAATGACCCAATTTTTGAAGGGTCATGGAGGCTCTAGGTAGTTGGGTGTGTCTTGTTTTAAGAAAAGAAGGGGGAAAACAAGATATAAGTAGGTCTCCTTTTGGTTTTCCCTTGAAACCACAGAAAAAATGGGGGTACCCTCAACAAAAACTCAGCTGAAATCTCCGAGATTTCCATGGGGTAACAACGTAGTTGAGAACCATTTTATATAGTGCTGTTCCCCTTTTTTGGTAAGGACTTTTAGACTCCATGTCGTGGATTTGCCAGATTTCCCAGATTCACCTTGTTGGCATACAAAGATAGTATCCGTGTCGGGGTTTTGGTGGAAAGAAGGATTTCTGAAAACTCGCGCGGTCACAAAGACCAGCCGTGAGTGGAGAATGTCCAATCAGCTTGCAATGTTGATCACGGGAAGGATTTCCGAAAACCCCTCAAAATGAGTCCTCAACAACTTACCTGGACCCCTTTTGTTGACTCCCTTTTGCCGCAACCGACCCAGAACATGATGGTAAGGCAGAACAAAGGGGTCAATCGGAGAGTTCAAGTTCCCATCAGCCCGCAAAATGTCGACCACGGGAAGGATCCCCGAAAAACCCTCAAGATGAGTCCTCAAAAACTTGCCCGGACCCCTTTTGTTGACTCCCTTTAGTCTCCTTCCTCATTCCAACTACCCCCTAAAATTCACTTTCAGGGACAATAAGGCTGGGTTTCTACCCCTCCTAGGATTCACCTACAAAGCCAATAAGGCAAGTTTCCTCTTGGTTTCCATGTAAACCAAATTTCAAAGGGTATCCCTTAAAAAAACGAACACACCCCTGCCGCACTCACCGTTGGCAAAGAATCCGAGGGAGTAGAAGCTTGTGAGTGATTCACCGGTGGCGGTGTAACCAGCGTCTCATCATCGTTGCTCATGTTGGACCAAGAGGGCGGCGATGAGCGTTGCGTCGCCGAATACCCCTTCCTGAAGCAACTGATGTTCCCGCTGAAGCGAATGATATTTCTGGAGCGTCTCATCCTCCGGGGAACGGACCTTGATTGTTTGGTGATGCTGATTCAAGAATTCCAGGATGAGATTGCCCAGGTGCGCGTGAACCTTGATCCACTGTTTGGGCCTCTATCATGAACAAACCGACCAAAAATACAAGAGTTTGCCGACTCACCACCCAGTGATTCCATTTCCCTATATAGCAGGCAAGCAAGGGAGCCACCCTTTAAAAACCAAATGGAAAGTCGCTGGCTACCTACGGGGATCCGTTAGGCAAGAAGGGGGGTCAATATACGGTCAAGCACGGATCAATCAAACTGCTGGATCGATTGACGGGGAGCGATTCCCCAAAAAGTGATCCTGAATCCCTTGAGGGGACACCCGCGGATCAAAATCAACCAGGGGTGTATTAGTCGAGGGTTCCCAAAGCAACATGCACCCCCCCAAAAAATTTTTTGCAGAGGAAGCTGCTGTTGGGCACCCCATTTGGAATTGTCTCATAATCCGAAAACCCGCAAGATGGTTGTTCCTTTTGGTTTCTCTTTCACAGAGTTTCACAGCAAGGTCAAAAGAGTACAAAAGAGATGCACATTTCTAGTCCACCATAACTCAGTTGTTCAGTGACCCTGGAAAAAAAGGGAACCCTTTTTTGGGAAGACCATTTTAGTGGGGCAGCCACCCAAAAAAAAGGGAGATAATTTCCCGAGGGGGTTCTTTCTCCCAGCAAATGCCATCATTGCTCCTCCAAGGGCCCTCGACTGGGCGCCATGGCTTTGGGAGGCCAAAAGTTTGATTCAGCCAACCGACCTCCCCGTGAAGGGCAAACCACCTGATGTGTTTTGGCGTTGTGGCTTTTCTCTTGCTGTGTTTCTTACAATAGCTGTACCCTAGGGTTCTGTTCTCCAAAAGAATGGCAAACTGCAAAATGTCGGGGGGTCCCTAATTTCAACAACTCACCCAAACATAGGTTTCTGAAGGGACCGAACAGAACTTGTCTGTCCACTTGTTTGTGGGTGTTCGGCCCAGTGGCTAGCCACCTGGGCTATTACCCACGAATGACAAGGTTAACTCCACTTTAAGTGGACTGATGAGAATGTTGTAACTTACCCAAGTGGCCCTTCCATGGTGTTTTGCTACTGTGACCTGAGTCAGCTTGTCCAACAACAGAAGGCTGTCCAGAAAGCCATGTTTGAGATACTGGTTCATCTTTTGTCAACCCTACAGCATCTTATGTGACTTGGAGACCCCAGAATGGGTTCTAACAAAATGGGTTCTACGTATGATTCTCTGCTGCAACCCGGTTCACAATCCCACTTAGAACTCCCATTTGCTCAAGTCCCCTGGAAAAAAAAAAAAACAACATATTTCCCTGTAGTGATAGATGTGCTCCAACATGAACAGGATGTGGTATCCCCATGTATTAAACGCCCATATTTTCTAAACAAATCAGCCCACGTGCTCTCCCCAGCCCAAAGGCAACCCCCGGGGACCTCCGGAACACTACCAAACCACCCCCAAACCACGCCGATGCCTGGGCCGCAAAATGACCGGGAGACGTTGAATCGAAGCGCGAAGCGGAAGCGGCTCCCAAAGGAACATATTCGACACTCCATGTGGCCAAGAACAAAAACCCACTCTCTGGTGATCTTGGAAAGCTCCATGTTTGCTCGTTTTGCTCCGTAGCTGGGGTCAATGGTGAAATTCCCTGCGCGTGTTGGCTGATCCCTCAAACCCAGCCAGACCTGGTTTTTTCCGAAGACCTCCTTTTAAGATGATGGTAGGTCCTCCAGTGGAGCTTGGTTAGAGCAAGTGGGTACCCACCTTTTTTCAGGACAGTCGATTTTAGTACTGTGGATGGTTGCGAATCCCTTTCGCATCACCGTTCGGAAATTTCGGAATGATCCGATTCCCCTGATACCAAGAAACCTTTTGGCTCCCCATGGTTTTTCAGGTGCAGGAGTGCGTCCATCCACAGGGGAACTCCCAACCAAAAAAGGGGAGAGAAGGGCACCCTTCATTAGTGGGGGACCCAGTAGGCTTCCAACACCCTCACTCTTCTGGGCCCGTTTTCTGATCCCCCGCCAAAGGCGGCTGACTTTTAGTGGGCGAAATTCGGAAACTTCCACACACTAAACATATCTAGAAGGCTTAGGGACCGGATAGGAGTGAGAGCGGGACCAAGTTTTGGTAGGCTTCGCTTCAAAACGGACAGCTTTTCTAGGTCCAGCAGAGAGGTTAGAGCAAGCTGGTACCCGAGTTTTTTTGAGGGACGGCTGTTTTAGTAGGAGAACCCTCCCCCAAAAAAGGTAAAAGGGAACTACTGGGGGACGCTCAGCAGGGAATGAGAACTGGAATGACCCCGTTTGAAAACATCCAACTGGTGGTTTCCTTTAAGGGGACCAAGTCCTGGGTTCGTTCCCGCATTCCCGACCTGTCGCACCAGCAAGATTGTTCAAGAGGAATCCACCGAGAAGTCATCCCATTCGGAAATCCCCGATGCAGATTTCCCTACCAGCCAGATGTAGCCAAATGTTCCAGGTTGAGGCTCTGCCTGAAAGTCGCTTCGATCGCTTTAATCCGAAAATATGGGGGGGGGGGGGGTTGCTGTCGTGTGTGGAGTTGGCACCCCTTGTTTGATGGGTTTAAGGGGACACTAAAAGGAAAACCACTATATAATCTGGAAATGTCCCCTTTAAGAAACAACCATAATGTGCTTGCATGTTGTTTATCATCTTTTTAATCATGTTCTTCCAAATTCATTTAAAAAATTGGTTGGGCCCTGCTCAGCCGGAGTGCAAGCGCTAACATGTTCGACCCGCACGACTTCCTCACGCAGGGATCCATCTCTACTTCCAATCTGTCAACATCACCAAATGCTAACTGGAAGCTTGCAAATCACGTTGGCCTTTAAGTGTAAACCAACTGAATGCATCCAGTTTTGTCCTTGCCACACAATGATTTGTTAACCTTCCAACGTTAGATGCGGAACCACAGCTCTGCTGTCCCATTTGCTTGATGATTGGACTCCTAAAATCGGTCCCTGTTGGAACGATTCGGCTCAATGCGCCACTTGCCGGAAGAGAAGCGAGGTGTCGCTGGGCAGCCTTGGTGTTTCTATCGTCTGTACATCGGTGTCGCTTCTTTTGGGGGACCCCCAAAATGGTGATCCTTTGGGCTTTCCCTTACATCCCCCAAAAAAACTGATACCCTCCAAATGAATTTGAATTGGAGGCCCTTTGGTGGGCATCATTTAGGGAGATTCCTGTCTGCCACTTTTCAAGTGTCCGCCTCCTTCCATTTGTGACTCACCGTTTCCGAAGGGACACCAAACGAGGCTTGCCGAAATCTAAAAAGCGTTCAGGATTCCCTCTCTGCCACCCTCAAACCAGCACCCCCAGCAGGAAATTGCAATTATACGGCACTTATATTCTTGACCACTGAGGGTAGTGGCTTAAGGGCAGCAGAGACCATCTTAGACCCTCTTCAATGGGAGACGCTTTATGAATCAACCAGGTTGTGAAGCCTCTGTCCATGGTCAACCTCTGACGACCAATCTCTTTTGGGCCGGTTCACTGGGTTCCACTTTTGGTGAACCCGGTGTTTCCAGGCGCTTGCCATAGGTGCTCCAGATTTGAGAGGTTAGGATTTTTGGTGCGCATTATTTTTTCTGTAGTCCATTTTTTTAGCAGGGGAACTCTTCCAAAAAAAAGAGTTGGTAAAGTGGCACTTAGCTGGGGACCTAGTAGTAGGTAACCAGGGCAAACCATCCATGGTAAAACCTCGCTGGAATCTGGCTGAGCTCGCCCAAGCTCCAACTCTAAACCCCTAAGCAGTGCTTTCTGGGGGAGACTACTTCAGCAGGCCCCACTCTGACCCTAATTTGGTTTTAGGTCTTCCTGTATTGACCTCTCCAGGTTGTTTGAGGGAGGTGCTGACTAATCACTACCTGGCACTACTTAATTTAGAGGGAACAAGCTCCCCGCTTAATTTGCGCTTTCGTCCCCTGGAGAATGTCCAGTAGTTAGTGAAATCGATTCCCCTTCTTAATTCAGAGGGAACCACCTGCCCTTCATGTGTGTGTTCATCCCCTGGAAAATGTCCGCAAATTAATGAAATTGAGTCCCTTTCAAACCAGGGACTAACGAACAAACGTTCATTTCACATGGCTGTGGCTCAAGGACATGGAGACCAAAGTGGCATTGGCAAGTGGCAAGAAAGACAAGGTCCTCCAGTGGAGATACCCGGTACCCTTTTTTCTGTGGTCTATTTTAGTAAGGGAACCCCCCCCAAGAAAGGGCAAAAGGCCACTACTGGGACACCCAGAAGACTAAAACCTGCGTAACCCTAGTTCTAAAGTTTTGAGCCACACCCAAATGGAAGCCGCAGAAACATTCTTGGCCCATCTCCAACCCAAGAGAAGCACCTGGACCTCTCCGAAAGCTCCGAATCACTCACTCAACGCCGACCAAGTTGAAGGCCCCCAACTGGGCGGCTTCCCTTTGGTTCACCTTGTTTCTACGATTAAGGGGTGAAGCTCCAAGCATTCTCGGTTGCTTTCTGCTCCCCTGCTCAAAGTTTAACTTGTAGTGGTTTAATTCGGAAAACCCATGAGTTGGCAAAAAGTCAAAGTCCAAGCAAAATGCACCAAAGCATTCAATGCCTGGAGCTCCGACCTCAGGCCCGGACGGTGGCAAAGGGTGCGGCTTGCTTTCGCCTCGAGTCGAGTCACTGGATTTCGAGTGCGGGGAGCGGAGCCGCTGAGCGACCCACCATTTACTCGGGTAGTAGCCCAAGTTACAGCCCGTTTCTTAGTCCTCCCAAGTGGAGCTAACCTCCTTCTAAGCGGGTTATAAATGATGATGATGATGATGATGATGATGATGATGATGATGATGATGATGATGATGATGATGATGATGATGATGATGATGATGATGATGATGATTATGATTATGATTATGATGATGATGATGATGATGATGATCGTGCAAAAGGCGTCCGCGCAATCCAACAGTGCTTAGTTGGCCGCAGGGTAAGGCTCACGTTTGCAACATCTTGCTTGATTCACAGAAGGACTGAAAAAACGCGTTCCTTTCTTGCAGAGGGGAGGGCGTTCTCTCAACATGGATGGTTTCTAGTTGGGCCCGCTTCAAACGCATGAATGCGTCCATTGCCCTGGTATGAATCCCTATGCGGCATCAATCAACTACTCAACTTGTAGTGAATTGACCAGGGCTCAGTCTCTGCGTTCCCGGACTTGATACTTCTTGGGAAGGCCATTTCCGTGGCACAAAGCAAGCTTGGAAGTGTTTTAGCCCATCCACTCGGGAAGTGTGATGAGAAACGGTTCTCGTTTTTTTTGTTGCACAATTGACCATTCCGATAGGTCCAAGAGTGGTAGAGGGTGCAGCTGAGTTGCATACATGGGTATGTCGTTTTCTGAGGGTTTTAAAGGGAAGCCACGAGGACCTCCAAAGCAATTTTCAGGGGGTCCCCCAAAAACTTGCACTTTATCTCCAGCCATGGGCGGGGACTCAAATGGATAGTGAAGGCTTGAGCGGGACACCATGAATGAATATATCATGTATTCAGCGGAACATGCATCATTTGGGGGGAGTGATTAGAGTTGGAGCATGCATCATTTGCAAAATCACCATTTATAGGAGTTGTTAGGGGGAAGTGACTTGTGCAAATGGAAGCCTTAACTTGGGTGTCCCGTTGAACGGGCTCTAACAAATGCGCTCCTTCCGGCGCCCTTTGAAACTTTGGAGCAAACGATCGGAACGTGCTTATTTGCACCGGTTCAACGAATCCCCTCAATGTCTAGAATGCTGGCATTTGGGGACCGACCAATGGGCAAGTTTTGGCATTTACACTCCTGTCCCTTTTTGCCATGGAACCCATGGGAAACCCTTCAACTGAACATAGCCTTCCAGGATCGCTCAATCAGGTTCCACGTTAGTGGACAGGAGGGTATCTAGGTCCTCCAGTAGAGAGGTTAGAATAAGGGTACCATTTCTTTTCTCTGTAGTCCATTTTAGTAGGGTCCCGAACCCTCCCAACCCAAAAAATTGGACACGGGAGAGAAGTTGGCACCAATTGCTGGGGCACCTAGTCGTGGCAAAGCATGGCACCCCAGCTGAAGCTCTGTGGTCTCGGCGTGGTTTGGGTGGTTTGCCTTCCGCTTCCTTCGGTTTCAGCGGGTGTCGGGGGAAGCTTGGGCTATCTTGAGAGAAGTTTTCCCTTGAACCAAAAAACTACCCTGCAAATGGGGGTTCCACACGTTTGGACCTTGGAACCCCCCCAATGCATCAATAAGAAACGTTCTTATTCATCCGGTATCACCATGATCCTACCTGGAGTCTCCGAGTCTGAGCCTTAAAAAATGGGTTCATGACCCCAAATATGTTGGGTAATGGCCACCCCATTTTTCAAGGGTCAGAAGGAGACTCCAGGTACCAACCCAAAGAGCACCTCTTTTTCTCAGCTGAAAGCGGGTTGTTTCGCTGTAAAGGACTGGTTTTCCCTCAGGTCATCCCATGAAAAGAGTCGACCCTTTGATCCAAACCCCGCCTTCGGACTGGGCGAGGGTGGGGAAGATCACGGCCATGCGATCCGCAGGGAAGTGTTGGTCAAGCCTGGGCCCAACCAAAATGGGTTCAGCATGAAATCATCATGAAGGGAATTTTCAGGCACGGGGTGTTGGAGATATGGAGGTTATGTGATTATATACCGCATGAATGGTATATACCGCCTTTCAAGCTTATATTGGTGGTACGTAAGGATATATATCAAGATTCATATCTGGAAATGGAAAACTGCAACTACTCACTTGCCCCGCAGGGACCCGGAAATGAAAGGTGATCACCTCTTGAAACAAACCAGGACACCAAAAGGTCAAATCTGGTCGGCCACTGAGACGGTTTCAACAACCTGCTTTGGCTTCCCTGTGGCCCTTGCGTTAAATCTCATCTTGTTTTGACCAACATTGGCTTAGAAGTTTCTTTGGTCATCTGCTGCTTAAAGGGACGTATGGGCTTCCATTTGCATACGCCACCTGGAACAAATAACACTATTTCCTGTAGTGATAGATTCCTGTAGAAAGTGCCAGGGGCTGGTCGTTTAAGCATAGTTGTTTGCAGCAACTTTGCATTCGAAGGTCTAAACAGGGCCCAGTGGGCAAACCCTGCTGGTAGGTACCCCTGCGCTACTTTCCGTTTGGTTTTCATATCGGGCGCCAAGCCCTTGGTTACCTACTATACATGGATCTGCCACAACCAGGACCCCCGAGTGGCTGGCAACTGGCCCCAAAAAAGAAGGTTGAGGGAGATAACCGTTTCTGTGATCCCAAAAGTGGGTCATTCTCATAGCTATATACTTTTTCAAAGGGGGTTGGCTTACACAGAAAATGGCCCTGACTATTCTCTGCGGGTCTATGACCCGAGGGCTTTCTACACTGTGAAAATGTATCAGCCAAAAGCAATAAGGCCCCCCAGCCATCACATCACGGGCCTCTCCTGGCCAAGCCCCTTTTGGGTTTTTTGGTGGGGGAAACCTGGGAAAACCCTCACCTCAGCAAAGAAACATGCCCCGCTGGTGTGACGTCCAGACCCTTCGGCTGGATGTCACTTTAACGCTGGAGAGTGGTGGTCTGGCTGCAGGTCAAACCATGGCCCCAAAATGGGTTGCCCTGGTAAATGGAAACAAGAACTAAAATGCGCGGTCCATATCCTGGTGGTTTAGTTTTGAACCATACCCCATTGTTTGCTGGTGAATGTCGACCCTGGATCTAAGTAGAACCCGTCCAATTAATAGGGGGTGTTCCCTCCAAATGCCGTCTGAATCCCCACTAAAAGGGACACCCACCCTATTCATCAACCAGGGGTTTGTTCATCTGGGGTCAACATTGCAAGGAAAAAGCAGAGTTAATGTGTTATTTTCATGGGAATCGGTTGAACCACGGGTCAAACGGATGCTGATTGTCCAAGAGAAAACGAGGTTTGCCAAAAGGAACGGGCAAACAGGTTGGAGTTAACTGAAGTGTCCTCAGATCCCCTGATGAAAGTTTAACTTGTGGGTTCCCACTCAACCAACTAACCAGCTGCAACCTAGGTTGAACCGGATGGCTGGGAACCACCAAGTTGCTCAGGATTCTCATCATCTAAATGGCCATGGGTCAAAACCCCGGTTAGCCCCCAGTGAACATCCCAATCCAAACACTAAAATGGGTTCTAACATGGGTGGTGAGTTCACCAAACAAACCAAAATGGGATCCCAAAACGGTTTCGACCACCACAGCCAAATTGATTCTGCGCTAACCGGATTCCCAGGTCTCTTCTACCTTTCCCCACCCAAAATCCCGGAAACCTTCCTGGAGTCTCCTTCTGACCCGAATCAAACATAGGTCAACTGGGATCCGTACATACACCTGAACATTGCCCTGGAAATGGTGGTTTCCTTTTATTTTGGTGGAAAAAGCCATGTCTCAAATGGGCAACATGCATCTTTTAAGGAGCCCTGTGTAAAACTGGGTCAATGACTAACCATCATTTTGGGTGGTGACCAACCATTTTTCAAAGGTCAGAAGGAGACTCCAGGTTCATTGCAGTGTGTTCTGCCCATTGCCAATTCGGAGGCGTCTAAGCTGGCGGCAGCTGAGCTCTGAGTCGCCTTGCGAAGTCTGGCTGCAGCCTCGCCGGTGGAACTGTGAGCCTTCAGAGGGGCTGGGGGGGTCCCCCTAACTCCACTCCAAGTTCCATTTGTAAGGTAGGGATATTGACTCAGGTACCTGGAGTCTCCTTCTGACCCTTTAAAAATGGGTCGACGACCCCAAAATTTGGGGGTCATGACCCCATTTTTCAAGGGTCGAAGACTCCAGGTCATAAATCTGAAGCCTGAAATCAGGACTCCCAGGGATTCCAAACCTTTGTCATGAATATTTTGCCCGTTTCACCTCCGAATCGGTGAGCTGGAACCCATCAAAATAGGCAGCCTACGACTGGAGACCTGAACAAATACATGGCTGTGGCTCAAAAAACCGGTACCAAAATGGAGCCCTAGTAAATGGAACCAACGACTAAAACCCGCGGTTTGCCCCCCCTGTCTAATTTTGAGCCACACCCACATGGGCATTTCTGGATCCTGCCTGCATGGAAGCTGGCGAGAGGGCTGATAGGATTGACTTCGTTCCTTTTCGACGATAGGATTCGTTCCACCCCGTGAAAAAAAATGGCAACCAAGGGGGATTTTACTTCAGATGACAAGCCTAAGCCGCAAACAATGGTCAAAACAAGCACCCAACCATTGGTTTAGTGGCGGCAGCAGAGTCCCAGGGAAAATGGGAAGGAAACCATTAAAACAGAACCGCCCTTGTTTATCATTCGGGATTTATCTTAATTAGGTCTCCTTGGTTGACATTCGTTTTTCATGGGAATCGGTTGAACCTATTTGGGCATGAGTGTTGGACAAACAGGCTGGATTTCCCCAAATCAAAAGTTGATCAATTTACAGGTGGTGACCATTGAAACGATCGCAACATTTGGAGGGTCCAACACGGGAAATGGCTCGGAAACCCAGCCTTACCCACGTCCCAGATGCGGGCCCCATATGTGTCCGGTGGGTTTGGTTCTTTCGAGAATTTGCCAGACACTCAAATCCGGCGAATACTAGTTCGGTACTTGGACGGGCCCCTTGACTATACCCTGAGCTACGGGTAACTTGGAGGGGTGTGCGAATGCTCCTACTTGGGTGGATCGGCCAAGTCAAGTTGCTACAAATATAACCCGCTTCTTAGCGTAAGTGGAATTGTTCGGCCGTCTTGGACAAAGCTCAATGCCACCTCCCAAGATCCCATGGGCATCTGACCATTTGTCGCGCCCCGGGCTCCTGCGTGGGTCTGATCCGGCCATCGGCCCCGACTCGGCCAGCGCGAGCAACCCGAAAGGGGAACCCCCGGAAAGGAGCCGTGTGTACCTGGAGTCTCCTTCTGACCCCTAGAAAAAGGGGTCATGACCAACCAGAATTTAGGGGTCATGACCAACCATAACTTTTGGGGGCAATGACCAACCATTCAAGGGTCAAAAGGACCCTGTTTGGTCTGTTCCAGCTTTATGGGTCATTTCGGCAGACCCCACCCAGGGACAAAACTTGATCGGAATCCACCGAACTTGTGGGTCCCCACAGCTTAGGGTGGACAAAACCCCTACCAGTTGCATCCAAAAGAATCCTTTCTGTTTCCCTTTAAAACCACAGAACCTGCTTGATACCCTCAGAAGCAGACACACTTAGTTGGTAGTCGTGCATCCAGTATTCAGGGATTCATAGGTTTCATCCGTCCCCACCGGTGCAGGATTTTGTCCAAAGAAAACAAAACTTTGGCCCCCCTTGAAGCTTCTCAGCATCCATGAATGCCTAGCCCACACGCGAAGGATTCGGCTGTGGCATCACTTGAACCTCAATATATATGTGTGTGTGTGTCTTTTTGGGAGTTGGTACCCCTATTTTTCTCGCTTAAAAGTCAACCAAAAGGAAAACAAGTGCAAATTTGGGGTCCTCCAAAAAAAGACACGCCCAAGGCGGCAACCGCATTGGTCAACCAACTTGCCAGGACAGGCAGGGGCAAACCAAAAGACACGGGCCCTTGGGAATACCGCTGAATTTCACCAGGATCCGAAGCAACCCTGAGAAAACCACGCAGGGCAACCACTCCGCCCCTTCCCCCTTTCCCCTCCCACCAAGAAACGACATGAAAACTAATCTCCTCAGCCAGTTGCTTGCCAAAAAGTGCATCTTTTTCGTGTTTGTCACTAAAACCTGATCTTGCCAAAATTGTTCAGAGCTCCCTATAGTTCCCCTTAAAACATCACCCCCCACCAAGGACACTCACCTTTCATGGGCCAAAAAGGTGATGTTTAAAACCAAAAAGGGAAATATAGGGACCTCTGTTGTTCAAGTCTAAAAGTGGAGCGAGACACTTCGACTTCGACCGGCTCCTGCTCTTGCTCTGCAGCATGCTAGCCACACCTCGGATGTTGCCCAACAGCAGGATCTCAGGTGAGGGAGTCAGAATCGGGTCGGTTGCCCCGGGAACCCAGAAATCAAAGGTTAACCATACCTGGAAGGTCAGTTTGGTCAAGGGACCACACGTCAGGTGCTATGTTAGTGGGGGTGAGGGTGACCTTTTGGGCTGATCAAAATGACTGAACATGGTTGCCAACATATTGACCACTGATAGTAATCCCCCCAAAAAGAAAGGATTCCCCACTAAAACAGGGGTTCCCCTCATTAATAGCAGTGGGGGGCTTAGCCATCAGGGGTCACCAGTATCCTCAATTAGACCAGCTTTTGATTGCGGCTCAGGCCGTCCTAATATTCTAGGGGGATCCTTCAACCCAGAACACATCCGGAAACCCGGGTCGAAAACGCCCAGTTTTTTTTTGGAGAGAACGATGCTTGAAAAGAATGGACAAGGAATCGACCCCTAAAAAAAATCCGCTGTGTGTGTGTTGTCTGAGAGGCTTCCCTTGCCAAGCACTGGACATGGCTGGGGCCTTCTACAACCAAGCCTCCGGCTCCAGCTGGCGCGATTTTTTTTTGGGGTCAAAGAGGCGGGAGAGCCTTCATGCTCAAGCAGGCCGGCAACCAGGGGACCCAGGAAGCTGAAGATATGGCTGTGGCTTAGACAGAGGTTCCGTTTTTTGGGGACTCTCCAAGAAGCCGGCCGGGGTCTTGCCGGGAAAAATAGAATCACTGGGTGGCTTAGGGTAACCCCAAAATGGGTTGCCCTGGTAAATGGAACCAAGGACTAAAACCTGCGCTACCCTGGTTAAATTTTGACCCATGGCTTCCCCAAGTCAACCCCAATGGGGATCATATCAGGGTCCGACTTTCTGGGTGCGAGTTTGCTCCCATGGATAAGCAGCGTCCTGTCCCTCTGGAAAAGAGTGAGGATGCGGCAAATCTGTGGATCCACCCCTGTAGGATATGAACGGAGTACCAAACAATCACAACAAAAGGGCCAAGAGTACCAAACAATAACAAAGGGACCAACAGGACACGTTGCATATAAATAGAATGGGTCAAAACAGCGCTTGCGCAAACCAGCTCTGCTTTTCCCAGCAACTCCAGTTGTCACTAATCACTGGGTCGCCCCCTTCGGCTTGTACAATGAAGGGCATGTTCTTTGGACAGAACTTATAGTTCCCACACGGTGGTATGATTAGAGTTAGGCCCAGTTTTAGACTTTCTTCTTGTTTGCTTCACTTTGCGTCACATGGGTAAAATATAACATGTATCATAAGTCTACCCTGACTTGGATCCTCGCATTCCCTCGCTCTTGGACTTCGTTCAGTCGCACCCACATATGGCCTTGTCTCAGCAAACAACCCCACATTTTGTTGGTGTTCCTTTTGGTTTCCTTTAAACTGGGCCCAGGAATGGGTTTGTCTCGCAAGAGAACCCCACATTTTGCTGGTCTTCCTGTTGGTTTCCCTCAAAACTGGGCCCCCCCGAAGCCAATGGATCACCTTTCCAAAAGCCAGTGGTTTTCCAAAGGCCTCTCTGGGCGATTCGGTCGCACAGGCCAGCCAAGCAAAATGATCCAAGCAAGGATTCCCTCAACCAAAAGGCAACTGGGTGCGGTGTGTGCGTAGTTGTTGTTTTTTCGGGGGGACCCCTTTGGTTGGGTTTAGAGGGAAACCATATGTTGTTCTTACTTGGAGGTTCGTTGCCAAGATTTGCCAAGTCTTGGCAAGTGGCTGGCCTGGGTGACCCGCTAGCTTTTAGGGTTCCCGATTTTGACACATAATGTTGACCCCAGATTAATCAACCCCAGTATATCAAGGGGGGGTGCTCTGGTTTTAGTGAATCATCAATTGTGGAGGGGAACTCCCCAGAAGAAAAAAACACGGGTTTATGAAAACCCGGGCCATTACCCAAATGCTCCCACTCACCCCCTGGGGTTTCTCTCCCGTTTTGGGCGGCCGGGCGCAAGTAGCACAGGAGGTATGCCACGTGGTTGGCGCCGTTGCCCACGTTGATGCCCGCATCGGGGCCCAGAGGCGTGAAAGACGGATCCGCCGGGATGGCCGAGTAGCGCTGCCACCTCACTTTTGTCGGGGGCTTGGGATGCGCAGGCGTAACAGAAAGCAGATCCCTTCGCAACATAGGCGTATCTCAGTTGGCTTCCAAACCTCTGGGGGGGGGTGTCGAAGTGGACCGGGTCTCCTAAATAAGACGCCTCTCCAATCCAACGCAGGTGTTTGATGGGGTTCCCGTGAACGCGTCAGGGTGCCACACAGGGCCAACTCCCCGCATCATGGGCCCCGAGAAAATTCTGGTGGGTGGACCACAGGAAAGGAAACCAAACAAAAAACCAAACCAATCTGCGGGACCCTTGCGCTTGAATTGTGTCCCTAAGGGCAAGTGAACAGAAATACACGGAAAACCCGTTGGGACCTTTAGGAATGGACCGCAAAAAAGGAAGTTCAATAGGTCAAAAAGGTCGGGATTGGACAAGTGAGTGTGTAGTTGGCGTAACCCAAACCCTAAACCTATACCCCCAAAAGCAGCCAACTTCGTGATCTCCGGCACGAGAGCCCTAGCCTTTTTATACATGCTTGTGGGAAACAACCCCAAATGCGTGTTACCACGGGATCCCTATGACTAGTTTCTCATCTCAAGGATTCCCACAGAAAGTGGCAACTTACTGTGGATGGACAAATTCCTGCACCACTTTGAATCCATGAGATTCCACTGTTGGTTGGTATTTACGGCGGAATCGAATCATTCCAGGGTTTCTGAACGGTGGTGCGAAATCCGTAACATTCATAGTAAGACCCCAATCGTCAAAAAGGCAAGAAGGATACAGGCAATCCCACAACCCTTGCTGGTGCTCAGCAGGGAATGAGAAATGGAATGGGCCCTATAAACCATTCAACTTGTGGTTTCCTTTCAGGGAATTTGTTGGCTCATTCCCCACTCTCGCACCGATCGCAAGAACCACTCCTAGGTCCTCCAGTAGAGGGGTTAGAATAATTTGGTACCCGTTTTGCTGTAGCCCATTTTTGTAGGGGAACCCTCCCAACCCAAAAAGATTTGGGTGAGAAAGGGCACCCTTTCGCTGGGGGACCTAGACTCCGTCCGTGGCATGGCCCCGATAAACCATTCAACTTGTGGTTTCCATCAAGGGGAACTTGCGGGTTTCCCACAAATCCCGATCTCGCCAATCGCAAGAACTCCGAACACTCCGAGCACTCCGAACACTCCGCGGCTGATCAAGAATAATGGGATTCCCCACATGGACACCGAGCGCTTCCGCACATCCGCCGCGGTGGCCCCGAACGGATCAAAGTCCTCCGGTGGCGCCACGCAACTCATGCGCCGCATGGGGGGGTCTTTCCCGACTTTCGGTTGGCGTGTAAAGGAAACCTTTCTGGGAGACCAGTTAGGAAAATATCCCTTGTGGTTAAAAGGCAAAGCCTTGAGGGAAATCAGAGAGAAAGCAAAACGACACGTATTCTCTGGCGCCAGTGATAGCTTGAGTGTTTGGCCAAGCCAGGGCCCTCACAAAGCTTCTTTTTTAATGGCCAGCCATGAGCCTTTGGGTGCTTAGTCAGTAGGGAATAACCATGGATATGTCCACTTGCTATGGTCATAAGTCTCCTAAGTGGGTTACAACCAGGCATACTGACCACTTAGAAAGTACCCTGCCCCTTTAAGCAGCGACTGATAGATGCCGCAAGATCTGATTCTCCTGTGAATGCAGTCCCAGCGAGACGCTCGCAGTCTGCAGTACCCTGATGAAGAAGTGCGCGTCCCTCTGGCAAGAGCCTCAGGAGTGCGTTCGCTTTTCCGGTGTCAAGCGTCTACCCAGATGCTCTTAAAGGGTGGCGGAAGGGTAAGTGTCAAAAGCATAGGTGTCCTTTTAAGGGAAATAGATGGGTTTCCCTGGTAGATGATTAAACCATCAGGTCAACCAGGAATCGCCATCAAGTTCTCTACGGTGTACCAAAACAACCAAAAAGGACACTTATGTGTCAAAAGGATTCGGACCGGGTCCCAAAATGATGGGCTTCCCTAATCCCAAAACGGGTACCCCGAAAGGCAGACTTGGCAGCGGCCGCCCTCGAAGCTGGGATGCTCCCTCCAAGGCCCCGAACGAGCAAAGGGTCGATCACTCGATCGTCTTTTGTAACCTTTCGCAAAATCCAAATTGGCTTCCAACTAAGCACCTACTAGGTTTCAAATTCGGACAATCCATTTGTTTCCAGGTCCTACAGTGAGGTTGGAATAAGGGTACCATTTTTTTCTGTAGTCTATTTGAACATTTGAGTAGGGGAACCCTCCCCCCAGTTTCAAAAGGGCACTACTGGAAAACATACCCAGCGACTCCTAGTAACCTGTATAGCTAGTAACTGGCCGTTGGCGACTGTGTTTTTGGGAACCAGGCTTGGTTCCCAAAAAAGTGGGAACCAGATTCCTGTCTAACGGTTGTAACGGTTCCGGGCCTCTTTTTCACGGTTCCGGGCCTCTTTTTCACGGTTCCGGGCCTCTTTTTCACGGTTCCGGGCCTTTTTTTCACGGTTCCGGGCCCCAATTTCACGGTTCCGGGCCCTTTTTTTGTGGTTCCTGGAACCAGCGGTCTGTTACCAATATGGCAGGTAACCAAGCTGGTTCCGCACATGGAGGTAACTGGAAGCACTGGGCTAGGTTTCCAACAAATCCGTTTCTGTCCAACGCATCGGCGTCCCAAACGGCCCGCACTTCGGGCATCTCTGACGCTCATCTCCGCCCGGGTTTCGCCCGAGCCCCGGGCGGAGCAGGTCGCCCCGCGGCAAACTGGAGGACTCCCAGTGCTGCGCGTACTGCGAGTTTGGAGCGAGTCATCTGCATACGTAAAAAGGGTTCCCTCAAAACAAGACTGCGTGTTTCGGGGGCCGGGCCGGAGGGAGCAACGTATGGCACATGAAAGGACTCCAGGACTTCCAGTGGATTTCACCTTGGGAGTTCGTTTGAATGGGTTGGATGTACCTGGAGTCTCCCTAAGGACCCTTGAAAAATGGTTGGTCAGGACCCAAAAATTTGGTTGGTCATTGACCCATGTTTAAAGGGTCAGAAGGAGACTCCAGGTACTTTGGTTACTGACCCCAGTGCTTCCAGTTAATTACAGTAAGTAACCACCGAAAACCATCATGTCAAACCTGGGGAAAACAAACGACAAACGGAAGGGTTGCCTATACTGGAACCCTCCCACCAGCTAACATGGGTGTGTGCACAAACCCCTGAAGAAAGACGAGCTTCCTCTTGACAAGGGCCGTTTTTTGCACTTCCAGGTTAGTTGGTGGGAGGGTGACGGGCCCTGGTTGACTGGGACAGATTGAAGTACAATCGATGCACGTCAGGACTCCCTCAGGCTCCTTCCCACTTGGGTCACCAAGTCTTCCTAAGAACTGGGGGATTCCATGGAAGTCGTCTGGGGGAGGAGTTGGTAACCTACTTCAAGGGGAGGGTAAGACCTCAAATGGGGCGATTGGGCAGCGATACTTCCAGTGGCTTCTGTGGGATGTAAGCATGGTTCTCACCCACTTGCTAAGAACCCTGCCCCATGAAGTTTTCGGTGCATGGACGAAATCCGTTCGCATCACTATGAAACGATGGTTGAAACCATTGCTTCTATTTGCTTAAGACACCTGGAACAAATAGACATATTTCCAGTAGAGAAACAATGATGAAAAATGGCCTCCCAACTTCTTGAATGCCACTATGGCAGCTAGACCCGAGAAGTGAAAGCAAGAAACAGAACTCGGGAAGTTTTTGGCAACTGAAATCCAGTAGCTTCTCTCAAAAGGCCAACAAATGGTGAAACATACCCCTAAATCTAGGATCCCAGGACCTCAAATATGAGGGCCAAAAAGGCCCCAAAGGCCTCATTTTTGTTCGGGTCTTGAGATCCTAGGCAACCTCGGTTGCTTTCTGTTAGTTTAACTAATGGAAAACCCATGAGTTGGCAAAAATATATTCAGTCCTAACATCCCTTGGCAAAATGCACCAAAGCAACCATTGGTTAAATTATTAAATTGCAACGTCGGAGCGAGCTCGGTCCCAAGAAGCCAACAAAAAAAAAACCGACGGCTCCTGTGTCATGCATTCCGGCTGGATGGCAATGGTCTCGGCCAGTGTGGAAGGCCTGGGTTTCCATGGTGCGTTTGACCCCGGGCCTGTCTGACTCAAGACACTACGGCCTCAAGCTTAACCCCCTTCGAATTACAAAACAGGAACCCCGCAATTGCCGCGCCCAAAGGGAGTATCCTCTACAACCGTGACTTCGTTAAGGCCAAAAGCTCTCGGCCAAAACCTCACACAAGCAACAGCTGAAGGTGCTTCTTTAGATGTACTCCGCTGCTTGTTCAACATGGGACCCCACAATTACCCCTTATTTTCCTCCTCTACCAAATGATGAGTTGTTCAGTTCCAATCTGCAAGGATTGGAGATCCTATGACTGCGCTGAAAGAGGGTTTGGCTGGGCAAATGGAACTTCGGCAAGGACCAACCGATGATAACCCTTGAGGAAACACCCAAATGGAAAGCCACTGCTGGGGACATCACATTCGAGTCCAAGCGCGCAATATTCATCGCCACAAGCGTTGCCAACCCAATGTTCCGTGGGCAGTTGACTTTATAGGATTCCAAGTCCAAGCCTCCAATCTCCGTTTTTCGTTCGGAAGAAGATTAGAACGTGTGTCCAGTGGTCATACATCCCTTTTAAAACCGGCAAGGGTAATTGCAAATCATCTGATATCTTCAGCCAATGGAGTTGACTTTCCAAAAATAAGACCTGGAACAAGACCTCATTAATTGGGTGAAGGACACGCGGGGGAGGGGGAGTAGCGGAAGGGGGTTTTGGATTCTGCCGGGCTGTTCAAAATGAACGGCTGACCGCCTATGGGGAAACTGCAAAACTGCAAAGCTGGTTAAAGGAAACCAGAGGGGATGGTGTATAGGATCATTCCCTACTGAGCACCAGCAAGATGAACCCCCGAACGAGAAAAAGGTCGCCATCAGCCTTTGAGTTCATTTGGAAAACCAGCCCGGAGACTCCCGTGGACGGATTCCTTTTCATCAAACCCAACACCGCACATGTGAGGAACTTGGACCCGTTGCGCAGTCCTGAAAAACGTGTTGCGATGCGTTCACAAAGAGTCCAGCCATGACTGATGACCCCTTCGACCCAAAATGCATGTCCTGAACGGGCAAAGGAACTGCTTGTGACCCGGGATACTTGGGGAAATCCAATAACCGAGCTGAACCCAAAATCATAGGTGGTTTTGTTTGGTCAACTAGATGGCCCTGATACATGGAATTAAACCAATCAAAAGCAGTGGAATTCATGTATTTCTAAACAAAGTAACCTAAAAGGACACCTATACACAAGATCTATTGGGGTTTCCTATGTATTGATTCCCCCGCGGCCAACAACCCGCCTCCAGAACGCTACCCCCCCCCCCAGTCGCACAAGGCAACAATCTTAGTTGGCCTTGCTGTTTCTCCAGATTGTTGGCCTCCCAGAGGGTTGAAATCCAACTCCAAACGACCACACACCACCTAGGTCCTCCAGTAGAGAGGTTAGAATAAAGGTACCCTTTTTGTGTAGTCTGTTTTAGAAGGGAAACCCTCCCCCCAAAAAGGGGCGAGAAGGGCACCTAGCAGGGGGACCTAGTCACCTTTTCCATAAACGGCTTGTCAGATCGACGCAAAACAAAAATGGTGCAAAAAAAACGGAGCTGGCAATGGAAACAGGGAGCCGACTCGAAGCAAGCTCTGAGCGACCAGCAGCTCCAGTACATCAAGAGGAAGCTCCTGGAGCATGAGGCCTACTTAACTTGATCGAGGCAGGGTAATTACGTCAGGCAAGTGGGTAATAACCACAGTTATAACCCACTTACTACCAAGGTTACAAGTCTGTCAAGTGGATTAAAACCAGGCCTACTATTAACTACCCTGCCCCTTCAAGTGGGTGTCAAATGGAGTTGCGTTGTTGTGCGAGATGGATAGCTGTCTGAGTTTGGTTCAAAGGAACGTGTGCGAAAAGGAACAAGGACAACCTTTTGGTTGGGTGGGTGTTGCGGCTCGATACCCTTTTCAGACTGGTGAAAAGCGAATTCTGGGAAAATCCGAAGCCATTCTGGCAGTTCCAAATCCCAAAGAGTCACATCGAAATGGTGAGTTCCGGACTATTCACTACTCAACTCTAAGGGGTTCTGGTCACACTCTCCGGCGCAACTCTAAGAAGTTCCGGAGCGTTCCCGGGGGTTCCGGGGCTGTTGGGTATACTTGGAGATTGATCAACAGGTCCGATAAACATGGGATGACCATTGGGAAGCACCACCGAAACGATTACATAGATATTTCCATCACTAAAGGGGAACAGTTACCCATGGTCATTTGGGGCCGAAGAAAATATTGATCAACCCTCAAATAGACCATCCCCTTCTGGTGTCCTTGAGAGTGACCTAAAAATGGGCTACGTAGCATGTCCTGATCCTGTGGGTCATGTTTGGAGAGTCATGGAGATCGCAGCTGTCATGGGAACCCTGTGGTGGACATCATTTTGGCGGGGATTCATGTCCACCAACCACTTTTGAGGTGGTTACCTATTCAAGTTCATAGCCATCTAAGTCCCCCCAAGGACCTTCATGGCTATTCATGGTGCTTTGATTTTGCCCCAAGCGTCGACCCAGCTTTGGTCCGTTGTTAAAGGAAACCTCCACAAACAATTGGCCAACTCACTTCAAAGGACCTGGAGTAACTTAAGACATAACTTCGGTGACCAAAGGATGACTGTTTAGTGCTCAAAAAAGCAAGCCACTATAGTAGGTAATCCCTTGGCATGTTTATCTCCAGGATTTACCGTGGATGGTTTCCCCTGGGAAAGGGCAACGTAAGATGGTTCCAAACGTTGACCCACACTGTGTTTGTGTTTGCCCCAGGGTTCAATCCAATTTGATACTCCTGAACGGCAAACAATGGTGACATATATGAACCCAACCATTCTTTTGATAGCTCTAACTGAACGCCAGGGTAAGCACTGGAAAGGATTCAATCCATTAAAACCAAGGGGTTCTTATTAACCACCGTTCACCCTTGTTTACCCCCTTGTTTCCCTGGTGCTGAACCCCAGGGTTTCTGTGTTTCGGTTCCTTCTTTGCTTTGTTCTTGCTCACATTTGGGTCTGTCTTTTTTTGAGGGAAGCCCCACAAAACCGTTGCTTTCCTGTGGGTTTCAAGCCTTACAACCACCGACCAAGGCATACCAACTCAAAAAAGAAAACACGAGCAACGCCTCCCTCGGCTCCGACGACTTTTTGGGCTCTGACGACTCTGAGGCGCGGGCATCGAAATCTCCGGGGGCGCCTTGGTGGCAAAGGATGTGCACCGCCTGCGGGCCACGCGGCGCTTCGCGGCGAATGGCCACGCCGTGACTCTGGGCGCCCGCTCCCTCCGCTCGTTGTGTTTTTTCTTCAGCCAAAGGCGCATCAGGTGTTGTAGGTTCACTTCACTTCCGATCGAGTGGGTTGGCAAAAGGAGCCCTGGAACTTTTTGTGTACCAACTAAAACGGTCCAAACCCAAAACAAAAAAAGTCCATGAACTCAGGGAGTGAGTTCAATGGAAAAGCCGGGGATTGAAATCGAGCCACTGTCAGCAAAGATGTCACATGGGCAACGTTGACCCAGATTTCACCTCTCAAGAGACTTTCCGGAGCAGCCCCCTTTCCCTCCATTGAAAAGGGCGCATCATTTGTTCAAAAATCTGGACTGTCCGTTTTGAGTTCCCCTGCCCAAAAACAAACTTGTGGGTTAAATGGCAAGCCGCACTAAACCATCTAAAAACCAAACACCGCAAGAACCTGACGGCTGGAATGGAAACTGCCAAGAAACATAAGCCGTGGAGCCTCCCTTGGAGCCCCCCCCCCCCTGAAACCATGTCCATGTGCTGCTTCTTGCTGGGACCTTGTGGGCCTTCCCCCATACTTCCAACTCGGAAGTTTGACAAGGCGGAAGTCCTCGAAACTTGGCTCGAATGGTGATCAAACTTGACACCCCTACAAAAAATATATCAAAAACATAGTTTTGTACCAACCTCAGTGACCCCGAAAATCCTCGGTTGCGAAATCTGCGAAGCCCTGCTAAAAGTTTGACTAACTTTTAGTGGCTTAGTCCGGAAAACCAATCCATCAGTTGGCAAAAAGTTCTCAAGTCCTAACAGCCCTGGGCAAAATGCCTCCCAAAGGCTCCATGAGACTCATCAAAAGCGCGCCCCGGGAAGGCGCCGGACGAAGCAGTCCAAGGCTCCCACGGATTTTTTTTGGCCGGGGACGAAAACAAAAACCACCGGCGCCCGTGTTTCTGTGTCAACGGTGTTTCTTGGTTTCTGTGTTGGTTGGGAGGTGTTTTTCTTTTGAGTCTCGGTACCTTTAGCTTGGTTTGGCCATAGAAGCCAAAGAGTATTGGGGTTTCGAACTCTGTTGTGACACCCAAATAGGAGGCCTGGATAAAAATGAAAAACATGCCCGTGTTGTGTGTTAAATAGGAAACATGTTATTTTGGAGATTCCGACCCCTTTGTTGACATATACCCGAAATCTAGCCCCTTCCGTGTCCGTTCGTGCCGTGGGCCGGCCACCATAAAAATTCGAAGGCTCTCACTTCCGATCGACTGGATGGGTCAAAAGTCTGAAATCTAGGTCCTCCAGTAGAGAGGTTAGAATAAGGGTACCCTTTTTTCTGTAGTCTATTTTGGTAGGGGAACCCTCCACCAAAAAAAGGTAAAAGGGCACTACTGGGGCACCTAGGAAATGGTCCAACCCCAAAAAGTTGAAAGTCCGAAGCGGAACTCAGGAAGTGAGGGTTGGCTCCATATTTCACCACCATTTGGCGTTCGAACGGATTGTCATCTAACTTGGGTCCGGCCTCCAAGGAGGCCATCCTTTTCATGGGAATCGGTTGATTCCTGCTTGGTGTTCGAACAACATCAGGTAAGTAAGTAGGATATAACCATGGTTACAGGGGACTAGCCCCTGATACCCTCAACCCGCATTGCGCCAGGAACACGCGTGTGAAGGTCTTGGGACACACCCCCTACTCCAAATACCCACTTTTGTTCAAGAATGCCATACGTGGATGTCCAACCAACTAGTTAATTAAAAACCATATGGGCATAACTAAGCCCAGGGGTGGTTTCTCTTCAGAGACTGCCATGGAAACTCGATCTGGGAGGCGCGCATGTCCCAGCTCGTGGGACACGCTCACCAGCTCCTCCGGGTTCAGCAGCTTGTCTGCGGACGCTTCCAAGACGTTCGGGCCGTCGCCCTGAAATTTTCTCTTGAAGAAACAAAAGCAGCCCCGCCCCCGCCCCACCCACCTCCACCCCCCACCCCCCTCAACCCCCACCCACTTCCCACCACCCGCAAGCTGCTCGACCCTCGGGCTTGGACACAGGAAAAGTGACAGGAAGAGGAAGAAAAGAAAGGCAAGGAGAAGAAGGGTAAAACACCTGCCGAGCTCGAAGCGCTTTGCGCCGCTATCATCACCAGCATCATCCAAAAGGAATAGATAACACCGAGTAGTAAGTAGCAACGAGACCATCAAAACACAACAGAGACACAAACATCAAAAGAAGGCCCTCCTAGCTAGTTCAGACCAAAAACAACCACAAGCAAACTGCACGTATTCAAAGGTCTGTAAGGTTGCCAGCCCGCCCGTGATGCTCAAGAGGCGTGCGCTTGTGGATGTTGTTCAAAGTTGCTTGTGGGGCGGTTGAGGCGCTGGGTGAGGAGGTGGTTGCAGTCGGGCCGCTGCTTCCTCCGCCTGCTCGCCAGGTGCCCCTCCTGCTCTGGCCCCTGAGTTGGAGCTTGAGGTAGAAAACAAGTCTTCATGCACTGCTTTGTATCTTGCCAAAAAATGGAACACGCATGTATCAAGAAGCGCCACCGACATTGTCTCACTCTTGAAACACTGCATTGTTGTATATTCAGAACTGCGGCTTTGCAGCATCTGCGCCCCTCTACTATGTGGCGTGAGCCGGCGTTATCAGCTGGCCCTGTTGTCGAGGCGTCAACTGGTCAGAGGTTTTGCAGTTTTGTTGTGTTCTTCTCGCGCGTCAGAATTCTGTCACACGCGCGGCAGCAGACGCAGCCAGGCGGGCAAAAGACGCCCGCCTTGAACTGCGCGGTCGCCTCAGCCAGCAACACGCTTAGTCCTCTGCCTTCCGGTACTCCTCTGTGCCCCTCTCAAATTCTGTCTCTGTTTCGGCGCACAGAAAGTTTGCCAAAAGCCGTTGTGGTAGCGCTGCTGCCTCTGCCTGCGCGCCTGACTGCTGGGCTGCCTTGACAGCCCGCCAGTCTTCGCGGTTTTGCAAAGCAAGAAAGCACTCCGCAGAGGATGGCTCCTGAGCCGCCGGTTGCCTGCGTCGCACAACCGCGAAGACCGCGGCCATCAGGGCCAGCGCGTAGCAAAGCAGTCTGGCCTTGATTTCGGGCAACTCGCCCGAGTCTCACTTTCTATATATCTCTCTGTCTGTCTGTCTATCTATCTATCTGTCTGTCTGTCTGTCTGTCTGTCTGTCTGTCTGTTTATCTATCTATCTATTTAGCTATCAGTCTGCCTGTACTTCACTGCCTACTTACCTACCTACTACCCGCCTACCCGTCAACTTTTCAGCCACAAAATCATCCGTCATCATTTATGTCGGTCTTTGCACCTTCTATCCAAATCGATTCCTCTGTTTATCTATCTGGCTATTCATCTATAGATCTATCTATCTATCTACCTATCCATGTTCTGTGTATCCACTGCGTCTATTTGTTTATGCTGACGTGTTTGGGACATAAACACGCGTGCTGACAAATACACACAGAGAACACAGAATGTCTTCTCATGCGAGACACTATGGCCCATGTAGAAAAGACCGTCCATCCGCTTACCCAAGTTCTGATTCGAATGTCGGGCTATGGCTGCAACGTGAAGATGTGGAGCCTTTCTTCACATGCTCGGGCTCCGAGCTTGATGCTTTGTACCAGAATCCTCTGCTTGGCATTTTTGGTGTCAGTTGAGTTCTTCTATATTCCAACATTTCGGGCAAAACAAACTGGTGTTCGTGCAGTGGCTAAGGCGCCCTGCGCTTGGGCATTATGTCCTGATGAAAAAGTAAACGTGTAGAGCGTGCACCAGCCCCACGCCTGCCATTTGAGAGAGCGTTGTACAAATTGCACTTTCGCGGGCACGGTTTAACGGTCCGCCGGCTTTTTCGTTGCAAAGGCGAATGTAGTCCACAATAACTGTACGCATCGTCAGCATCAACAGCTTGCCAAAGACATTCACAGGATAATCTCTACATTGCTGGCACAAAGGCTTTGTCGATACATGTTAGCATACGGGCAGAAAAGCACACAGGACTGAAATCGGGCTGTTGAACCGTAATGCACGTTGCTATCATAGGTACTTGCGCAATCGCGTCACTAGAAGATGTTGGAACACATGCAGGATGTAACACGCACAGGAGATCGAATCGGCTGCACCGTCAGTGGACGCACTACGCGCACAAGACTGGAGCTCATTGCCAGGATGGCTTGCCGTGCTGTATTGATTGGCAGGCGTTGTGGTTTGCATGTCCTGTTTTTGGTAGCAAAATGCAAGTTGTCAAGGCTACGATCAAAATAAAGGACACGTAGCACGATGTGATATGTGGCAACCCCATGTCTTTGGCAAGCCAACAAATTAAAGCAAGAGTTGTTTGTTTGCCAATCCTGGCCAACTGACATTTGGCGGGCGGGCGGACTTGACAAGAAATCTACCAACCGCGTCCGATGGGCGTGGAGCGAGGATCGACAGAGATACAAAAACGTGAGCAGGTAGAAGATCAAGTGTAGCAACGCGGAACCCAGAAGATTCGCTATGGCGCTCGGACCTCCAAACTTGTTTTCCTCGCTATCAAGATTCTTGAGCCAAACGAGCGCGGGAGCGTCCGCTTGAAAAAGTCCTACCAATGAAATCTTACTGGTAGGGGTCAAAAAAGGTGAAACTGCGCGTGCCAGTGCGACTCAGTTAGTAAAAAACAGAGAATATGGACCTCGTGCAATTGCCTGCAAGCCTACCAAAGGGCCATTTCACTCATACTTGTCATCAGGTTTAGAAACATGTCTGGACCTTCAAACGTACCTGAAATTTATGCCTCCCGTGTCAATCGGCTGGTTTTTGCAATTCGTACCTTGTTTTCTTGGCTTGTCCTCTTTTTTGGACCTCGAGCAGTTTTTGGAGGCATGCGGGCTGTCAGGTCCTAACATGACCTACTCGAGCAGAAATGGTGTGCAAAAACGCCCGCAACGGCCCGCAAAACGAGCGCAAAAACCCGCAAACGAGCGCAAAATTGAAAAAGTGCTCAACTGAAAATATAAACCTCGGGCACTTGTTCCTTGCTCGGGCAGAAATTGAAGACTCGGGCACAAACTGTGTGTTCGAGCAGAAAAAAAGAAGCGAGCCAAAAAAAGAGAGGTATCAATGCAAGGTCCAGGTAGAGTGGCCTCGGCAGTGATGCGCCAGCATTTACAACAAACTGAGAAGAGTCGAGAAGAAAGACGTGACCAAGAGAACAAGCAAACCCTGTTGCGAGAGTGGCGTTCCTTCAAAAAATGGGGCGGCCTCAAGCCAACAAGGGAAGTTTATGAGAACGAAAGGCCAAACGACAACCAACAACTCCTTCAACAAAAGTTCAGACAATTACCTTCAACTACCCATTTGTTATTGCTGAACTAGGACTGAAGGGGGCTTTCCTCCTCAACCTTTCCTCCCACCACAGCCCCAAGCTACAGCGATCCATGTGAGGCCGCCACATTGAGCGACGCTGGTCGGAGTTGGACTTCAAGCATCACATACGTTATCTTCCATTTGGTTCAGGTGCCTGGAAAGAATAAAAAAATCCAGTAGTGATGCATTCCTTTTAAAAGCAACAAGTGAAAACATATTCTTAAGCAAATGGAAGTTATATACATGCATTACATACACTGCAAAGACCCCCGCCCCCACCCCCACCCCCCCCCCCCCACTCCCACCCACCCACCTCCCCACCCACCCCCCTGCCTCCCCACCTCCCCACCCACCCCCCTGCCTCCCCAACCCCCACCCCCACCCCTCGCCCGAAACCTACTTGGGCCCCCCGCTTTGGCTAAGGCCCGGCTTCTCCAAGTTACAGCCTCGCTTTCGGCCGCTGGAAGCGGAAAAGGGGGGGGAGGTGGCTGTCAACAATGCGAACCCAAAATGGGTTGCCCTGGTAAATGGAACCAACGACTAAAACGTGCGATCCATTTCCTGGTGGTTATATTTTGACCCATACCCAGGTACTACTTAAAGGTGCAGGAAGCGCTTTCGTCAGCCTCGTTAGAACCCACTGAACGGAGACTTATAACCATACGTTGGTTCTTACCAACTGGTCTGATGTACCGAATCGATCGATCGCCCCTTTCAAAGCCGTTGGAGAAAATCCGAAGAAGTATCCCCAGCCGGATCCCCTGGAACCGAATCTCTGGAACCCTCCCTGAAAGCTGCAACCCAACCACCCCTTTGTCGCCTAGAAACCCCTAAGCTTTCAGCTGTAGCCGAAAAGACCGCAGCAGTTGGTATTGATGGTTCATGAACCAGATTGCACGAAAGAAAGGCTAAGCAGTGATTTACTAGGTTTAAATCATGGTTTTCCCTGGTTGCCTCCTATAACAACTGAAAGCACTGAAGGTAAGAGCCGAACACAGGATCAATTCTACAGTGTCTCCTCTTCTCACACTCAGTCAATATGCGAGTTTCTGCTGCTCAGGAACTTGCCTTGCTGGCTTCATGAAAAATGGCAGCAGAAGTTTGTCTGAAGGGATAGTCAATTACTTCGCTGGTAACATGGCACTTGTATGCTCACTGTTGCGGCATGTTTATATAATCTGGACGAACAGTATGGATTCCACTTCTAACTATTTTCAGGCGCCCATGGCATGAAGCAGCTTGATGAATCCCCACTGAAGGGACACGCCCCCGATCAAAGTCGCCAACATTACAAAGGAACACATCCCCCCAAAACTCCCTCGATCAAAATTATTCAATGGTTTATTCACTTGGGGTCAATAACACATGGTGACTATAACCCCTCCCCCATTAAGTACACATGAAAACACAGGGTTAATATGGGTGTGGCTCAAAAATACAGGGCTAGGGCTACTGAGGTGTTTGTCTTCGGTTCCATTTACCAAGGTGCCATTTTGTACAATGTTATCAGCCACAGCTATATTGCGCGAGAGCTCTTTGAGAACCCCTGGCATTCCAGAAGGTTTTGCTGATTCTTGGGGACACGAATTCAAATCCTGCCCAGGAACTATAAATGGCAGCCAAACCCGAAACAGAACTCAGGGAGTGAGAAACTCGAAACCATCCGATTTTTGGGCTCCATTTGGCTGTGGGTCAAAATGATGTACCCAAGATGGGTTACCCTGCCAAGTGAAACCAAGCACTAAAACCTGCGGTCCATGGTGGTTTAATTTTGACCCATACCCAGGTCCTACTTAAAGGTACAGGAAGCGCTTTCGTAAGCCTGGTCATAACGCACTGCGGAGACTTATCACCATGGAACGCAGGGAGTGAGAAAGATTGTTGAGCTCCATTACCCATTTGGCCATGGGTCAAAATCCAAATCGTACTCCCAGTGAACATCAACCAATCCAACCACTAAAATTGGTTCCAACATGGGTAAAATGGGTGGTGAATTCACCTACCAACCAAAATGGGATCCCATTGGTTTTGACGCAACAAAGGTTCCAAAATGGGTGGTGAATTCACCTACCAAAATGGCATCCCAAAACGGTTTGGACAACCACAGCCATGTGGGAAAATCCTCCCAAATGGTCAGTTTCCTGTTTGTTTCCCTTCAAATGCGAGAAGGAAAAAAACATCGAAAGGGGTCGCCTCAAAAGCATGATGGCGAGGCACCCGTGTGGTGGTCATAACCCACTGAACTAAGACTTATCACCATGGGCTTTGTGGGACATATTACCATGGTTCTTACCTCCGAAGCCCATGTGTGCGGGGGAAGAAAAACAAACGCCTTCGAGCGCAACGCACCAAATGTGGGTCGCTGTTCGTTGTTTGAAAAGACCGGGGGAAAAAAAACGGCTGCACAGGTACCTGCCTGACTTTTTGGGGCTCCATTCGTCTCGAACCCCGGGGCCGTCCTTCGGTTTCTTTCCCTTTTCGCCGAGTCCTGGGCCCACGTAGGCGTGGCCCGGGCAGAGGCGCATGGCGCCCGGGAGGTCCACCAAGGGCCGGCCGATCAAGCTGGTCCTCGCCCCAGGCCGCCCCGGACCCCGCGGGGGCTTGTTGGTTTCTGCCAGTAGCTGGAAAAAATAAGAAAATATGTCTAGTGATAAATTCCTTTTAAAACCAACAAGGGAAAGTAAGAAAGATTCTTAAGCAAATGGAATGCTGAAAAAGCCTGCTGTAAGACCCTACCTGGAGTCTCCTTCTGACATTTGAAAAATGGTTGGTCGTTACCCATTTTTGTTTGGGTCATTCAACATACTGTAACCATCAGGGTGACACAGAACCCTACCTTTGCCTGTGCTATCTCTGTCAGGGACTATAGCTGGCGCTAACTTGGACGTGTTCCTACTGAGCTACTGCTCCGGTGCCTGGCCCTCCACCTACCGACTAGAGACTTACAACCATGGCTTTTGTGGGTTACAACCGGATCGATCGTCCCTTTGAAAGTACTTGGCCTGTCGTTGTTTTGTCGGTTTCTATCGAATTACTGTGGATTGTTGCGAGAACCAATTCGCTCCACCGTTGACCGTTGAGAAACCATGGAATGATTAGTTGTCACCTGAGCACACTGATGCTCCAGCAGAACCCATGCTTTGCGAGGGATCCAACTCAACCAATTCGTGGCGCGATTCCCTCTGCACATCTTGAGGAGCCGAACGGCGGAATGCAAAAATACGCCACAGAAATGGAATGAGACATCAGCCAGGAGAAGGTACTTACCTTTCATCTCCGAGCACTTCCAGTTACCATTGTGGGAGGCACCCCTTTGGTAGTTTTCCCTCTAGGTTTTACCATGGATGGTTTCCCCTGATTGCCAGCACGAACATGCAGATCAATCACCTCGTGTTGTGTTTTAGGAACCCATCTTGACTTGTCTGATCGGTGCAGAAAATCGCAACCTGGGGGTCAAGCCAAAACCAATCTGTCGACTATGACCCAAGGGACTGTCCCCAACCTTCTCTTCTCCTCTCGCAAAAGCACCAACATGGAACTGGCGGGCGCGGCTTTCATGGCTCAGTGCACTTTGGGGCAGGGACGTTTCCAGGACCTTTTTCACCTGTCACAACTGGGCATGCATGGGGTGACCAGGCAAAGCCCCGAAACAGATTTGACCTTCACCACATGGGACAAGTTATCCATGGTCATTTTTGGACCATCAACCCCCATGTGAAGAACATGTTTCAAAGCTTTCATCTCCGCGTCCTTCGGTAGAGATCGAGGTAGACGTATCCGAGCAGGCCTCTGCTCCCCTCTTGCCGAACCTCACCACAGCGTTTGGGTTTCAGGGGTGTACCAAATCCTTGTTCCCAACCCTGGGACTCAAATCACCCCCAAAGCAATGGGTGTCCATATCTCACTTCCTGAGTTGATGGGCCAAAAAAAGTCAAACTTTCTGTTCACCACTAAAATGGTCTTCCCAAAAAGTTTAAAGTCCAGGAACTCAGGGAGTGAGTATACTGGGTTGAACCCTAGAGGTTTGTGAATCCGGGGTTCCCATTCGTTGACATTGGCCGCGACCCCTTTGAGTAAGAACCCTGAGTCGCCGGCCGTGGACGGCGGCCCATCTGTGACCTGACGCCGAGCTCGGGGCTCGAGTCTGCGCTTGATAGCAACTGCATGAAAGGTAGTAGAACCATCTACCGATACCTGGAGTCTCCGTGACCCTTGAAAAATGGAGGCATTACCCAAAGTTTTGGGGTCATTGACCCGTTTTTGAAGGGTCATGGAGACTCCAGGTATATTTATGTTGGTGTTTTGTGGATGCAAAAGATAAAATCTAGACCTTACGAACAACCCGCATGAAGGTCGGACCATCTACCAACACAGCATGTTGGTTTTGGGATGCTTTGGGTGCTCACCTGGCCTCGGACCCTGGGTGAAAAGGCAGGGCGGCCCGATGGCCCTCATCCCTGTTTGCCTGGGGACCCTGGACGTCACTCCACCAACCTCTGTGAGGGAGTCGACGTTCTCCATGGAAATCATAGTCAGTTGCCACCATATCGCACAATATCGCAGTACCTAAACTGGGCTGTTCTCAGACCCCCCGCTAAAAGTTAAACTTGTTAGTAGGTCAACTGGAAATCCCCACCAAACACTAAAAAGCCAACAAGCTAAGGAACCGGATGGCTGGGAGCCACCAAGTAAACAAAGACGACCAAAATGCGCGACTTGCGCTTTGCCGCATGCTTGCCCCTGCGCCACATAGGCCGGGCAGTACCCTCTAAAAGCTGCTCCGCTTGGGCAGGGGCCAAACGGGTACCTCCCATTTCCATTCTGAACCCAGGGATCCTTCTTTCTAGAAAACCGCCGTTGAAACCCAGAGAAAACGGATCCGTTTTTTGGAAAGACCGATGGTTGAAAAGAATGGAAAAGGAATCAACCCCTAGAACTAAACCAATTACAAACCAAGAAGCCTGCGGAACCGCTACACCCAGCTCCGTTTGGGCACGGAAAAAGAAGGAAAGGAGAAAACCACGCGCCTCGAAGACTTGCACCGATCGGTGCCAGCCGTTGATCAATCTGGACACCACGTTGGCAGAGTCCGCCTAGTGCAAACAAGCAGGGAAACCAGCACGCAGTTGCCTGACAAATCCGACCTGCAAGGCGTTAACTGGTTGATGGCTAGGTCCTCCAGATTTGAGAGCTTAGAATAAGTTGGTACCTACCCTTTTTTCTGTAGTCTATTTTAGTAGGGGAACCTTCCCCCCAAAAAAGAACCGGTAAAAGGGCACCTAGCTGGGGGACCTAGATGGTTTCAAGGGAACCTGGGTTTGTCTCAAATTAGGGACCACCCTCACGCGATATACTCTTCATGCACGGGTAGCTCCAAAGTATTGGATCATGTTCGCCAAAGCTTCACGATTTTTAAGGGGCAAACAGGATTGGAATATTGATGAAACAAGGGTGCAGCTGGAAGCACTCGACTTGCAATCCATCCAAACAGGTCCTTTGTCTTGACTTGGGGTTGGTAACTTCCATAGGATTCATAACCCATCACATCCAACTCATCTGCGTTGACTCACATTGTGGTTTCTTCAAAGGTAGTCCGGAAAATATGCTTTGGCCGCTTTCGACATGCCAACGTAGGAAGGGGCTTGACATGTTTGGGTGTCATTGTTTGAGGATACCCTTTTTGGGCTTTGTTTGCAGGAAAACCAAAAGGAAACCACCCCTTTTGTGGGTCTCCAATTCAAGACAAGACCCGTTTGCCCTGTTTCCAACAACAATGAAAATGGACAGGATGCATTTACAAGACTGTTGCAAAACCTGTCAACTTCTATGACCTTCCTGTGCTTCCAGTTACCCCGAAAGTAGCTAACCACCGAAAACCATGGTGTGAGCTTAGGTCCGTTAAAACAATTGTTGTTGGATTCATATTGCATCACCATTGTTTACCATTCAGGATTCTCATCATCTACATCGGGTCCCCTTGGTTGCCATTCTTTTAATGGAATCCATTGAACCCATTTGGGTGTGAATGGCGCACCTTCTCTTGTCTCTAGTGTTCAACCCCCAATTAAAGGAATGATTGACCCGATTTGGATGATGACAATCCTCAGGTAAACAAAAGTGGTGAACTATGAAGCCAACCATTGCTTTAACGGTGGCCTGCCCGAATCCCAGGGCTTTCTGGGGTGGTTTTCATAGAACACCAGAAGGAACGCATCGATTGCTGGATGAGGGTGGTTGCAATACTAGGTCCTCCAGCAGAGAGGTTAGAATAAGGGTACCCTTTTGCCACATGGCGCATCCGCGATCGGCTGCGCTGGTGAGTGGGGCATGCCGCCCCACCACCAGTAACGGAGGCCCTCAGGGCCGTGACACGACAAAGCGCCTCGGAGAGCCAGAGGCTCAATCCGCAGGCCGGGTGAGCACCCCACAAAAGGAGGCCCACCGGCGCACTGTACGCCAAGGCACAAAGGACCCCAAACAGGCCCAACAGCCGCGCTGCACCGTGGGCCCCCCCGCACAGGAACCCAGGCTTTCCCCACAAGGCCGCAAGGCCGATGCAGCCCACCCCCCAAGAAGGGGGAAGGCACAAAACTGCTGTACAAGCGTAGGGCCCGAAGTTGGACAAGCAAGCCCAAGGAAGTCGGGACCTCCGGAGCCACTGGCACACGCCACAGGGATATGGAAAGCACCATGAGGTAGCAGCCCTAACGACCCAAGGGCACGATGGGCAAGGCAGCCCGCATCACCACCGCCGAAGAAGCCCAAGGTGTCAAAAGGGCACAACCCACACTCAGGTAGACCCGCCCAGAGAAGCAGATGCAGAGCGTGAAGAGAACGAGGAACCAAAGGGGCCGAAGGCGCACAACGAAGAGGGCCAGCAATACCTTCACCCCCTAAGAAAGGGGGTGTCTCGAGGCTGGGACTGACCCAAAGGCCAGGATGCCTCCCGGGTGAAGCGGACCAGCAACGAATGCGTCACCAAGCGGATAAGCTCCCCGAAGACGACACATCACTAACACGGCGAATGAAGAGGGTGACCAGGGGGTGCACGAGAAGCAGGTTGAAGACAGAGCTGCCAGCCATGGCTTTTTGGACGCAGGACCGGGCAGTGGAGCCCCAGCCCTGCCCCGGGGGCTCAGCTCCCTGAGCCGAGGGGTGCTTGAACCCGGACGGCTTAAGGGTACCCTTTTTTTCTGTAGTCCATTTCAATAGGGGAACCCTCCCCCCCCCAAAAAAACAAAACGGTCCACGGGCCCCCTTTCGCTGGGGGACCTGGAAAATTGGACCCCAGGGTTGATCGATCAACCTTCCACCGGGCTCGGAGGGCCTCTCGAAAGGTCACGGAGTAGGCCTTGCCCACCACCTCCAGCAGCTTGGGCCTTTGAGCTTCGGCCCAGCCGCTGCGGACCGCTGTCCCAAAGAAAAAAAACCTGGCACGAAAAATGGGCGGCTGTGGCTCAAAAAACCGGTACCAAAATGGAACCTTGGTAAGTGGACACATGGACCAAAACCCGCGTAACCCCTCCAGTTTAATCTTGAGCCACAGCCAGGCGGCGCGGATCTGAAAAAATAGATGGGGTGTGGGACTCCCTGGGTCCTCAACAGTCGGGTCAAAGGACACTTCGGGCAGGACCAAGCAACCAAACAACACACCCCGGGATTCAGGCAGGACTGGCTGGGAAATATAAAACTGTCTATTTAGGGATTGTCATCATCTCAATTGGGTTAACCATTCTTCTGATTGGGGGTTGAACCCTAGGGATTATAGAAGGTAACCACATGCCCAGATGGGTTCAACAGGTTCCCGTTAACCACATGGCAACCAAGGAGGGGCAGGCTGGAAATACTCACCCATCCCCCCTCAACCCTTCCCCTGAACTTGAGCATCTCACTTTCATGGAGTGCCCCCAAAGGGGGCAGGCCCTAGAGGGGGGGACGAACCCCAGGGAACCACCAGGTCCACCCAACAGTCATCGCTCAAACCTCAGCTTGCGGCATGCACCGGTCGGCAGGTAGGAACTGGGCCAGCCTGGGATGGATGCAGGAGACGTTAAAACCTCGGTATGGTTTGGGTGCTAAGTCTGGAAAAAAACATGAAATTGTGGGTCATTTACACAGCAAATATGGGTTTGGCTCCCTTTTGGGACATGAGTATTCCAAACCAACCCAAACCCACTGAAAGTCAACCCCAAACCCGCCCAACAGCAGCCTGGATGTCAGCCCTTCACTTCGCCTAAATCCACCCCAAAGACCCACCCTCATGAAGATCTAAGCCAGCCAAAAGCCCTCCTAACTTAAACCATCCCCCAGCAACTCCCAACTGCCACCCAACCACATCCAAGTGAGGCTGGTGATGCCGGGGATGCGGCCAGCCAACTAACCAACCAACCAACCAACCAACCAACCAACCAACCAACCAACCAACCAACCAACCAACCAACCAACCAACCAACCAACCAACCACCCACCCAACCACCCAACCAGGGGCCCAGCCCTAGAAAAACCGGCCTTAGGAAAGAAACACCGGATCCGCCACCCAGCCATGAACAAAAAAAGACTCCCATCTCCACTTTCAGAGCCAACTCAGGCTAGGTCCTCCAGTAGACAAGTTGGAATAAGGGTACCCTGTTATCTGTGGTCTATTTTGGTAGAGGAACCCTCCCCAAAAAATGAAACGGTAAAAGGGCACTACTGGGGGACCCAGAAGGCTTTAAGGGCTTAATAACTCCCTCCCATCCCCACAGCCACTGCCCCAACCTGAGACGAGCTTCCAGGTGCCCGGCTTCCACGTGTCGGCCTCTCGTGTGACCAGGGCGCGCCAGAAGGCCTCCAGCCAGCGAGTTCTTGAAGCTATCGGAAGCGCGGCGAGAAACATCCGGGCAGCTGAAAGCTTGTTTTTCCTTGTTTTAAAAAAAAGGTGTTTAAACGAAAAACAAACAGAACAAATCCAGCTCTCTGTGGATTCCTTTCCGAGGAATACATCCAGCTACTTGGTAATCATCATCTTAGAGAATATAGAGAATACAAGGGTGGTCCCAAAAGCAATCATCTCATGTATAGGAACCCAAAGGTACTCCACCAAATCCAGCTCCTTATGGATTCCTTTCAGAGAAAGTCAAACTATGGGTGCTCATCATCTCCCTGTGGTTTGCTTTTGGGGATTGTTGTGGAAGGATATGGGCATTTTGGCGCCCAGTTCATTGTGTGCCTGTGACTTGAATGGCGAATACCCTCGAAAATGGTTGATGAGCATAAATCCAAGTGACACTTGTGAACCTATCCCGAGTAAACAAAAGGACGGTCCGCACATTGGCCGAAAAGGTGATGTTTAACATGAGGACGAGGCAAGGGACACTTCGACACGCTTGTTCCAATTTGTCAGAGAGACTTTCAGCCCCTAGCCGCAAGCTTTCTGGACGTTAGCTGCAATCCGCCAGTTACTCCTCCCCCACGCTCCAAGTAGAAATTGGTTCGCAAAGCTTGCCCTCTGAGTTGGCCAAATGCTGGTATTCGTATATATATATATATATATGGACATGCGTAAAAAATAGAACTAAGTCTTGGTATGATTTGGGTGATTCTCAAACTTACGGACCCCTGCAGGTGGTTGATCTCCAGAAAACTAAAATCAAAAGGAACCCCGTACTTGTGAGAAGCGCCCATTATTAACATGACTGCAACTTTATGAAAACTGCCGTCATTTCTTGGCCCACAAACAGGGGGTACACAGCACATGTTCTGGTGCGGTTTCATATTTCGTCTAGCCTACTTGGATGTTTGGCCAAGATAGACCTGGGTTACAACCGAATCAAACTGCACAGTACAACGTGAAATCCTCAAAGGCTACCTGAGCTAAATGGGTGCTTTGCATCATGGAGCCCTAGAGGGGGCTATCCCTGGATAAGCCAAGTTGATAAACCCGTAGTAGGGCCTTGTCACGGGATTAACAAGGGATAGCCCAGGAATCCTTACATTATACACCTAAACATTGCCTTGTACATGGTGGTTTCCCTTTGTGTTGGTGGAAAAAGCCATGTTTCAAATGGGCAAAATGTATCTTTTAAGGGGCCCTGCTGGCCCAGGGGTCCATGATGCAAAGAAAACAACCGGAACGCCTTATGTTCACTTTCATGGACCCAGTTCTTGGCCAGGTTGCATCGGTTAACAGAGTGCAGTGGTTCATAGTTCCTGGACAATTGTCGGTTCTCAGGAAAACACCAAGGGTTTTGGGAATGAACCTACTGTGGATGGACGAAATTCTGCACTTTGAAACCATTGTTGGTTGGTATGTACACGGGAATCGAAATATTCCAGGGTTTCTGAACGGCTGTGCGAAATGCATTTTGCAAGCATTCACAGTAGGGATCCCCTTAAAGGAAACACCCTCATTCGCTTCTAAGAGCCAACCGCAGGGATCCCCTTAAAGGAAAAAACAATAAGGGAGTCCCTCATTCGAATGCCACAGTAGGGATCCCCTTAAATTCCCTTGAAGGAAAAAACACACGGACTTCCCTCATTCGCTTCCAGGAAAAACCCGCATTCGCTTCTAAGCACCAAGAAAAGGGCTGCGGTTGAAACTGCATGCCTCACCTCGTCCACGTGGCTGACTTGCTTGCGCCCAGCGCCTACGGATCGCAGGTCGAAACCCGGTGCTACAAACGAGGCTATCATCTAAATCTGGGCGAAACATCATATGGCCACGAATTTCACTGGGGGACCCTTTGGTAGACATCATTTAGGTGGGAGTTCATGTCCGCCACAACTTCTGGGGGATTTGTTGGTGGACATCAAAATTCGGTGGGGGCTCATGTCCAGCAACCACTTTTGAGGTGGTTCCGACTCTACAAATTCATAGCCATGTTCAGATTCAGATTCTTTGTTCAGATTCTATCAGCTTCAATGGGCCCAGGTCCAGGTGGGTATCCCCAACAGCACCGGAACCCTTCCTCAAGGCTGCAACCCAAACCACCCTAGAGTCTATCTGGGCCTATCGACCCCCAAAACGCTTTCAGCTGTTGGGGAAATCACAAAAAGATAGGAGGAGACCCCAAGTAGCAGCTGACCTACCTACTCAACCTGCCAATAAGCAACTGTTTTGGGCGAGCCGCTGAAATGTGGCTCTATCTGTGCGTCCAACCCATTGACTATGTTGCCTTCGACCAACTAGTGCGTTGACGTACTTTTCTGTCAGCTGGCATGTTAGTGGGAGGAAGGGTACCACAACATCATCTCCTTCATCAGTGCAAACGATGGTGTTGCCTTCTTTGCTTTCCTGCTCTAATACCTGCTCACAACACTCATTGGTTCTCTAAAACCCCTACGAAGGGGTCCCTGACTGTGCCTAGCAACCCAAAGAAAAGAGTGTGCTAACCATGGCCGATAATATGGCTATGAGCGGCTATGAATTTCACTCGGGAACCCTCTGAAAAGGTGTGGGTGGACATGAATCCCCAGCTAAATCATGAATCCCATTAAAACCACAGCCAGTTGCGCCACGGTCAAAACGCTTTACATGGCCTTTGCTCATTACACTGAGGTGGTTGTTGAGCATCCCTACAACCAGGTGCATGACTATCCTAGCAACCCCATGTAAAGGGTCTGTTAAAACCATGGCACAGGTCTGTCTTTTGTTCGGGAACCCCTCCACAATAGTGGCGCTCCCCTTAATTTCCCTTTAGTACCTCAGGACAGCTCCGCGTTTCAAACTGTGTCAAACGTTCAATCGTCCCTCGCCTTTCTGGCTCCACTCCGTCATTTTCTTGATCACCTCGCGCGCTCGTGGCGATGTCTGCCTGGGTAAACTCTTGGAATCTACCCTGCTTGGCTGTTCGATTCGCCAAGTTAGTCAGTTGTTGGTAACTGTTCGGTTATAACCCGGTCAAAAACGCTCCCGTTCCGTGGAGTTGATCTTACTATTACTGCGTTTTATCCAGGTGTCTAACCATCCAAGTGTCCGATCAGGCGTGGTACGCAGATCTCCGGAACCCGTTCGTACCACACCCCGAGTTGGTGACTCTATCAGGACCCTTAGAGTATAGCATCAAAAAAGAAACTGGGCCCAACCCCCTTCACATGCATGGAGTATACTACACCCAGACTTGCGTTTGCAAGCGCCAATTTTCGACAAGTGCCCGCATTGTAGACCAGGGAGACGAAAAAACACAACACATTTCCCCACAAAATCCCATTTCTGGAACCCAGCAAGCGAGGAACCTGGCCCCAAGACCCGCTTGCCGTCACGCGGCTTTGGGTTGAATTTCCGGAAACGTGACAGGCCAGCCATGTAGCTAACCAGGCGGAACCCTCCCTTCCCTGAAAGCTGCAAACCACCAACCAGAACTTATTTGGGCCCATCCACCCCAGCTTTGAAGCTGGATTCCCAAACTGGACTGATTCCTACTACCACTTTTATATAATTCAAAGGCAGAACAAAAAGGGGTCCCCTACCACTTGTTTATTGGTCAAAGGCAGAAAAAAAAAGGAACTGATCCAAGAGTCCTGTTAAAGACCGCGCCTGGAGACAAATCGCCAATCACCCGGCCTTGCTCACAGCCGGCTGCGCATCCTGCCAGCCTCGAATCGACCGGTGAAGACTTGCTCCCGATTTAGTCGGCAGCCACCATTGAAACAATGGTTAGCGGTTCATACAGGTGCCTGGGAAATTGTTGGTTCTCAGGAAATAACGAAGGGTTTTGGGAAAGAACCTACTGTGTTCTCATTAAAACAATGATTGGCTTCATATTGCAACACCACTGCTTGAGGGTTGCCATGATCCAGATGGGGTCCCAAGGCCATTCCTTAAGCAGAAAGGTGAGTTTGAGTCTGGAACGTTCAAAGAGGATAAGACCTATCCTATCCATGAGGCTGACCATGGAATACATGAGGGAGATCCATTTGTTCCTCAAACTCAGAAACCCTTTCAGGTTGCTTTGCTTTTGCATTTCCTTGGAACTCGCTTCGCCAAGTTAGCTACAGTAGTAACCTAGCTATGACCTTCGTAAATAAGTTCCCACCCTGAGGGTCTCGATTGTTCTTGGGCCCTCAAAACTTTTCAAGGGCCCATGAGGGGTCGGGGTTTTCCATTGGAGGGTTCGGGGGTGTGCCTTGGAGGGGTCATTGGAGGGGTCATTGGAGGGGTCATGACCCTTCATTATGGCAACAGAGATAACCTTGTTGGGGGATATATTCCACAGGTAGCCAAACACTTCCAATGAACATCTCAAAGTACACAAGCGCTCTTCTAATTCACGCCACCTCTCAAACCTATGCCTGGAAGTGCCCCCAAAAAAAACAGAGCTGGTTTCCTCTATTAGGCACCTGACACATGGGTCAACCATCCCTTTCTGGGGAGGTGTGGAGCCGCTGAAGGCTCAGTATCCGAACCGAATCTCCGGAACCCTGAAAGCCAAGCCGATTTTGGGGCCCAAAACGACGCCCCAAACGCTTCCAGTCGGCGCAAACACAACTATGCAACTGGTCTTATTGCAACGCTCACTGAAAGCTCGTAAGTTTGACCCCCAAGAAACAAATAGAAGGAAAAGAAAGGCAAGATACTGAAAACTCGTAAGTTCGACATCCCCCCCCAAAAAAAAGAAGAAGAAGGAAACAACAGCAAACTTATGCGAGGGGGAAAAACCTCGGCCTAGGCAACGAAGATCCCAAGTCTCACTCACGGCTCGAAGCTCTCCGCGTGTGACTCGGGCCCCCGGGCACTGGTCCATGAACTTCCGGGCAGCTGCCTGACGTTTGCACATGGGGTTCACCACCACAGACCACATGGGAAAGATGGAAAAAATATGAGGCACATGGGGTTGACCAGAACCAAAAGAACATGGGAAAAGATTGGAACACATGTCCAGCAGTGAAATCGATTCCCTTCAAAACCAGGGGAAACAAACATTCATTTCGCCACAGAACTGTGGCTCAAAAACATGCTACCCAAAATGGCACCTTAAAGGTAAATGGAACCAAAGACTAAAACATGCGCTTTAATTTTGAGCCCCAGCCACATCTCAGCTTCCCCTTTCTGGGCGATTGATCGGCGGCTTCGAAGTTCTCCCATCGAATGTTTTCCACAAAAACCGCGGGTGGTGTAACCCCCAATCACCCATCCAAAGCACCAAGTAACTCGGTTGCGAAATCTGCTCCCCGGCTAGAAGTGGCTAACTTTTAGTGGTTAAATGGAAAACTATTAGTTGGCAAAAAGTTAAAGTTCTAACATCCAAGCAAAATGCACCAAAGGTAAGGGTCACCTGAAAAAATGAGTCAAGGTCCAAAAGACGTTCAGGCAACGTATGCGGGAGAAGCCACTCTGCATGTCAACAAGACCGATACCCCTGTGTTGAGCTTGACACCTCCGTATGGGAAATGCAGTTTGAAGACAATCTACTTTCGACTTGGCTTCCATTTGTTTAAATGTTACCCCAAGGGGGCCGGAGGCATGCAAAGTATGCCTCTGTCGTCAGATCCCCTGCTTTTCAGCCTAACTTTGAATTAGTGGGTGTGTGGAACCCCCCACTAAACTAAAGTAACGAAAAGTCTAAGGGGACGGCTGGGAACCCTTCGTTTTGGCGAAAACGCCGGATAAGCCGGGCTCTCTTTGAACTCCCTTTGAACCACCCGACAAAAACAACCCTCAAACAATATCATACACGCCCAAAGTGGAATACAGAACTGCCCCAGTGAAAGAAACTGCGCATCAAACGCCCCGCCGCTCCCCCCCCCCCCGGTACTCGCAGCCTCGTTCCCCAGCGCCAGTGGAGCCATCTCAAGGTCCGCAAAGCTCCTACCAAAAGTCCGGGGACCTAGAGATGTGCCCTTTTTGGGGTTCGCATAGATGAAGCCGAAAGGAAACCCACTTCTCTTTTTCTTTGGGGGGGGCCTCTATTTTGACAACTTCTATTAGTTTTATTACTTTTATTGTTGGTTTGCTTCTTCTGTTTCTTTTTTTTGGGGGGTCCTCTATTTTGACACAAACCCACACGGTGCTTGGGACATGAGCATCGGGCAAAACTATGCGTTTCCGCAAGAAAACGGTGGAACACTGGGAGACACCTCTGGTTCTTCTGTGATGGCGTGTCCTCAGATCCCCTGCTCAAATTGAGTTTAACCTTAGCGGGTTAAATACGGAAACCCCCGCTAAACCCCCTAAACAAAACTACCTGGACTCTCCATGACCCCTAGAAAAAGTGGTCATGACCCCATAATTTTGGGTAATGACCCCCATTTTCAAAGGGTCATGGAGACTCTAGGTAAAGCCCCCCCACCAAACCCCAAAAAAAAGCCTAAAGCCCTAAGCAACTTTAGCAAGTTAAACACGGAAACCCCACTACCCCCCCCCCCCCCCCAAAAAAAAAAAAAAGGCCTAACGACCTAATGCACTTTAGCGGGTTTTTCTACGGTACTTCCCCCAAAAGACCCCCATAAAAAACAAGGCTTGAAAGCCCTAGGGAACCGAATGCATGGGCTTGCCACCAAACCCACCCCTCACCCAGGCCCACAGCGACGCCGAAGAACAACCGCGTAACTCCCCGCTCTTGAAGCCCAGCTTCTCCGCGTAGACCTTCCGCGCCCCTCGGAGAGCGGGCTCTGCGTTTTGTTTGGTAAACGGCGGGGTCGGTGGGTCTCAGATCGGTTTGGCGGTGATAAAGCGTTTTTGTTGGTGGGTAGGGCTTCTTTTTAGGACTTGATACGTTGTCAAGGGACACACGAGAGAACTGTCCAACCACTTTCTATGGCCCCCACAGCTTCTAAGTGTTTCCCCAGTAATAGTGGGTAACGCTTCAGGTGTCTTACCTCGTTTGTTGTGACGGCTTGCCCTGGTTACGGGTTGTGCTGGCAACTGGAAGCACTGCACTGGGTAGGTGTTTCTTAAGGATCCCGAATTGTGGATGGTAACCAAAGGGAAAACAACCGGGGCGTCACCTAAAAGGACGCACCTGAGTTGACTGGCCAGAACAAGTTCAAAAACTGTTTAGGCCACCAAATTGATGAGGCAACTCATTGGAACATGGATTTTGGAAGACAGTCTTGAAGAGGCCGCTTACTTCAATAACTCTTGGAGAAAATGAAAGGAAGCAATTCAACCAATGCCAGGACCCCCCCCACCCTGCGATTGAATGGTTTAAGATTTAAGTTCTAGGGGTTGATTCCTTGTCCATTCTTTTCAACCATCCTTCTTTTCGTTTTCCCCGGGTTTCTGGAGGTTTTTTAGAAAGATTCGGATCCCTAAGAATGGACATGGGAGGTACCCCTAGACTTACGTGGCCTTCTTTGGTCTCCTTTAAAGGCCACGACTGAAGTTGAAAGCACTGAGGGGCGATCTCGAGATACACATCTCCGAGCCCGACGTCCCAAGAATGCCAAATGGACCCTCTGGACAACTGCTGGATCCTGCGTGGGAACTAGAGGATTTTAGCAAGAGTGTGTTTGTGTGTACCTCCCTCAATTATCAACTTGTACCATATCCCAAAAAAGAAAAGCGCCAGCGTCTAGGGCCCCCTGCTCAGCAATTCCAGCGCAGCCTTGCAACACATGCTGGACATAACAAAAAGCGAGAGTGTACCAGGTTCAGGAGGTTCCCACTTGTGATACCTAGGCCCTGTCTTGCTGAAGAATTGCATCAGTTTTGTCCAACGCTTCCAGGCAAGCCACAATAGCAATTCCTTCGGGATCCTTACCTCTAGGTTTTACCAAGCATGGTTTCTCCTGGTTACCTACTATATAGTAGAGTGGCAAATGCGAGCAGCACTGGGTCGGACACAAGTTTATGCGTCTTGTTCTCAAAAGGCACTATCGGGTCAGACGCGCATCGAATTAACACCCGTGTAGGTCTCTCTTCTTGAAGGATTCTAGGGGGAAAGGGTCGAAGTCGCTCTGACCTTCAAGAAGCGCAACTTTGGTCTGGCATGTGAAGTCGTTGGGAAAGCAAACCGTTCCCACAACAGCGATCATGGCTTACGCAGGTGATACTGTGCAGTGGCAACTGGTTGACTCCCGTCCCCATGGCTATGCACAGAAAGTGGACGCCTAAAAGCAAGAACGCTCTACTCCATCACCCTATGCAAACAGTCCCTTGGCTAAGCACATGTGTAGTATGAGGGAAAAGACACGGCGGGTGGTGGGGGGGAAGAAGCAAGAGGACAGCAAACAAGCCTAGGAAAATACAAACACTTGCCTAGAATTAAGTGTGTCAGGATTGACACTTGTTTGCGGCGAACTCTGAAATACCAGCAGCATCAACAACAAAGCATTACTGTTGTCTGCTTGCAGGTCATCAATTGGAGCCCCTGCGTTTCACCAATAGCAAGAGTGCCTGTAACGCGTGGACATACCGCAAAGTCGCTTAACGTAAACGTTTTCAGGGATCCTCAAATTCTGAGGGGTCCTCAAATTTTGAGGGGTCCTCAATTGTTGAGAGTGGCTGAGTGGAGCCCATCTCCTGGTCGATATGACTTGCGGTCTCAGCGCAATCGCGGAGACCGCGAGCTGGATGCCACAACATATTTCAGACGATCGCCCAAAACCCGCTTACCCTTGGTTCTACCAACTCTTTGTAAAGGTCTTCATGCGGGCCCTTGCAGTACTCCCCATAAACCAAATAGAACCACCAACTCAAATGGCCAGTTGGTGCTCACACGGGTTTGTCTTGAACTAGGACCCCCCCAAAAAAGACTCTGGTTTTCCCTTGGCTTCCCTTCAAAACCACCCCGATTTGGGGTATACCCTCAACAAAAAACACTCGGCGCCCAAGCAAACCTTGCCCTGACCTCCTCGCAGCGAGCGGCCGACAGAACCCGATCGGCGGCGCCTCATCCACCTGGTCGAAGTTGGCATAGAAGGCCTACGACAAGGCCGCTGAGCTTTAAACATGCCACGGGGAGCATAGGTGTCGTTGGTGAGGAGCCAGACGCCTGAGGTATTTCTGCATGGGTCTCTGGGTCTACCGTTAAATGGCCCTGGTAGATGACTGAACCGCCGGGTAAACCAGGGCCATCTGTTCTTCTTCCAAAACAATCCAAAAAGGACACCTATTACAGGGAGTTTCTCAGCCCCTTCATTGGCGGCCCCGAACGCGGGATCGCTCAAACGGGGGCGTTCCCAGGCAGTTTCGGGCAGTTTTGTTTTTTTGGTTTGCGCACACCTCTCAGAACATCTTGTTTATCGGGTTGTTTTGGGAAATTGTGTTTCTGCCACCTCCCCTCTTGGCCCAACACCAAAATGCGCCCAGAAACCAATAAGTTCAATATGCTTCATATTTCCGCTTGGATGTTCAATCAACGTCAGTAAAGCAGGCTATAACTGTGGTTCTAACTAGGGCTGGGGTTGGTCCCCTTACTACCGTTGTAGCCTGTTTACGGAAAGAATTGGCCAGAGCTGAGCTTCAACAATTCGACAATATGGGAGTGTGCCTCGTTCTCTTGAGGCGAAAGGTACCCTTGTCTTGGTTTAAGGGGAACCCAAAAGGAAAGCTGCCCTTCTCAAGGCCCATACTATATGAGTGCTGGCTGCTTTTGTGCTTATGTTCGGTTGCGTTTGGTGCCCTGATGAAAGGATGGACAATCTGTGAGTTCGTGTTGGAGGGTCCCTGGGCCTTGTTTGCGTGGCGTCCGAAAAGAAATCAAGCATCAACCCTAAAGCCTAAACCCTAAACCCTAAACCCCAAACCGTTGAAAGGTTCTTTTGAATTCGAGATTACACATGGTACGCAACTCATGTCGTCATGTTTCTCCGTCATATTCCCAGGCACGTGTCAAAGAAAACTTGTACCCCCCCAACCCAGCGACTCCTAGTAACCTGTATAGCTAGTAACTGGCCGTTGGCGACTGTTTTTTTGGAACCAGGCTTGGTTCCCAAAAAAGTGGGAACCAGATTCCTGTCTAACAGCTTTAACGGTTCCGGGCCTCTTTTTCACGGTTCCGGGCCTCTTTTTCACGGTTCCGGGCCTTTTTTCACACGGTTCCGGGCCCCAATTTCACTGGTTCCGCACATGGAGGTAACTGGAAGCACTGGGCAAGTTTTAGGAGGTTTCCAGGGTTTCCTTTAAACGAAGTCCGAAGAACAACTCCAGGGGAACACGTCGCTTCGCCCTCGCCTCGAAAATGCGGCGCCGAGTGCCCGGGTTCTGGCAGTAGGAGCTGATCTTGTTCATCGCGTCCAGGCCTTGGGAACCCTCGAAATGGAAGAACTCAAAGGCAAACGTCCAAATGCCGCACCTCGCGGCTTTTAAGCGCGCCACACAACGTGCTACCGTCCTCACTTCCTGAGTGGGTTGGTCAGAAAAGAGTACCCAAACTGGCTGTTGCCTACAATGGTGCAGACCCAAGTGACGACAGCCACTAGAATGGTCCAGACCCTAAAATGGTCCAAACCCAAAAAGTGACTAAAGCCCAGAACTCAGGGAGTGAGAAACTCAGCCTCTTTGGGCTGGAGTCCGGGCGGCTTAAACTTGCTGGTTCTCAGACTTTGGGAAATGAACCGCTCCAATTGCAAACAATGGGGTCATTGACCCATTTTTAGAGGGTCATGGAGACTCCAGCTAGCCAAGGAAACACACTTCGAGAAAGAACCTTGGCACCAAGAAATCCCGAGACAAAGGTGGCTTGTCGCCCCAAAAGAGGCGCCAGTGACCGGAGGATTCCATTGGAAACCCCCAGAGCGGGGAGTGGGGGCATGTCACTGCTGCCTGCCGTGGGATTTTCTCCGCGTTTCGGGGCCCGGGGGTTCATCCCTCAGCCAAGGCCCGCCTGCTTCAGCTTCTCCAGCCTGAAGGCTCAAGACATATGGCGTGCCTTGAATCAAATGTGTAGTGCCTATGTAGTGCTCCTATTAGGGAGGGGGGGCGTCGTTTATTATTAGGGGGAAGGGATTAGTCTTAGAGAAGGTTCAAGGATAGAGAAAAAAAACTGGCTCGTGCCCATGTCTTCAACAGTCCCAATGCCCACTGGCGGTCGAAATGCCCAAACAGAATGTGATCAAACATGAACAGAGGCACAAACACACATAAACACCAAAAAAGAAAATACACAAAGACAACAACACACACCCACACAAAAGCGAAAAAGACAAACATATATATATATATATATATATACAGTAATATCATATATACATAACAGTAGACATATATACCCATGTTAATATGAGCTGCGGCAGCTCCTTGCCACATCGAAAGGCCGGATGTTCCCAGCTCGTTCTCCAACCCAGCCATTTGGACTCATTGACCTTGTTATTGTCCAACGTGTGTCGTAATCTCAACTACCCAAATGTCCTGGCCCTGCCTCGGTTTGGGCTGCTCCCGCCTCGTTTAGATACTAATCTAGGTCCTTCCAGATTTGAGGTTAGAATAAGTTGGTACCCGCCTTTTGTTTTTTTAATTCCGTTTATTTTAGTAGGGGGAACCCTCCCCCAAAAAAGTTGGTAAAAGGGCACTACTGGGAGACCTAGTAATTCAGTATGGCACCCAACACATGTTTCCGCCTGGCCGTTACTGTAGTCTTCTGTAAATAACCGCAGTCCCTCATATGAACGCAGGCACCTAAAACAACACAAACACAAAGACACAAGGACACGGGAGCCAAACAAAAACTCGCTCCGAGCACCAACTTGTTCTTGGGTGTCATGTCTTCCCGGGCGCTCTTCCGATCAGACTTCCTGAGCACAGAAGTTGTGGGCTTCAGGTTCCCCTGGGTTTAATACCCACCTTTTCTAGGGTATTTGTTTGATAAACCTGGGTGTCCATGACAAGTACCTCCTTTTCTCGGGTCGACACCATACTTCAAACGTGGGTACTGGGCGGGTTTACGCCTAGCTTGGTCGTCCGATCGAAACCTCAAGGCCGTGCCTCTGCTTGTTCCTCCTGCCCAGAACCCGCAGCGTGTTCTGCTTCTCGATCTCCGCCATCTCGTGCCAGTTGTTGATGCCTAGCAACCCAATCGAGCCGTGGGAAAAGAACGGGCACCCTCTTCTGGGGGGTCTGGACAAAAAGAACATGAGCCCCCTTTTCATACGCTTCTTCATTGTTGCGATTTGGAACCCAGTTGTTGGTTGATGTTGAAAGGCAGAACCCTGCAACCAAGGGGACAATGTGTCAATGTGGCAGCTGGGCGCCCCTCCGAATACCACACAAGGGCTTCTACCAGGACCTCCCCTACGATCCGGTCAAATGCCCCTCAAATCCCTCTGCGGATTGACGCCACCTTCCATTTGGCTAAGACCCCTGGGTAGAACAAAATATGTCCGATAAATTCCGTTTAAAACCAACAAGGGAAAATAAAAAATATTCTTACGCAAGCAAATGGAAGAAACCGACCTCCTGGCTGACTCCTGGGGCGCGTTTGGAGAACTGAGAAGCTCCCAATGGCATGCACCAAGCCCACGTGATGTCAGCTGTACTTGGTGGAAGCCAGGTGAGCACATCCCACGAGCGATGGAATCATTCCCTTTAGGTCCTCCAGCAGAGAGGTTAGAATAAGGGTACCCTTTCTGTAGTCTGGAACCCTCCCTCAAAAAAGGGTTTTCAGGGCACTACTGGGGGACCTAGATGCTTATTGAGTAGTTTGGGTCGAGTGAAGTCTCGCTTTTGGTACCCGCTGATCAACAAACCGACTGCTTGCTTCTGCTTCGCCCTTGGGCCAAGCCTGGAAAACGTCTTCTGACCACTCTTTTGACAACCTCCGTTTGGCTTCTTGCAAACGACCAGGACCTTCCCCTCAAACCCAACAAAACCGCATCATCAACTTTTCCTAGGACCAAACACACCACCACCCCAAGCACGCCAAACCCAAAATGGTCAATATTTGTCTTTCCCAAGGGGGTGTTTGGGCGGGTGGGGATCCACGAAAGGGTACTACAAGACTTCCATTTGGTTGAGACCCCTGGATAAAACATCAGTAGTGACAAATTCCTTGTAAAACCGACAAGGGAACATAAAACATAAGCAAATGGAAGAAGACCGTCCCGAAACCCAACCCTCGCCGCATCGTCCAGGGGCGTGCGATAGACCCATCGGTGTTGATCACCAGCGGGCCCAACTTGTCCACCTTGACCTCGCTCGGTTTTTCGGAACCCCAAGTGGCCATGGGAAAACACGGCACTCCTTGCTTTGGTATAGAGTTGCTTTCAAGGGGGTATCAGCTTCCCTCTAATTGGTGGTTTGGTGATCTTCCGGGGTGGTTTATTGTTTCCCATCTACCCTGTACAAGAACCCTCATTTGAAAAGCCACGCTTTGTTTTGGTACTTGGTTTCAAAGGAAGACCCCTCCAACAAAATCATACACACTATCACAGCTCGCCGAGTGAGAAAGCAACAACACCACTACGAAAAGAAACGATAACATAACCAACACAACCAATCTCCTAGCCTCCAAACTAGATCAAAGCAAACACAAATCAAACCAAACAACAATAATGTTAGAGGGTTTCCCCGAACCAGTGCCTTTCAAACCAGCCAAAGGTTGCTCCCACCCGCCCAAAAAAAAACGGACACCCCCCCCCACACCAAAAAAAAGAAGAAGAGAAAACAAGACACCCCAGTGTAGCTCAAGACAAGCTGCCGGGTTTCCGTCCACCACCAGGGTATGTACATCGTCGCTTTCGGAGCCGGCGGCTTCCTCGGTCGACCAAGTTGGCGAGTGGTGAGCCTGGGTTCTAACCTAGTAGTAGGTCAAACCCTTTTTGCGGGGCCCCCTACCCTTCTTAATAACTTAAGGTACTTGGATGTTTGTCGCCAGGTAAGCAGATTATCTCACCATGGTTATCTTTGAAAACCAACCAAACAGTTAATGACCCTAGTTATAACTACGGGGAGATAACCTACTAAGTGGCTTGAACATCGTAGAGAACCCTTAGGTGGTGATTCATGTCCACTTGTGAGGTTCCCTATTGAGACTCAGAGCCAAACAACAACATCTCCAGGTAAATGCGAAAAACAGTTCGACTATATATATATATTATCTATATAGATATATATATATATACTGTTGCCTGCCTGCACCAAGGAAAACCGGGGTCCCGTGATTGGGGGGTTCCCCCGCCCCCCTCCAACCATGACACCGCGCCAATGGACCACACGAAAAGTCGTTCAGCCAGGTCTCCGGAGCCTGGCAGGCATGCAACATCCGCGAAACAAGATGCAAAGCCGTGCCCCAAAAGGTACGTCGTTGTGTCCAAATCGGTATGGGTATATGGGGAAAAGATGTACAGTAGGGGTTGTGGTTGTGTCCATATCGGTATGGGTATATGGGGAAAAGATGTACAGTAGGGGTTGTGGTTGTGTCCATATCGGTATGGGTATATGGGGAACAAGATGTACAGTAGGGGTTGTGGTTGTGTCCAAATCGGTATGGGTACATGGGGAACAAGATGTAGGGGTTGTGGTTGTGTCCAAATCGGTATGGGTCTATGGGGAACAAGATGTAGGGGTTGTGTCAACAGATTTTCATTTGAAGGTGAACATCCCTACCACAGATGGACGGTTTGACCATGGCAACGGGTATGTGTCATAGGGCTCACCCGAAGCGGTGGTTTTCCTTCCGGCAACCCCCGATTAAACACGCCAGGCTGATGCGGGGGCACCGTTTCTCGGGTTGGGTCAAAGGGGAACCAAAAGGAAGCCGCTGATTTTAGGGGTCGCGACCCTTTCGACACATACCCATGAACAGGGTGTGCAACTTGAAGGGGTTCGGGCCAAATCTGCCGCTTGAATGAATTCAAATGCTACATCATACCGTCTCCGGGGAAGTCAAAGTTGAATTATAACCAACAATCTGGGGGATTTATGCGCACCCATTTTGTCAGAGTGTTCCATTCAATGGTGCACTGTTCAGCCCTCTCTTTTCCGGGTTTCTCCTAACACCCTTCAAGGGTGGAAAGCAGGTCCCTGCAAACTTTAAAAAAAAAAAACGGATCTTTACCTAGTTTCTGTTGTGGTTTGGTCCTGGTTTTGATGTCAAGAGCAACCCCGTGGTCCCAGTATTCATAGGGCGTCATCTGATTCCTCTTCTACAAATTTCGTCCAAGGGTTGATTCCTTGTCCATTCTCCAACCACACATCGTTGTCTTCATTGTCATAAACCACACAGCTGTCCCAGGGGTGTGGCCCACTTGCTTGCGGAGAAGGATCCCTAAAGAGAAGACAATGCACAGCTAGAATTTGGTCCACCTACATGTAGGTGCGTGTTTGCCCTCCTTAAAAACAAGTAGTGATAGATTCCCTTTCAAACCAACCAGCAAAACACACAACTTCACAACCCTTGATAAGCCAGCAAACAACGTCGCTTTTTGCGGCCCCTTCTAAACATGAAGAGAACAAAAATAACTTACCAAGAACAGTGAAGTTGAGCAATTCTAACCATGAACAGAACCAAAACCCCCCCAAAAATAACAAAAACTTATCAAGAACTCAGCAATTGGAAGTCCCGCAATTCCACATTCATTCTCCCGTGGCACCTCCAGCGCCAAGACTTGCGCCTCCTGAGCCGAGGGAGGGAAATCTGCTCAGAGGTCAGTAGAGACCTCTTCGCTGAAAGCGGAAGATTCCGTGGGTGGACGAAAAATCCGGCACCACTTTGGTTTTGAAGCCATGCAAAACCAGGGTTTCTCAAGATTTCGTCCACCCTGCACCACCTAAGAAACCCTGGAATGATGAGGATTCCCTTTGAAATAGCAACCAATAATGGTTTCCAATCGATTCAAAGTGGTGCAGGATTTTGTCCATTCACAGTATAGGTTTGTGTCGTGCCCTTTTTTTCAGCAAAGGATCGCAACCTTTTCGGAATTTCGGGCGTCCTCTAGCTTCAACCCTACCCATAACCCTCAAAAAACACCAGAGATTGTAAAGGCCTGAGAATATCTCAGGGTTAGGCTGGGACCATCTCCAAGCCTCAGGGGGATCCCCCCCCCAAGCCTCAGGGGGACATGAGAAAGAGGGCCACAAGTTTCTTTGGTCGATGTAAAACGGACCCCAAAGAACTTTTGCCCCTTAGGTGCCCCGACCGAACTTGGCAAGTGGAATCGATTTCTCCAGGACCTGGACCTTTCTGGGATTGGTTTCAAATGCAAACTTGGGATTTCATCCGGAGGACCGCACTCATCAAGGATGGTTCCCCTTTCAAGACTATGATTCATTGATCCAACTGAGGGAAGCTCCCTTGGCTAGTACTTGGGTGTTTTGGCCAAGTTGGTAAGGTATACCCTGCTCGTAAGCCCCACTTCGTGCAGTTCACCCTGATGGTTTTGCTGTTCTATACCCCAGGTGGCCAGGCCGAACATCCAAGTAGGGATCTCCGGATCAATCAATCTGAAGTGAACCTTATCTCAACTCTGAGCCATTAAAACACGCGCACTCTCAGCACGTCTTACCATTTTGTCACGTTGCTTTCAACACGGCCGCACACCCTAAAGTTGCAAATACCAAGCTGCAACTAGTCACGCGTGGAATTGATTCTTACTTTGTCAATCCCTAAGGAGCCTTTCTGAAAGCGGTCATAAGATCTAACAATGATTGTTTAACTAGTCAAGAGAGGAAAACCTGACCCTTTTCAAAAACTGGGTTGGGTTCAAGGGAAAGATACACATCCATTTGCTTAAGCCCCCTGGAAATATGTCCAGTAGTGAAATCGATTCGCTTTAAAACCAACAGGGGAACATACAAAATATTCATTTCAGCAAATGGAAGCACAAGGTCAGGACACATCAGGCTCGGCAAAACACAGACTGTTGAAACCAACCTTGTAGTCGAAGATGGACCCAGCATCTGCAGATGCATCTGCCATTGCCGACTGCACCGTGTGTATGCGTAGACAAGAATCTCAGAAGAGTCTGCTAATGCAAAACCACAGGCAGGCTGAGCTTGCAGTGCCACTTGTGTGTTGGGGTTCTTTGTTGTTGCGTGACTCCTGAAGCGTGTGCTACCCTCCGGGCCTAACAGATTCATGTGTGTGTCTGTGTCTCTCACCTTGGTGTGTACATCTGTCCTACTTTTCTGAACCTAAGCTGTGTATCCGCTCGCGCTCATGCGAAGGCCGGCGGAAAGAGTGACTCAAGAACTTCGACTGGGATCTACTTTGCTACAGACTAACGGAAGGAAACCAAAAACCAGCCCATCTCTAGATTGAATTCCGTTTGGGTGTGTCTTTTTTGAGGGTACCCTTTTGGTTGGTGTAAAAGTGAAAACCAGCATCTTGGAGTCCCCCTAATAAATAGAAGAGACACACACTCTGGCGAATTGGACCCCCTTTTTTGAGTTCCTTCCGTTATTTGTTGCGTACTCTGGAGGGTCCCCTCAAGAAAGAAGTTTATTCCGTTCATTTTTTGTGCACTCTTAAGGCCTCCCCGTAAATAACACACACACACACTCACACACACACACACTCACACACACACACCCACACGCACACGCACACGCACACACAGACAGACAAACAGACAGACAGACAGACAGACAGACAGACAGACAGACAGACAGACAGACAGACAGACAGACAGACAGACAGACAGACAGACAGACAGACAGACAGACAGACACACACAGACACACACACACACAAAACACACACACACACGCACAAACACAAACACAAACACAAACACAGACACAAACACAAACACAAACACACAAACACACAAAAACACAAACACACACAAACACACAAAAACACAAACACAAAAACTCAAAAACACAAAACACACACACAAACACACACCAACAAACACACACACACACAAAAAAAAAGAGAGAGACAACAACACACACAAAAAACAAAAAAAACAACACACACAAAAACAACACAAAAACAACCCCCCCCCCAAACAAAAAAAAAACATACACACACAAACAAACAAACAAACAAACAAACAAACACACAAACACACAAACACACACACACACACAGAGACACACACCACACACACACACTTCACCCCGCCTTTTGGGCTTCTTCCGCGAATTTTCGTGTCATCTCCCGGCAAAACCACCTTCTCCGCTCGCTCAGGCCCGAACCTACGGGGACTCGGTACTTGGTGCTCCGCCACACCTCGAGCAGAAGGCGGGTTTGTCTCAAGAAACCCTGGGGTTCAGTTGCAGCAACCAAAAGGACAACCACCATTTTGGAATTCAAACCAATAAAACGCAGGCAATGAAAAGTTTGGGTTCAGTTTGCAACGATTCAATCTTCAATGGTCAAAACGGACAACCACCAGCTTTATTCCGCTCTTAGTATCCCTCTTTTCCGCTCTTAGTCTCTAATCTTCGGTTGTTCGTTTGAACGCTTGCATTAGCTAAACAGTTGGTTCAAAGAACCATTAAATATCAATGTGAGTTCATGTTTCACCATTGTTGATTCCATTCAAGTTCAATGTGTGGGTTTATATTTCACCGCCATTGGCTGAAACTCCAACGGCTACGAGATCTGCATAGGTCACTCCAGGTCGGACCGGCGAAATCTTGCATTTGGGTATGTTGGCTGGGCATTGCTCGTCTGGTCGCAGTCGCTTCGATACCGCTGCGAAAGCTTCACGGGCTTGCCTTACGCCTCTCAGGCCTGACGCCAGACCAAGGTGCCGAGTCCATCATGTGAAACCTAAACCTAGGGTTCAACCCCCATTAAAAGAAAGGCAAGGACCCAATTTGGATGATGACAATCCTTAGATAAACAATTGTGGTGAAATAAGAGCCCAGCAATTCCTAATTGAGATGGCAATCCCTAAATAAACAATCGTGGTTACTTGAACCCAGCCATTCCTGCCTGAATCCCAGGGTGTTTGATTGGTTGTTTGTTGCTGCCCTAAGTGTTTGACCCCCAAATCCATCGATCGGAGTTTTGGGGCGCTTGGTTCTGGTTGGCCTCTTCCTATGTCCCTGGCTGGCAACCAACAAACCTCTGCAAATCAAAGCTACCAACACACCTATTTCATGTGGATTCCTACACCCCATGTTGCTTTTGGGGGCTCATTTGAGGGCTCATGTGTGGGCTTATTGCATCCCAGGGGAAAGGGATCCAAACCTCGGCATCAGGTGCTCTTGGCAGGTGTCGCGCGAGTAAAAGTTTGGGTCATCCCGTTTCATTCAGGCTGGAACATTCGGGCAACCGCCACTTGAGTCACTTGCTCAAAACCCGGTACTAAAAGGTCGATCCCCAGAACCCTGCTTCAAGAATTAAGAAGGCGGATATCCGCAGCTATTTATGGTTGGGATCGTCCTTTACCAAGCTTCATCTACCCGCGTTCTGAGTGTGGCTCATTTAGGTTCCAACTCCTTAGCTTGGTTGACGTTGGGTTTGGGGAGCAAACATTCTCAAATTTTAGCCGTTCAGTGGTTGGAGTTCCCACTAAACCACAATAAGCAAAAATGTAAAATGTTTCCCAGGAACAACCATGTTAAAGGTCATAGCCATTTGGGGGCGCCGCGTCTTGTGGAACCCCTTTTTTGGTTGGTTAGGGAAATCAAAAGAAGACCGATGCCATTTTGGGGGGTGCGATTCTTCACATTCAGGCAACCATAGCCATGTGGCGAGTCTCGAATGTGACAACCAAGGAAAGTACAACTTGTCACACAGGAGTCGAGGAGAACTGAGGAAGAGGCTCATTGTGGGATACCTCCCTGCGGAGGGGGGGGGTGCCTGGAAATTGTTCCTGCCAAAAAAACAAACGCGAAGAGTCACATGTGGCGGCTCGTCCGTTTTCTCAGGCGCGGCAGCCTCTTTGGGTTGGTTGCAAGGGAAACCAAAATAAAACTGTTGCCATTTGGGTCCGATTCCTATTCTCAGACGCCACCACTTGAAAAATGGACTCAACCAGCTGCCACGGAAGGATTCTACTGCAAGTTGGAGGCGTACTGATGCGTTATGGCACTCAGATGACCAAATTTCCAGCAATCACATAGAAAGCTTCCGTCTTTGACCCTGGCAGGGTCCCAAAGGGAAACCAAACGAAACCAAACCTATTGTTCTACCCTTGGGTTTGATCAGTTTCTATCTTGGTTGCTGTTGACCCCTCTGCAAAAAATGTGGGCTCAATACGGAAAATCCTTTCAGTTTGAACAAAAACGCTGTTCAGTCCAAAGATGTTACCAAATAGCTGTAAAGCACATAAGCCTTCTGAGAACTAACCCCCTCGCAGTAAACCAGGAAACAAATACTAAAACCACCAGAAAAAATAAAAAATAAAAATAAAAAACGCCTTTAGTTCTGAGAGGGTCCTGTTACCAAATAACAGGCCCGGAACTCGGTAATTTGCCCACGCTGCCCAAACGCTTGACCCAAATGTGGCCCTTTGACCCGCACAATCGTCTGCTCAGACGCTGGCGGCGGCTGAACCGAAGTGACTGGCCCAAACCTTGGCAAAAGGCAAGTGAGTCCCCGGTACTAAAATGGTCTACCCAGAACCATGTAAATAAATAAGAAGGCGGCCGCATCTATCTATGGTTGGGATCGTCCTTTACCAAGCTTCATCTACCCGCGTTTTGATTGTGGCTCAAGTGTTGTCCTGAAAATAAGGAACCTTTGCAGAAGGGGCTCTTAGACTTGACTGGGCTGTTCAAAATGGCGGGTTGGCCAATCCTAATCCATAATCCCTAAAGGAAAGCCACTACAACGGGGACCGGTTCCTTGCGTAACCCCAGGTAAGGATTAAGGATTACCTCTGAACAGCCCAGTTAGACGAGTTCTTAAAGTATTTCTGGTGATTAGGAAGCCTTGTCTCTCCTTCTCGAGGGGAGAATCACACCTAGAGGTTGAATTGATAAGCTGACCGTGGTTCCATCCTGCCTCTCGTGTGCGTCAGGCTTGGGAGAATTTCGCAAAGCAGAGCGAAACAACAAGTTACTTGTGCCCACAAGTGGACCTGGCGGGATATGAACCCATGACCTCCCTCTGCGCAGGCTCAAGACTTATCTAAGCGCACGCTGCCATTACGCCACGGGCCCTTCATACTGACACTTGGCTGGTCTGGTTGGCCTTGAGAATTGACGAGCTAAACAAAAGATGCAGAACCAAGGCTTTGTTTCCTCCCCAAAAAGTTTCCGCCATCGGAAAATGTGGGGGCTCTTTTTTCAAATTTGTTTACTAAGTTGCGGTCAAAACTTGCTGGTACTCGGAATCAGCATGCTAGACAAAGGGCTTGATTTATTATGTTCAACGACCATCAGGTACATAGATAACCTCAGTTGCCCTGGTGATAACCACGGTCATAACTTACTTACCAATGTTGGTTGAACATCCAGGTTGAACTGTCAGTCGGTTAAATGGAAACCCAACCACGAAACCGACTAAAAGTGAGGAACTGACGGCTGGGAACCACCAAGAATGTCCATGTCCCTGCTATGTCTGTTGCTCAGCTCAAAAGAGCCCGAAAAAACTGGCAACCGCTAGCTCGGAAATCGAAACCAATGTGCTGTCGCTCCCTGTCTCGGTGCACACTCAGCTGGGCTTGCGTCCCGAGAGTGCTCAAAAAAGTCCGAACTGCTTGTTTCCCACTCAAACGGTCTTGCCAACAACCTGGACCCCCAAAGGACCCCTTTTTCTTTCCTTTGACCCATAAAAAAGAGGTACAAAGGCAGAAATAAGGACCCCTTTGGGGGGTCCAACAAGTGAAAAACTTCAAGTCCAGAAACTCGGGGAGTGCGAAAATGAAACTGTGCATACATACCACTATATATATATATATATACGTACGTATCTAATCCACTCAGCGGAGTGAGTAGAGTTTGCCCCCCCCTTGAGCCCATCTTGATGGTCTGATCTCTGACCTCGAAAGGTACATCACTTAATGAGGAACGGGTCATTGTCCAAGTTGAAAGGGAAGCTAGTCCGGCATACAGACCTTCGCCAAAGTGGAACACATCAGAGCAGAGAGCAACCAGCTTATGTGCCGAACTGAATTTCAGCTGGGTCGGAACGTCCTCAAAAGCGGGACTTCAATCCTTACCCAATTTTGCTGTTCAACCCCCCAGGTGCAAGCCATTGAAATTCCATGGGCCGGGGTTCACAGTTCATTGCTTATCGTGGACTGTCATCCAAGTTGGGTCCCCACAAAGGTTGCCATTTGTTTTATGGAAGTGGCCGTGGCTCAAAAAACCGGTACGTGCCCTGGCAAGTGGAAAAATGGACCAAAACCTGCGGTTTGCCCCTCCGATCGTTCAATTTTGAGCCACACCCAAATCAGTGCTCGCCTGCTTGGGCGAAGGAGTCCCCAATTCGAAATAGCTGGGCTGCCCGATTTCTGATCCCCCGCTAAGAGTGACTAACTTTTAGTGGGTTAAATTCGGAAACTGCCACTCAGCACCAAAAATATAGGGCTTGATTCCCCATTCTTTTCAGCCATCCTTCTTTTCAAAAGCTGGATCTGTTTCCCCTGGGGTTCTCATGGTTTTCTGGAAAGAAATTCGGATCGGAAAGAATGAAGATGGAAGTGCCACCTAGAAAAAAGATCGAACATGCCCCTTCCGGAACCGGATGGCGAGCCAAGATCGCTGGGATTCCTCGCTCTCATTGGAAGCGACTGAGGCGCTTGCAGACTTCATGTCCTCCGTCAAGCCCAAGAGATCCTGACGCGTCCCGTCGCTGGATTTTCGAAAATGAACCCCGATCCCCACGAGCTGTTTGGTTTGGTGCTTGTCTTCCATTTGGTGATTGACTCCTGGAACAAAAAATCCAGTAGGCATAAATTCCCTTTAAAACCATCAATGGAAAATAAAACATAGTTCTTAAGCAAATGGAAGTTGTTCCTGAAAGAAATGAAGGCGGAGAACCCCCCCCCAAATCTATGGTCGGGTTGTATTTGTTGCGCGCAGAAAGAAACCTTCCATCAAAAGGCTTCCCGCGTTTCGATCACGCAGGTGCCAGTGCACATGAGTTTCGGAACTGCTCCTCAACGCAGCCTGCTCGTGAACCTCCAGGCAGGTTCAAGCAGCCAGTCGGAACCTTGGTTGCTGTTGACCCGCAAAAAGTGGACCACTTTCTCGGGGTTTAGTGGACCCCCCCCTTGACTTCAACCAAAAAGTTTAAGTCTGAAGATCTTCCAGTCCAATGGCTTCGGGTCAAGGCTCCGAAGCGCATCGTTGAGCGCTTCTCAGGGCCACTCGAAATTCCAATCTTCAGCAGAACCCGCTGGAAGGGGCGGGGTACTTAGTAAGTGGGTAACAACCATGGTTGTTGTGGCAAGAAAAGCCTAAGAACTCGGAGTTGGCAGGGAGACGTTTGCGTCCCTCACTTCCTCAGGGCCAAGCACGCCTCCGATTTCTGTTGTTTGCCAAAGTTTCCCCACGTTTCAAACCCAAAAAGTGCGACCAAAGCGACTAAAGCGACTGAAATCCATAGACTCAGGGAGTGAGCATCTTTTCCCCCGCAACTCGGTTGATGCCCCAACTCGAGCACACCACCCCCCACCCAAAAAAAAAAAAACGCGCACGTCTGGAAAAAAAAACTCCTCGTCGCCGAGGTCCAGGTGGCCTTTCCCTCCCAGACCTTGGCAAGTCTGGGTGGGGTTTTGCCAAGGGACCGTTTTTTTAAAGGGTGCTCCCTTGGTTCAGCATACAGGGAAACAGGGATCCTTACATTGTACACCGAACATTGCCTTGTAAATGGTGGTTTCCCTTTAATTTGGTGGAAAAGCCATGTTTCAAGTGGTTGCAAAATGTATCTTTTAAGGAGACATGGGAAAAGGTCAGGGAAAAAACAACCACTGAGCTTGCTTGGCGTGGCAAGTGCTGCTGGCGATCTTGGGCGTTCGCTTCGCCAACTTTATAACTTGCTGGTAACCTAGGTTCTAACCCTGATAATTACGAGCCCCCCGTTCAGTGGAGTTGACCTTAATATTGTTACTGAACAAGGGACCGGTTTTCAAAGGGTGGCTCTGTTTGTTGAGTATATGGGTAAATATCTAATCACTGGACTTGATTAGTGCGGTCCTCCAGATTAATCCCAAAGCTTGCATTCTTGGATGTCCGTTGCCACGTCAGGTAAGTAGAATATAATCATGCTTGTAACCAGGGCAACTGAGATTACTAAGTTGGTTGAACATCTAAGTGGGATCGCCCCCAAAAACATCCCCCCAATCCGGGGATCTACATAGATCGAATCAAAGGCCACAGGAAACATTCCTCGTGGATTGGCCAGAAAAGCACCGTAAGGGGCCAAATCGGGGTGAACAAACTCATAGGGCGAGCATAATTCAATAGAATGGGGGTGAGGTACTGTTCATCCAAATTATGTGCAGGGCAAACAAGGTGTGGTATTTGTGTGGCCGTAACTTACATCCTCGCAAGGTACCAAGGGATTTTTTGGGGCAACAAGCAATTTTAAACAGCCTTAGAAAAGAGTCCAAAAACTCAGAGAGTGAGGAAACAATCAACCTCCTTTGAAGGGATTCCAAGAGGCTATTGAGACCTAGTGCCTGTCTTCCAAAAAGCGACTGAAGTCCATGAACTCAAGAAGTGAGTCCCTAAAAGGCTGGCAGGTTCCTTGACAGGTGGTTGCTTGAGGACTTATCGAGCACCCCTCTATTTCAGAAAAATTGGATGTTCAACCTGCCTAGCAAGTAGGTTGTTCGTCTCCTTACAAGTAAGGTCCGGCAGAGCCGGGGGGCGGAAGTTTCAAAGCAGTGAACAACTATAGTTTGGAGAACTGTCCTTGGCCCCTTGCTTCTCTTTCTCTCTCTCTTTTTCTCTCTTTCTCTCTTTCTCTCTTTCTCTTTCTCTTTCTGTTTCTCTGTCTCTTTCTCTCTCTTTCTATCTATCTCTCTAGCTATCTCTATATCTGTTTATTGATCTATCTATCTACCCATCTTTCTCTGCACTTAAAAGTTGCGATGTTCAATCCCCGAAAGTTGACTTCGCGTACTACTTTCGTACTTAAAAGTTGCGATTTTCGAGCCCCAGCTGCGAAACTGGACTTTACTACTTTCGTAGTTAAAAGTTGCGATTTTCCCCCAGCTGCGAAAGTGGACTTCGCGTACTACTTTCGTACTTAAAAGTTGCGATTTTCAAGCCCCGGCTGCGAAAGTGGACTTTGCGCACTACTTTCGTACTTAAAAGTTGCGATTTTCAAGCCCCAGCTGCGAAAGTTGACTTCGCGTACTACTTTCGTACTTAAAAGTTGCGATTTATCTATAGATCTACCTATCTATCTACCTCTCTATCTCCTATCTATCTATCTCCCTCTATCTATCTAGCTAGTTATTTGTCTATCTATCTACAAATCTATCTATCTCTGTCTATCTCTGTTTCTCTATCTCTTTCTATCTATTTCTCTAGCTATCTCTATATCTGTTTATTGATCTATCTATCTACCCATCTTTCTCTGCACTTAAAAGTTGCGATGTTCAATCCCCGAAAGTTGACTTCGCGTACTACTTTCGTACTTAAAAGTTGCGATTTTCGAGCCCCAGCTGCGAAACTGGACTTCACGTACTACTTTCGTAGTTAAAAGTTGCGATTTTCGAGCCCCAGCTACGAAAGTGGACTTCGCGTACTACTTTCGTACTAAAAAGTCGCGATTTTCGAGCCCCAGCTGCGAAAGTGGACTTTGCGTACTACTTTCGTACTTAAAAGTTGCGATTTTCAAGCCCCGGCTGCGAAAGTGGACTTTGCGCACTACTTTCGTACTTAAAAGTTGCGATTTTCAAGCCCCAGCTGCGAAAGTTGACTTCGCGTACTACTTTCGTACTTAAAAGTTGCGATTTTCGAGCCCCGGCTGCGAAAGTTGACCTTGCAAAAATGCTGCGCCTGCCACCAAATCTGTGCTTGACCTTGCTAAAGCGCTGCGCCTGCCACAAAATCTGTACTTGACCTTGCGAAAGTGCTGCGCGTGCCACGAATTTTGCACTTGACCTTGCGAAAGTGCTGCACCTGCCACAAATTCTGTACTTGACCTTGCGAAAGTGATGCGCCTGCCACGAATTTTGTACTTGACCTTGCGAAAGTGCTGCGCCTGCCACGAATTTGGCACTTGACCTTGCGAAAGTGCTGCGCCTGCCACGAAATCTATACTTGACCTTGCGAAAGTGCTGCGCCTGCCACGAAATCTATACTTGACCTTGCGAAAGTGCTGCGCCTGCCACGAAATCTACACTTGACCTTGGGAAAGTGCTGCGCCTGCCACGAAATCTACACTTCACCTTGCGAAAGTGCTGCGCCTGCCACGAAATCTATACTTGACCTTGCGAAAGTGCTGCGCCTGCCACGAAATCTACACTTGACCTTGCGAAAGTGCTGCGCCTGCCACGCAATTCAAACCTTGCGAAACCTTCGCGCGGCCGTGCCAATGGGCCCGTCTCCGAGACCGTTCCGCACCCGTTCCGTTCCGAGACCGCCGCCGTACAGGCGTCGCAGCCGAGGTGGTTTGCGCACTGTCCGGAAGCCCAATTCACGCACAGCGCCAACGTTTTCTGCATCTTGCCATCCCCCAGCTCGCAGAGAGTGCTTGCGAAAGTGCTGCGCCTGCCACGAAATCTATACTTGACCTTGCGAAAGTGCTGCGCTGCGCCTGTCACGAAATCTACACTTGACCTTGCGAAAGTGCTGCGCCTGCCACGCAATTCAAACCTTGCGAAACCTTCGCGCGGCCGTGCCAATGGTCCCGTCTCCGAGACCGTTCCGAGACCCGTTCCGACCCGCCTCCGTACAGGCGTCGCAGCCGAGGTGGTTTGCGCACTGTCCGGAAGCCCAATTCACGCACAGCGCCAACGTTTTCTGCATCTTGCCATCCCCCAGCTCGCAGAGAGTGCTTGCGAAAGTGCTGCGCCTGCCACGAAATCTATACTTGACCTTGCGAAAGTGCTGCGCCTGTCACGAAATCTACACTTGACCTTGCGAAAGTGCTGCGCCTGCCACGCAATTCAAACCTTGCGAAACCTTCGCGCGGCCGTGCCAATGGTCCCGTCTCCGAGACCGTTCCGAACCGTTCCGAGACCGTTCCGGGACCGTTCCGAGACCGCCTCCGTACAGGCGTCGCGACCGAGGTGGTTTGCGCACTGTCCGGAAGCCCAATTCACGCATGGCACCAACGTTTCTGCAACTTGCTATCCCCCAGCTCTCCTGATTTCAGCTTTTCTCGTAGCTTTTTTCGCGCACATCCATGTATCTTAAAGCTATCTATCTGTCAAGCTGGTTATATGTCAAAGCTATCTATCTGTCATGCTAGTCTTTGGAAAGCTATCTATGTGTTAAGCTGGCTATATGTCAAAGCTATCTATCTGTCATGCTGGCCTATTGGAAAGCTTTCTATCTGTCAAGCTAGCTATATGTCAAAGCTATCTATTTGTCATGCTAGCTACCTGTCATAGCTATATGTCAAAGCAGCTAGCTCATTTAGTTCCAGTACTACGGAAGTTTCTTGTTAAACTTCCTTTGACCATGGTTATAACCTACTTATCCTAGGGTTCAAGACCCATTAAAAGAATAGCTGACCCAACTTACATTATTACAATCCTTGGGTAAACAATGGTGGTTGTGTGAACCCCTTATTGCTTAAATTGCTATGGTGGATTGAATCCCGGGGTAGAGAAAAAACATGTGATGCCCGCACAACAAAAAGGACCCCCCCTCCCCGCAAAAAGGAAAAGTAACAAACAAGCAAGCAAGCAAATAAACAAACAGAAGCAAGCAAACAAGCAAACAAACACACATCCACCGAAAAAAATACATAAAAAATGGGTGCCCAGCTAGGCCGTACGTGAGGCCTGATTGGGATCTAGGAACCAAACCTCGCTGGACGCTCTGTGCGTACTTCATCTTCTTCTTCACCATGTCTTCCTCAGCGGTAAAATCCAGTGCTTCCAGGAAACAAAATGTGTTAGACCTGCTTCCATGCGAGAAAAACAAAAAGGAAAAGAAACAAAAAGAAAGAGCAAATCCTTTTTGGTTGCTCTAAATTTGAAGGGGAAACCCAAACCACAAAAACAAAAAAAAACAACATACACGGGAAAAAAAGGGGGCGGAATCCGCTGGGCAACTGGGTAGCAGGTCTTCACATGTTGGTTGCTTTATGTGGTGGTTGTTTTTGGGGAAATTGCAGGAGTCGGACCCCTCCAAAATGGCGCTTTTGGTTTTCCTTTCAAGTTTCCTTTACACCCCAGTCTTCAAGCGAAGCTGAACCCAAAGAAAAAGCGTGCCACATTTGGCAGCCTCGTTCTGGGTACCCTCCCTTTTGATTTGTCCGGATGTTTGACCCTTTAAGGGTGCCTTGGTACCTTCTCAGGATGTCAAAACAAAAGAGCAAACAAGGCAACATGAGACAGACTGAGAGAGGCACCTGAAATAAACCTACCCTCATCAAGAAGACAAGGAACAAGTTGGGGACACCAAGGCAACATGGGAGAGAGGCACACCTGAAAAAATCTGACCTAAGACCTGAGGCTTCTGCCACGAGCTTCTTCTCCGTAGCCTGGTCGAGAGGAACTCGATCGCTTGGAATCGAAGACCTCTACGAAGGTCTGCGGCGTTCAAGGGGCTTCGTCTAGTTCCTAGAACTAGGTCTTCCAGTAGAGCCATCTATTTTTTTAGCAAAACAACCAAAAGGACACCTATGTTTCGGAGTTGCTACCCACCTTTGTTAAATAGAAAAGCCAAAAGCACCCCCCCCCTAGGTCCTCCAGTAGAGGTTTGTTCGAATAAGGGTACCGTTTCTTTTTTCAGGACGTCTATTTTAGTAGGGAAACCCTCCCCAAAAAAAGAAACGGTAAAAGTTGGCACCTAGCTGGGGGGACCTAGACAACAGAAAGGGCTTCGAGCGTAGCCACAATGCTGGGCTGTTTGTTCCAGGCGTATGACTGGTTTAGAAGGCAAGTCTGGATTTGTTCAAACACGTTCGAAGTGAGTCTTCGGCAGCACTCACTACTTAAAGGGGCGATCGGGTACTTAGCAAGTGGTTAGTTGCGTGGTTACAACCCACTTAGACTTATAACCATGGCTTTCGTGGGTTATAACCATGGTTATTCCCCGCGTACTAAGTACCCTGCTCCTTTAAGTGGGGCATCCCTCGCCATCTGGGAACGATTGGGAATGAACACTGTGGGGGCATGAAACCAGCCAGAGGGATATGCCGGGTTGCTTAAGCTGCGTAACAGGGTGTGTAACGAGCGCGTGTGTAATAAGCGGGTATGCATCGTGCCAAACGGTCCTTGTTCAGAAAATTTCAGAAAATGCAAGCACGTGCTTGCTTGTTTCCTGCTATCTCACTAAATTGCTTGCTTTGTTTGTTCAATACTTCCATCTGCTTAAGCCCCCTAGAAGAAATATTTCCAGTAGTGATAGATTCCCTGCACAACCAAGAGGGAAAATGATTCTTCAGCAAATGGAAAATATCAAAAGTTTTCATTTGGGCAACTAAAGCTCGACCTCCCCCGCCATGGGGCCTTCGGCAACTAGCGGAGATCGCGCTGCCCCAAGTAAGCACTTGACGGCTTCCGAGTTTTGATGTCTGGGATGGCACCAATGGACCGTCCCCCAATGGGTTTGTCTCAAAATAGGGGAGGCCCCAACATGCCTGGGGTGCTTTGGACTTGCTTTTGAACCAAAAAGGATACCTTCAAAAAAAGACACACCGAAACGCAAAACTTCTTATAAATGCATCCGTGCTCGCGAAAAGGCGGGCCAAAAACAAAAGGTTCCAAGCGAATAACCGGATGTACTCACCAACCTGACGAGCCCGATCGCGCCTTTGATAATAAGTCCCCGAAAACCCACTATGAAGCACCAAGCGTGATCCAGGAGGCTCTGCAAATCCTGAGCCCGTGCTGCTGGTTAGGAATATGTAGGGCAGTACGGCCGCTTTTTTTAGGCATACTATAAACGGCTGATGCGCAAAAACACCTCTGAACATGTTGTGTGTTGTTTGCTTTTTGTTGGGGGGGGAAAAGTTCATCTTGGTGTTCCGCACATTGGTGCTAGATAGCGGATGCTGGAAAAATCGGAGCCATTGTCCATCCGTTGGCTTCCTCGAAGCGGAATTGAACTGAAGCATGCGGTTCGCCCCCAGGGAGCAGAAACCTCCGTTGGCTTAAGTCCCAGGAAAAAATGTATTTCCAACAAAGATCGATTCCTTTTAACGCAGATATACAGCGTAAAACAAACAACATTATTTGGCGCATTGTAGAGAAACCTCGTTTCGCATTCGCGATTCTTGCCAGAAACGCCTGTGTGCGCGGTGACGCAAAAACAGTGCAAAACACTTGGAGTCTCCATGACCCTTTTAAAATGGGTCAATGACCAACCATTTTTGGGGTAGTGACCCCATGTTTCAAGGGTCAGAAGAAGACTCCAGGCAGTTATGTTTTTTCTTTAAAAAAACAATAACGATTCCCTGGCCTGCAGCTTGATCTGCAAGAGCATCTGAGATGGTATGCCGCTGGCCTCCAATGGGTCAAATCCATTGGGCGAAAACCTACCTGGGTGGCTCGTCTTTTGTAAGGTTGGACCCCCCAAAAACGGCGAGAAAGGGATACCAACTCCGAAGGACAAGTTGAACATGCCAAAACATTAGATGTAAGCCCAAAAGAGACACACCCAAAAATCAAAGAACGCGCAAAAAGGACATACCCAAAACTATGATACAAAACCACGAAAGAGACCTGTGTTACACTTGCATCTTTGTTGCCAAGTCTTGGTAAGTGGTCAGCCACCTGGGCAGGAATCCTTGAATAAGGTAAACTCCACTGGACGGGTGCCCTGCAAGCACCGGTCTTAACTCAGGTGACTAACACTCACTAACTTGGCCGAACACTCAAGGAGTCCCCCACGACCCACACGAGTTCTGAGAACCATTCAATCTGGCAAGTAGGGGGGCCCTAATGGTTCGCCCTAAAAGCTCAAAGAAGTGAGCCAAATACCCGCCAAAAGCGGGAAGGGCTAACTTCCTGTAGGGCATTTGGAGCTGAGTCCTTCTGAGATTCTGCCTTTTTCCGAGCGACCTTTGCTTGGACTAAAGGAAAACGAAAAGGACACCAGGCATTTTGGGGGTTCCGATTCCTATCTTGAGATTCTTACTCGCCCTGTTCGAGCGCGCTTCTAGTATTGAAAACCCAGGGCCACCGGAGGGCCACCAAGTCTTTGGGTATGTCTCAAAATAGGACTCGGACCCTCCAAATTGGTGGGTGGTCTTTATGGCTTCCCTCCAAAACCGCCTTCTCGAAGGGTTGCCTCGCGCAAAGTTGCTCTATTTGCGTTTCGGCACTGTTGAGAGACGCATCATGTTTGGCTCACATGGACCCCCAAAGAAGGGACCGAATCGTTTTTTGTCAGAACCGCTCCCTTTCAGAAGGTTCGATGCAACACAAATTGCGGGGTCCTTTGTGGCATCGGATTGATCGGCCAGCGACAAATGCCTGAACATGCGATATGTGTTTTGCTGGTGGCCGTATGTGCGTATGTGTATATTTATATATATATATACATACCTGGACCCTCAAGCTACCCCTGTAAAAATGGATTTCACCCCAAATTCTGGCGCGATGACCTGTTTTTAAGGGAAGTATTGGAGGGTCCATAATATATATATATATATATGTACATATATGTTTACAACACACAGACCCACGTCGTGTGTTGTCTGTCACAACGGATCCCCTGATTAAAAGTCAAACTTGTGTCGTGGGTTCAATGGAACCTGCCGCTAAATTTCAAAATCCGAATTGGAACCGGAGGATTCGCTAGTGATCGAGGAGTTCCGATCCACTTCTGACGGGTAGCTATCCTGTGAACATGGGTCAATGACCAACCAAAATGTTGGGGGTCATTCACCAACCAGTTTTCAAGGGTCCTTAGAAAAGACTCCAGGCACGGGGGCAAAATGATTCTCCCAACTTCTCTCTGGAGGCCACCGTTTTTGCTCACCCTGTGAATAGGAGGCACACACTGGGCAGCCCGAGCACCCGGTTTCAGCATGCCGTTCTCCATACCGCTGTTGACTGCCTGGCGGTCAAAGCCAAGCGACAAAGGCCAGTTCAGCGAGGTCTGAGGTGAGGGGCACGGAGAACATGGGAATTAAGTCAGGAGAGTGCTCACTGGAAGCTGTCCGCTTTCTGATCCCTTGCTAAAAGTCGACAACTTTTCGTGGGCTAAACACTGCAAACCGCCAAGTTCATTGAGTTCTGAGAGGATTCAATCCCTTCATCCCTTCACTAGATGCCAAGGGTATTTCTATTGGTGTGACTGGATCCCTACAACTAAGCATGGAAACCCACAAGGTGAAATTCAAGGGTCAGTTTGATCGGTCAACTCGCTTTGGGCAAGTGAACAGTTGGATTGAAACAACAAACCCTTCCTGGTGACCGGAAAGCGGACCAACAAATCACGATTCGAACAGCCTGCGCTTCTCAGGGGGGACCAGTCTAGTAGGAGTCCTTGTGGAAGAAAAGACGGCGGTTTTCACTGCCAAATCTCTAAACCTGAAATCAGTGGAATCTATGTGGGCATGGCCCAAAACTAAACCACAAGAACAACCGCAGGTTTCAGTCCTCGTTTCTATTACCAGGGAGCCATTTTGGGGTAGCAGTTTTTGACCCACAGCCATGTGTGTTCAACCAAACTGAGCCCAGGCAGGGAAGGCCCATTGCCGATGGTTCAATACGCCTTTTTGGCGGGCATGCTTGGACACGTCGTCTGACCTCATCTGCATTTCTCCGCTGATACTTGCCCAACCTCCTGTTCCCTATGCCGAATCAAGTCGGAATGCGTGGCAACTGTCCAATGTCAAGGTCCAAGGTCGATTTTTGGTTCTTCTGCCGCGAAGAAAAAGGGAGACTTTTTGGGAGGTTGATGAGTTCATTAGCAGGCAATCGGCAATCCACTTCAAAAAGAACAAACCAGGGTACCAGAGGGCCCTCAAACAGACCTTCCAAAACGAAAACTCAATCACCAACACTATGAGCCTCTTCCAACGATTTTAAGGCTACCTGGAGTCTCCCGCCTTGAAAAATGGGGTCATTACCCCAAAAAAATAAGGCCATTGACCCATCTTTGATTCGGGTCAGAAGGAGACTCCAGCTAGTGTGAGGGTCCTCCGGGTTGGCTATGCAAAACGCCAGCGAGCTCCCCGATTTCCACCCCCACCCCCCCCCCCCCCCCCCCCCGATTTTTCGCCTTAGCATAGGAGCTGCAGGTCACACTATAGAGCAGTCCTCAGAAACAGGGCCCCGCTAAAAGTGACTAACTTTTAGTGGGTTAAATACGGAAATCCCTGCTAAACACTAAGAGCCAAAAAGCTAAGGGGATGGCTGGGAACCAGAGGAAACAGTCGGCTTTCAGCCCGGTTCCGCTGGAGTTCCCCTTGGATGTGCGGCGAAGTCAGCAAGTGGTTGGCCACCCGGAATATAACCCACTACTGTGGATGGACCAAATCCATTTCGCACCACCGTTCAGACACCCTGGAATGCTGACTCCCCTGTAAATACCAACCAACAATGGTTTCAATCATGGTTTCAAAGTGGTCCCCGAAACTGTTCATCTTTGTTTGAGGGGATTTGCGTGGATTCTCTGAAACTGTTTGCCATAAATGCTTCGGGAAGCTCGAGTGAGTGCCTCCCTTCTCACCTCTGTGACCCATGCGTTTGCCTGGAGTCTCCTTCCGACCCTTGAAAAATGGGGTCACTACCCAAAATAATGAGGTCATTGACCCATTCTTAAAGGGTCATGGAGACTCCAGGTGGATGCAACACACTGTCCTTTAGCGCCCCCGGCACCCGTTGAATCGAATCCGTTCAATGAATCCTATGACTCCTGGGTAGGGACTCATGTCACGGTGCCGAAGAGGCCGGCCAAGTTCAAAAGTTGCTGGTAACCTAGGCTACAACCTGCTTCAAAGTCTCCCCATCCTCATCATCGGGTTCTAACCCATATGGCCTCTTCCCCTTACCAAGACTCGGCCACAAAGCACAGTGGCTCACAACTCCAAGCAACCAGGAGTCTCCATGACCCTTAACAAATGGTTGGTCATTACCCAAAATAATGGTTGGTCATTGACCGATTTTTACAGAGGGTTAGAAGGAGACTCCAGGCAAGCGGTTTCCCCTGCTTCATCTCGCCTTTGTAATTTGAAAAAAAAAAAAAAAAAAACGGAAACCAACAAAAAGAACAAAAAAAAGAAAAAAACACAACAACACAATAAGTTTAAAACAAAAGAAAAAAAAGAAGAAACAAAACAAACAAAAAGCAACTAAAAGCGTCGGGCCCCGGGGAAAATTCCTTGAGCCGAGGGGCCCGCCAAGAGCTTGGGCCGCAGCGCCCGGGTGCTCGCCAGCACCTGCCATAAGGCCAAGGCGATCGATCCAGGCGAGTGCCTCGGGGAATGTTAACCCATGGAGGGGGGACTGATTAATCGATTAATAGCTCACCAGCTGAGTGGATGGCCCCAAAAAAGTCCAAACTTTTTGTTTACTACTAAAATGGTCTTCCCAAAAAGTGTATAAAGTTCATGAACTCAGGAAGTGAGATAGAGAATAGAGGCGATCTCCCCATGGATTGATTAATAGGGGGGGATTCATTAGTAAGAGTCAACATGCTAACCCATCAATGATAAATTGTTGTGGGTTGTGCACTTCCATGTTGGCGGGAGGGTGATCCCTCCAGGTTCAAAGAAAGGTCGGATCAAAGAGCTATCGACTGCTAATGTTTACCCCGGATTAAGCAAACCCCTGTTTGATTTTGATCGGGGGGTGTCCAAATCCTTTTAGTGGGGATTCACTTTTGGAGATGTTTTCACCCCCCTAATAGTGGGACAGGTTTATTAATCCTGGGTCAACATTGAGTGGTGTGAGTAGGTGAGGTGACCCACTGAACGGAGGCTACTTATGGCGCAAGTTAAGTGATTTTTAACCATGGTTCAAGTGGTAAGTGGTGAGATCAACCAGTGAACGGAGACTTGTAATTATAACCATGGCTGTTGTGGGTTAGATAAGCATGATTGGTAGCCGCTTATTTAAGTACCATGCCTCTTCGGATGGACAAAATCCGCTTGGCACCAGTTGGCGGCTTTTATCCCATCGGGTTTTGCTCTCATCTCAACTGGATTGCGGCCACTCATAGGGTATTTTCAACTGAACAAATGGCCGCGGCTCAAAAAAAGGTAGAATTCCAAAATAGCACCTTGAACTAAATGGAACCAACGTCAAAAAAAAAACGCGGTTTGCCCCAGCTTTTGATTTTTTTTGAGCCATACCCAAATTCCAACGTCAAAGGCCAAGTCACGCAGACTTTTGACTGGGGCCTGAAAGGTGGGATCAGAGACTGGATAGAATGATCTCATCCGCATGGTCCTCCATTTTTTTGAGGTTTGTTAGAATTTATAAGTTGGTACCCGATTTTTCTTTCTTTATGTTCTGTCTGCTTTAGTAGGGGAACCCTCCCCCCCAAAAAAAAAAATGGTGAGAAAGGGCACTGGGTGCCTAGTCATTGTTAAAGGGGCCCCGAAGGGACATGCCGGAGCTCTCAATTTGCAATCTGGGTGCCATCTTGTTGAAACCGAGAACCCTCGGAAGAGTCCTTAGGGAGCCAATCACAAACGCTTCAATGGGATTCCCAGTGTTGAATGGGATCCCCGCTTGAATGTAGTCGCCGGTTAGAAGGCTTGCCTACCCCATTTGAAGCTGATGTGTGCTTTGCGGTGTCTTTTTTGCTTGGCAGATGTGGTTCAAATTGATTGGTAGTTGATCTGAAAGGGGTCCCCCCCCTACAAACAAAAAGCGCAAAAGAGCGCCACTGGAGGTCTGGGTAATAAGGGAAACCAAACAATTGATCAAGGAAAACTCCAAGGACTCTTTGCGGTAGGCGTCCATTTTTTTTTCAGGCAACCCCCCTCCAAACAAAGTTGGATGACACTAAAGATGTTCTAACGAATGGATTCCTTTGGATGCTACACACATACTGTAATATCTCTTTGGTGCACGTGGATGGAACTCGTTTGCTAGGACCCCTTCAACGGGCTCAGATCACCATGTACCTCACACAGTGATTCCACTTAGCTATATAGCAGATTACCAAGGGAACCACCTGAGCCACATCAAAACCCGGGTAATTGGAGGGTAGTAAGGGACAATCCCAGCCATAAATAGCTGCGGAATTCCGCCTGCATAATTCTTGAAGCATGGTTCTGGGTTCACCATTTTTATACCGATCGGTTTTGATTACGATATCAATCCAAAAGTATCATAGCTGGTTGCTTAAGTTACTGGAAGCTGAGATCGCTGGGTTGCCTGCACCTCCCATGTACCTCCCATGGTGTGGGTGGGTCTCTCGAACTTTTGGTGGGGGCACCCCTCTTCCTGCTGGCGTTCAAGGGAGTTGTTTTAACTTTTTTTGGGTTAAATTCGGAACCTACCACTAAACACTGAAAAGATCTAAAAGGCTCAAAGGCTAAGTTGAAGCGGATGGCTGGGCTTGCCACGAAGCAAACCAAAGTTGCCATTGTTCTCAGCTCGGGTGTCGGTGAGCGAGCGCCTGGTTGAATCGCAGGAGCTCGCTCCACCTCTCCAGCGCCTGGCGTCTCGAGTGGGGCGATCGAGGCAGGGCACGTCGGGCCTAGGTGTCCTTTTGGCGCCTAGATGCGCCGCGCGCTTCGTACGTGGGGAATAACCATGACTAGGTCCTCCAGTAGAGAGGTTAGAAGAACCAACTTTTTCTGTAGTCTAGTTTAGTAGGGGAACCCTCCCACATCCACTTGCTATGGAAGCATGGCTATAGATGGCCCTGGCAAATGATGGGACCATCAGGTAAAACCAGGGCCCTCTAGCTTTAAACCAACCAAAAAGGACACCTATGACGTCAGGTAAGTGGGTAATAACCATGCGATATCCCACAAAAACCATGGTTACAACTATCCCTTCAGTTATCACCAGGCTTACTATCTGCTTACTACGTACCCTGCCCCTTTAAGTGAATTCCAATGCCCGAAATGTGGAGGCTGCTCCACAATTACAAGTGATGTCCCAGAGTTCAGGGTAGTTTGAGTGTCCAGGCAACTGAATGAATACTAACTCCTTTCTCAGTCAAGGGTTGCCTTTCCAGCAATGGGGGGACAGCTAGCCGGAAACAACAAATTCCTTACTGCTTGTAAGGGTACCCTTACCCTCTTTCAAGGCTACCTCCCCCGGCACAACACAACACACCCTCTGATTCCTTCGCCCCCCAGAAAAAGAAAGAAAGAGAAAAACAAAAAACAACAATTATACACCCCAGCCTCCGCGCGCGCACCGAAACGCTTCCGGACAAACGCCGCGAAACGGGAAACCGGGCGAAAGCGCAAAGCGCAAAGCATGCCTGTTGCAGGTCCTTGGAGTTCTTGTCCTCAGACCGGCGGATCCAAGAAAAAGACACACATCTAAGTCTGTTCTTCTCTTTTTTGTGGGGGTCGGGGGGCTGGGGGGGTTCTCTTTATATGATTCTATGTTAGATTCCGATTCCATTCTCCAACCACCCATCCTTCTCTTTAGAACTATTTTCCCAGAGTTTCGCCCATGATTTGAAGAGAAGGATCTCTGAAGAGAATCGGGAGCTAGAACAACGCGTCGTTTTCTTAGTAGAAAGCCCATGAATAAGACCAGCAAACACAATGACTGGAAAAGCAAGAGGAACCATGAAGGCAAAACAAAGAGAACACAAGAACATGCAAAACAGGATAATGAATCAAACGAGCAAGAACAGCGAACACTTGACAAAAGCAAAAGCCATGAGCAAACAGCGAACAACATGTGTTGGACTCAAAGGGAAACCCACCAGACAAAAAACTATACAAACAAGCAGAACTGGGGAAAACACCGCACTGGAAAAAACAAAATAAGAAAAACACAAGTGAAAACCACAAGCATCCAACGAACAAAAGATAAGAAACAAAAACAAAGAACGCCGAAAAACCTGATTTAGCAACAAGGGGAACAGCAAACCAAATCATCAACCAAAGAGATCAACAAACCATAACAACAACAGATCGAGGTGAAGGCAACAAATGCGCAAACCAATGAGGCAACGGAAGAACATCAGGGCCTGTCTCAAAGTATGCGGTTCCCCCAAAATGGTGACTTTCCCGTTGGTGCCCGTTTAAACCAAGGGTAGCCTCAAACAACAATCAGACCCAAAATCATGGAACCCGACCTATCAAACCTAGACAATGGGTGCCTTTTGAGGGTACTTGGGCGAGCTGGGAGTTACCCAGATATTCACCCGGTTATACGCCCACTAAGTGGAGTTCAAAACCAACAAGGAAAAATAAATCATATTCTTACGCAAATAGGAGTTGTTTCTGGGTTGCAACCCAGGTGCCTGACCGCCTACCATCTTGGCCGAACATCCAAGTGAGGGTCGGGGTATGATCCTTAAATGGGTGTGACTCAACATAGGAAACCCCAAGAATTGTGTGTTTTCCCTTCAACTTCCCTTAAATCAGGCCCACAAGAAGGAACAGCCAAGTAAGAAAAGTGTGTATTTCCCCCTGGCATTGAAGAGGTTCTATCAGTACCGGACATATGATGTTGTTGTGTTTGCAGTGTTTCCCTTTTCTTCGAGGGGTTGCTTTTTCAGGAGACTTCTTACTTTTCCCAGTGATTCCATTTACCTGCCTACTATACAGCGGGTAAAAAACAAAACAAAAAACTGGGAAATGGTCAAGGGTAACCTACTATAGTACTCTACTATGGCTTGCCTCCTGGAGTCTCCTTCTGACCCCCTAAAAATGGGTCAATGACCCCACTTTTTTAAGTAATGACCACCCATTGTTTAAGGGTCATTCAGACTCCAGGCTGAAATCCGCTGAGTTGGTCTGAAAGGGAACCAACCGCAAGGCCGCCGAACACGGGCTGGCTGCTCCGAGTGTCCGAGGCCGCCTGCTTCAGGCGCTTCTGCGCTCGGCGGCAGGCCAGCAGCCAGAGCCAAGGGGAGGACAAGTCCCTCAGCGCCAGGGCGCCTCAGCGTGGGCGATCTGGGCAAATGAATGTCTCGATTTTTCCTTTTTTGAGTTGGTACCCCGTCTTGTTGGTGGTTTAAAGGGAAAGGTACACCCCCTTTTTCAGGTGGTTTCAAGCTGAAACATAGGCGCAATCGTACCTAGGTCCTCCTTGGTTAGAGCAAGTTGGCACCAACTTTTTTCTGGACGTCTATTTTAGTAGGGGAACCCTCCCAACCAAAAAAGGGTGAGAAAGGGCACTACTGGGGGACCTAGGGGTGGCTCGATTTTGATGTTTTTTTGAGTTGGTACCCCGGTTTAGAAGGTACACCCCCTTTTTCAGGTGGTTTTAAGCTGAAACCTAGGCGCAATCGTACCTGGGTCCTCCAGTAGAGGTTGGTTAGAGCAAGTTGGTACCAACTTTTTTCTGGACGTCTATTTTAGTAGGGGAACCCTCCCAACCAAACAAGGGTGAGAGAAAGGGCACTACTGAAAAACCTAGGGGTGGCTCGATTTTGCTTTTTGTTTTTTTGAGTTGGTACCCCGACTTTTTGGTGGTTTAAAGGGAAAGGTATACCCCCTTTTTCAGGTGGTTTCAAGCTGCGCAATCGTACCTAGGTCCTCCAGTAGAGGTTGGTTTGAGCAAGTTGGTACCAACTTTTTTCTGGACGTCTATTTTAGTAGGGGAACCCTCCCAACCAAAAAAGGGGTGAGAAAGGGCACTAGTGGGGAACCTAGGGGTGGCTGGATGTTTTTGTTTTTTGGAGTTGGCACCCGGTCGTTTTGGTGGTTTAAAGGGAAATTAAAAAGGAATACCATGCTTGCCGGGGGTTCTCCAATTCTGAGACACCCCCAACTTGGCACCTGGCGTTTGATTTGGCTACGGGGGTACTTAAAAAATGGCGATCGATTCGGTACGTCCGGTAAGTCAGCAATAACCATGGCTCTAACCCACAACAGCCGTGGTTATAAATATCCCAATTGGGATATAACCAAGCTCACTAACCACTTACTAGGTACCCTTTAATTACCCTTATTGGGGTGGTGGTTTAAACCCTACTGGGATATTTGTTGCCAACTTGGACTGTATGTTCACATCCTTGGGCTAAGTGAGCTTACTCGGATGTTCAACCAACGTGAGGCAAGTGGGGTAGAACCGTGGTTACAACTAGGGTAATCGGGGTTGGTCCCCCTATAGCCATGGTCATAACCTACTTATCCTGGGGTTCAAGATCCGCTAAAAGAATGACTAACCCAATTTAGATGATGTCAATCCTTAAATAGCCATGGTGGTGATAACCTCCTAAGTTGCTTGAACATTCGAGTTGGCCTTAACATGGCTTTCCCAGAACCTCCCAGAACCCTGTAGCCATGGTTATAACCTACTAAGTTGGTTGGCTTTAAAATGGCCTTCCCAAAAACCATGCCAACTCCTTACCCAGCTATCCCAGATCCTCCAGTAGAGATTATACAATAATTTGGTACCCACTTTTTTCAGGACGTCTATTTTAGTAGGGGAACCCTCCCAACCAAAAACGAAACCGGTAAAAGTTGGCACCTAGCTGGCGAACCTAGGGGTGGCTCGATAAATTCCAGTAGGGATAAACATATTCATTTCAGCAAATATAAAGTTCCCCGGCAACCGCACCCGAACCGCGCACCCGAACCGCTCCGCGACTCTCCGAACCCCCTTTCGCCTCGGTGGCTCTGCGTCACCGCCTCTTCGAAGGCGTTGCGCCGCGCCAAGATCTGCCGCGCCGCGCTGGCGGCGTTCAGCACGGAGTTCAGCCCCGGCGCGCGGAACATCGCGGCGCTCGCGGCAGCTCGGCGGCGGCTCGGCGGGTTGCGTCCGGGTCGTGCGGCTGCGCGGTTGCCGGGGCGAGACACAAATCCGTGGGGATATCGGAGTTGGAGAAGGCGGAAGCCCAAAAAAAGGAACGCGGGAGATGCAAGTTGGTTTGGAGTTGCTTGAATGCTGTCAACATGCGCGGCTGCTGCGTTTTTGTGGGCGCTGGCCTCTCGCGTCAAGATGGAGACTGCAACTTCTATGTGGGTTTCTTTCAAGCAACAATCTGCGGGGTGCAATGGGATGGATTTCCACTTTGTTGGGGATGTTCGGCCAAGTTGGTGAGTTGTCAGTGACCTAAGCTATCACGTGCTTGCAAGTGCCCCTAAGTACAAAAAGAAAGTTGAGGGAGCCCAGAGGAAGATTGGAGAAGGTTCCGAATCCCCCGACTGCCTGTTTGCAAATGCAGAGGAATTCCGCTGGAATCTGTTGTTGCGCGGTATAATGCCGTACTGATGTTTTTGCTGTGGGTGGTGGGTGGTGTCTGTGCTTGTTTCCTGCTTCTGAAGAGACAGCATATCTTTCTTTGTCTGGGCATCTTGGAATTTCTCGATTTGCCAATGCAAAACCTGGAAGTACTGCTCGTTTGCAACTGCAAGCACCAAGTAGTTAATTCCATTCAGGGTAGCCAGCAGGCTGACCTAAAGCTTTCATGTCATGGCTTGGCCATGTTTCTGCAGGTGTCTCTTTCAGCCGAGAGAGGCTGTGTACGAGCGCAGATTGCTGGAAGTCGGTCGCAGCAGGTGGCCATCCATGCTGCAGAAGCCCGGTTACCCAGTGAGACCTCGGTAGAAAAAGGGAACCCTTCCTTGGATAAGCAAATTGGTTGGGGGGGTGGGACCCACCTGCTCTAATTTGCCCCATTGTCATGCCATAAATACCCAGTTGCCCAGTGACCCTGGTCTCTGGAGACAGGGGCCCTGTAGGTTCGTGAGTAAACCAAGAACTCGGCCCGGTGGGGTACACAGAAAATGCCTTTTCTTTTCTGAGTCTGGTTCATATTTAGCCCAGTGTTCAGTAGGCAACCAAGGAAGCCGCGCTTTAAAAGCCAAAAGGAACATAGCGAAGGGTTACCTACTATATGGGCGAAACGCCTGGGATCCACCCAGCCTACAACTAGCCCAACAAACAAACAAGTAAAAACCAAAAGGACAATAGCCGGTGGCCTACTATGGGCGAAACGCCTGGGATCCACTGGGCAGTCTACAACCCCAACCAACAAACCTGAGCAAAAGGCTTCGCAGGGCCCCGAAATCGGGCCCTTGAGTCATTGAGGTCTGCAGCGCAAGATGCGCAAGCTTTTTTCCTCAGATGCTGTGCTTGCAGACAGGACACGTCTGACCTGAGCGACTGGCTGGGCAACCCAAAAAGTGCCCTGAGGGAACCCAAATGGGTTTGCATTTTAGGGGATCCTCCAATTGATGGTTCCCCTGTAGGTTTCATGAAAATACAGAGAGGCACTCTTGAACAACGACAGGCCCAACCGTGTTTTGTCCTTCTCCAGCATTGCCTAGGTCCTCCAGTAATTAGCCAGGTTAGAATACGGGTACCCTTTTTTCTGTAGTCTATTCTGGTAGGGGAACCCTCCCCAAAAAAAACAACGGTAAAAGTTGGCGCCTAGCTGGGGGACCTCCACCACCACTGAGAAACTTGAGGACCCCGAAACCGCAGGTTTTGGCTTGCCTCGAAACACCATCAGGGCGTCCGCAGCTTGCTACTTGGATCTTCGAGTCGCCAAGCTAGTAGGCGGTTAGCCACCTCTGGAAAACAACACTAATAACAACTTGGACCCCCAAAAAAATGATAATTGTTTTTCTGTCTTTGAGCCATACAAAAGGGGTACAAAGGCAGAAATAAGAGGTCCTTTGGGCCATAATTAAGGGTCAAAGGCAGATCCAGGAAGGTTAACTCCACTGAACGGGGGACTTACAAGCGGGTTGTAACTCAGGTTGCGATCACAACTTACTATATAACTCGGCCAAACCCAAGTAGACAACAAATTTCCTACTGTGGATGGACGAACTCCTGCACAAGAAACCACGGGGAAAAATTGGTATTTACAGGGAATCGTCATTCCCTTCCCTTTGGTTAAGACCCCTTTTAAAAAAAAGAAAGAAAAAAAAAGTTGCGGAAAAAATCCTTTTAATTCCATCAAGGGAAAATCAACATATTCACTTCGGCAAATGGAAGTTCCATGGATCCCACATATCATAGGCACATTAATGGAAAACCCATTGGTTGGCAAAAAGATGCAAAAAGTTAAAGTCCTAACATCCCTTGGCAAAATGCACCAAAGCAAATATCATAAGCACAAGCCTCCACATCCATGGCTCAACGCCGGCTTCGCTGGGTGCTTGGCTGTGGCTCAGCCAGCGGTCAATGCAGGCGACGTGATACCTGCGTGCCACGCGTCTGACGATGACAGACCTACCTGGGCTGCCCGTTTTCAGATCCCCCACTAAAAGTTTAACTTTTGTTGGGTTAAATGGAAACTACCACTAAACACTAAAAGGCTAAAAAGCTAAGGGAATGCTCAACCAACTTAGTAAGGGGTCCTAACCATGTTCCAAAGGCTACAACTCGGGTAACTGGGGTTGGTGCAACCTACTTTCCGAGTTGGTTGAACATCCAACACCCCTTGGGGTCAAATCAAACACCCTGACAAACCTCAACATGACCATCCCCTGGGTTTGCCAGTTATTGGACGATTCGTGCCCGGCACACCAAATGCCACGTTCTTCCCAAATGGGTATGGGTCAAAATTAAACCCAGGGAACCGCAGGTTTTGGTCCATTTTTCCATTTACCAGCGTTCCATTAGAGTACCCACTTTTGACCCACAGCCAAATGAGTCGCAAGTGAGTACTACCAGGAGCCTCCAAAACCAATAAACATGTCATACCAACAAAAAAAAACACGCTGCTTTTGAAGCCCCAGGTAAATAAACTCGATGGTAAAGAATCGAATGACCCGGGCGCATATCCGCGCCTGTGGCCCAGTTCATTGCGACTCTGCTCGCAGGAAGCTGTGGATGGGCCGAAACAAGTAATCTATAGGTTGACCTGTTTTGGGCTGTTGTTTTTTGCATCTCAGAGCACACCTCTTGAAATTAATCAACTTGATTCCCATTTTTTCAAGCATTGCTCTTTTAGAAATAGGTGTTCCCTTGGGTTTTGATGGTTTCCTAAAAAGAAGGATCCCTGGAAAGAATGGGAAGGCAAGCAAACTTTGTGTTTGCCCCACTAAAATGGTCACACGCAAAAAGCGACTAAAAAAAACGAGGCGGATCTCGGGAAGTGCGATGATTCTTGCAATCTGAGTTCCTTCGCACATACTGTGGATGGACGAAATCCTGCACCACTTTGAAACCACGGGGAACCCTTGTTTGCTTGGTATTTACAAGGGAATCATCAATCCAGGGTTTCTTAGGTGGTGCGAAATGGATTTCGTCCATCCACCGTCTCACCAATGCCACCTGTGCAAACGAAAATGTTGCCCCAGAAACTCTTCATCGCCGCGCCAACTTTGATGCGGACGCAAGAAACCAAGTACAGCTCTCGAGAGAACAAAAAACCCTGAGGCGATCATATATGCAGCTGCATGCTGCGCTGACATGGCTGCACCATACTCCTTTGCAAGGCCGCGCCCATTTGACCGAACCACTGAAGAAATTACTTGAGGGCAACAGGCCACTTCTGAATTTCTGACGCTTGATCGCCCACATGCAAAAGCAATTCTGGCCCCACTTTTATGCAGCGCCATCCGCCCCGCGAACGAAACCCCTCAAAAAGCGCCGGAAGCCCCACCTGTGCAAGCAGGGAAGAAGCCGCAAGCGCTCGCCCTGAGAGAAGTTCTCGCAGCAAATGGTGCATTGCTCCTGGAGGTCATCGGAACATCGTGTCGCACAGGGAAATGGGGCAATGGACCTAAGACAACCTGGCGGTCTCCATGACCCCAAAAAATGTGTCGTTAGTACGCTCCGTAACTCCTTCTCTAAGCAAACCTTGGCAAGCTTGTGGGAAGGGTCTGAAACATGTTGTGGCAATGCGTTTGGTCAACCTGTCAAGTAGAAAAAGTTGTTGTTGGCAACAATAATTGAAACTCTACTCTGGGTTCCCTGTAAATATCAAGCCAACAATTCACATCACCCAATCAGCTCACTGTTGATAACCAAGCTGGTCTAAAATTGGCAGGTTTCTTACCAAAGGTTCATGACTGGCGTGCCATCAACAAGGAGCTTTGTTAGGGCCCTGAGGGGCCCAAGTTTAGGTCGGACCCTCCATAGGATCCGACTCAGGGTTTGGGTTGAGGGTTTCCCTTTCAATACCACACAAACTGTGGTCCCGCATCCTATTTGGGGGTTGGGTAACTTTCCCCGTTTCGTGGGGGATTTAATCTCTTGTTGGTGGTTTCCCCGATTTATCGGACCTTTGGATCAACCCCCATTCGCGGATTTGAGGAATCTAAATCCAAAACCAGAAGTTTAGTATGTTATATAAGTTCCAAGGCACCCTCTGAGAAGGTTGGCTGGCAGAGTACTATCCCCATCAAACCAAGTCGTAGAATCGCCCCCCCCCCCCAAAAAAAAAAAAAAACAAAAAACATTGGGGTCCGCATCTCGATCCTCGCGATTCGTCTCCTCGTCCGAGCCTTGAGGGGTAAACGAGATGACCGCCGTGTGGCCAGCCACCTGAGCCATCGATATTGCGAATGCGTCTCCAAGTGAGAAACTTGTTTGAAGGGGCAGGTACCTGGTAACTGGTTAGCAAGCCTGGCTGTCCGCGTAGGCGACTTATAACAATGGTAAGTGGGTTATAAGCATGGTTGTTACCCACTTCCTAAGTACAGTGTCCTTTAAGCAGGGCTCATCTCCACCTTGGGCTAAGAGGTTTGGTGGTTTAGTGTGATCCTGGTAAATGTAATATGTGGATCCCCCTTCTTGTGCCTCACCAAAGCACCATAGCCCGGAAGTGTCTGACGGAACCTCTGCATGCTGCAAGCAACAAGTTGATGCCCCGTGGTTTGCGGAATGAGGGTTTGGAGGTTGGGGGGCTACCTTCCCTACTTAGTTTCAACAACAGAAAGGGGTTCAACAAGAATAAACACAATGCTCTCAATGTGGATTGTAGGTTCTAAGTGTATGACTGGTTTAGGAGCCCAGTCTTGATTTGTTGAAGCCAAACGCTTGAAGTGAGTTTTCGGCACCTACACCCTGCCAACCCGGAAAAGCTGGTCCCGAACCTGTTGAGCAGCGACGGGTGTGATGTGAGTGGTAGGTTAAAGGGGCGATCGGCTACTTCTCTTTTTTTTGGCGTCGATGTGTGAAACATGGCACTCTTGGTGGGTAGTAACTGTGGTTATAACCCACAAAAGCCATGGTTAATTTGGCCCTGTGTGGGTTATGACCAGGCTCAGCATGGGGGCACATCCAGACATGGCACTCCAAAATCAGTTCCCAAACGAGTGAGTTGGTCAAGTCATTTTGGCTTCTCAAACACTCGTCAACAAAGCTCCCCGATGTGTGCATCTCATCATATCTCATCTAAGCCGCTCGCCTACGGGACGCCTAGAAACATGTCAGCTCGAGTTGGCTCATGGGTCGACAACAAGTTTTCCCATTCCCTTTGCACACCTTCCCCCGGTTCGAATGGGCGGCTTTCCGAGGGTGAGCCATCGGAACCAAAAGACCGGTAGATTGAAAGGTTTTCCAGCTGAAGGACAAGAAGGAAACCATACCTGGTTGACGTTGAAAGGGGAGCAAAGATATGATTTTTAGCAGCCAAGTGGGGAGTTCCCACTAAACCACAATAAGCAAAAATGTAAAATGTGTCCCAACAACAACCAAGCATACCCCCTGCGGTACCTGGGGGTGGGGGAGGAAGGGGTTAAATGAGGACACCCCCCCCCATCAATCAAAATGATGAATCACCTGGTCCAAAGGACCGATCGAGCCCTTTTCTCTGCTTTACCACATTTGTTTGGTCAAAGCACAAAAACCGGGGCTCACTTGCCCAAAGGACCCAGAAATAACAGGCCAACCTTTTTGCACCTCTACTAAACATGAACCAAAACGGGAAAACCAAAAGGTCAAAAGGTCGGCTTTGGGCAACTGAGGGGGTCCAATCTGCGGGGTCCAGGCACTTGATCTCGAGCTTCATTCTTGATTCCCCGACCCCGCGCAGCTCTGCAAGCTCGCCCGGCCTGATCGCCCACGTTGGGGACCTGGCAAGCGGCCGGACGGTCAACCAGCGGCATTCAGAGCAAAACTTGGCCTGCCTTACCAAATCAAACAATTCTTCGGCCAAGCATTTCTAGGTCCTCCAGTAGAGAGGTTAGAATAAGGGTGCCCTTTTTTCTGTAGTCTATTTTAGTAGGGGAACCCTCCCCCAAAAAAGGGTAAAAGGGCACTACTGGGGGACCTAGATTTGGACAAGTGTGCCCTTCCGTCAAGTTCATAGCGCCGCAATGTCAACAAAAAAAAGCCGACTTGGTTGATAAGACAGCATCAAACCGAAGAGTCGCTTGGTACCTCATATTCGGGGTTGATCAAATTCCTGGCCCCAAAATGACCATGGGTAACTTTTCCCATGTGGGACATATCCTCAGCTCACTTGTTTTCCGCAATGGCCATCCCATGTGTCAGACCTGTTGATCAACCCCCATTCGCGGATTTGAGGAATCTCAACCCAAAACTATGTTAAGTTCCAAGGCACTTTTTGGGAAGGTTGGGAGAGTACTCTCCCCATCAAACCAAGTCGTAGAATCAAAAAAAGGCCATTGCTGGGTTGGGCGCCGGCTCACTTGTTTCTATGCAGCTTTGAAAATAGTTGCCACAACCCAGTGCTTCCAGGCGTTTCGCCACGTATGCAACCAGGGTTTCTTACCTCGTTCTGAATGGCTTCCCCTACTTAACGGGGCAGGGTATATACTCAGTAAGCTGCTTATAACCCACTTACGAGATGTCTAACCATGGCAAGTGGGTTTTAACCAGGCTTACTGCTTACTGAGCACCCTGCCCCTTTAAGTAGTTACCTGTAGTGCCTTGCCCGGAAGCACTGGGACAAGAAAAGCAGCCATTTTGGGCCAAACATTTGAGCCTTGGACCAAATGTTCATATTCCCTCAAAGGCACCCACCGAACGCGTAAAAAAAAGAAGTCATGGCCTTCTGTGTAAATAATGGAAAGTTGCAGGATAGAACTGAAGGAAGACTGGTGCTCCAGCGCCCGCCTCTCTCTGTGGCGAAGGTCGCCGCGGTGAAGCACTGCGCCGCGGCCGCGGCCCCGGCGCAGGCGTTGGCGGCGGGCCTTGGCCGCGTGTCCTGCGTGCGTTTCTGGCGAGGCAAGTGGGTAAACCCGCAAGCGGATCCATCCGAGCTTTGGGGTTTGGGGAGAGGGGCATTGTATATACTTGGTGACTTAGTGGTAATACCTCCCACTGACCAGTGGGTAATGACCATTGGGTAATGACCATTGTTCTAGGGGTAGCTTCCATTTCCATTCTTTCCAGGGATCCGAATCTTTTCAGGAAACCATGAAAAACCAACGGGAAACAGCCGGTGATTGAAAGGAACAATGGTTGAAAAGAATCGTCATACCTCCCCCTGACCATCATAATTATACCTGGAGTCTCCATGACCCTCTAAAAATGGGTCAATGACCAACCATTATTTTGGGTAATGACCAACCATTTTTTCAGGGTCAGATGGAGACTCCAGGTAAGTACAATCATTGCTTCGTGGTTTGGATTGGTGGGGTAAGTGGGTAATACCCACGGTTGTCCTCCACTTGCTTAAGCCCCCTAATACTTTTTTAAGCAAAATCCAGTAGCGATAGATTCCTTTTAAAACCAACCAGGGAAAATAGAACATATTCTTAAGCTAATGGAAGTTGTTCAGCTCAGAGAAAAAGCACGCGGAAGCGGGTTCCGGGGGGGGGGGGACATCTTCAGCTATGGCTAAGCGGGTTCCGGGGACACGTGCCGCCAAAACTGCGCACACTGTCGCAGATAATTGCGCAGCGAAAACAGTAGTGAATGGAAGCGGGTTCCGGGGTTGTTTGCTTGCGTGGCCCAACCCCAGGCACTTGCATGGGGTGGCTGTCAATCATGTGCTAAACAAAAAGTGCCCGGATTGCAGCAAGACGGGCCGGTGCTACTCGGTCATTCTTGGAGCACTCTTTCTTGCGAAAATTGCGCGTGGATCGGACTCAGATCGCGCCCCGGCTTCTCCGGGCAACCTGCTAAGTGGGTTTTCTGACTTGCTGTCTCCCCAGCTAAAGTTTCATATTCTGACGCGATTTTTGTTCTTTTGGATAATAAACCAGTTGTTGATTCCGCGGAAGAAGACTCCAGCTGAAGTCTCATGCTTCGTCCTGGAGTCTGCGTCTGACCCCTCCGTGGAGACTCCAGGTACCACCATATAAATACAAAGAAATAGTCAATTCCATTATACATATATATATATATGTTTATAAATATTGAATACATATAATATTAATGTGGATTGCATTGAAGAAGACCCCACTTCTCCCCCCAGCTCCTTGGTATTGGCCGCCACTCCCGCAGCTCCCGCGGCTCTCTTGGCGACCGTGGCGGAACCCGCGACGGGGCCGGCGGGCGCCTTTCGACGGTGGTTCTCCGCTGGTCCATTTTGGAACCACCCAAAATGAGGGGGGGCTACCCCCCGAAAAAAAAGGTTTAGGGTTTAGGGTGGGTTTAGGGTTTAGGGTTAAAACAAAGGGTTTAGGGTTAAAAAAAAGAAAAAAAAAGACCCCAAATTGAACTTGAAGGGGCGATCGGGTAGGTCAGGTAAGTGGTTGGTATAAGGCTGGGTATGTCCCACTTACCATGGTGCAGGGGTGATGGATTCGGTACCTCAGGTAAGTGGCTGTAATCACCATGGTGAGATATCCCATAAAAGCCATGGTCACAAGTATCCGTTCAGTGGAAGATAACCAGGCTTACAAACAACTTTCTAGGTATCCTGCCCCTTTAAGTGAACCCCCCAAAAAGGAAGGTGGTTTTCCGGTTAGCTTCCCGTTGCTGGGACGTTCAACCCACTTTCCAAGTAGGTTATAACCATGGTAAAGGGGACCAACCCCAGTTGCCCTAGCAATTGCCATGGTTACAGCCCAAATAAAGATAGCAAACAAGCTCTCTTGCATGGGGATCTAGTTGTTTTTTGGGGCTGGACAAAACAAAACACGAGGTCTAGGCCCATTGATGTCGTTCAAGTGAGATGTTCGGGAAACTGTTATCTTGTTTTGATGCTCGCCACCGTTGCCAAGGCTCGCGACATCATCAGACTGCCTTGCTGAAACAAGTTATGTGCCGCCCCGCCCCCTTTTAAAATACGCTCAGGCGATATCCCCAACAGCATGCGGTGACCTTTTTAGTGCTGGCACCACCCTGCAGCCCTCGCAGAACCTCGTGGAACCCTCGTGGAACCCTGGTAAAACCCTGGTGGAACCTTTGTGGAACCTTACCTCCGGGCCGCCCCGGACCACCCCGGAGCCTATCTGGGCTGAGACCCCAAAGCTGTCAGCTGTTGGGAAAAAAGGAGAACAAAGCACATGAGCCCCAAACCTGAAATAAACAAATGGGCCCTTCAAATGGCCACCGGACAAACATGTCGTTTTTCTCCCCCTCCCCCCCCCCCCCCCCCGGCCTGACACATGAGCCCCAACCCTGTGATAAACAAACGGGCCCCCCCAAATGGCCACCGGACAAACATGTCGTTTCCCCCCCCCCCACGCCTGTCGCTGGTGTCCAACCCCCAGAGACGGAGGTAGAACTCTTCGTCGCTGCCGCTCAAGGGGCTCCTCGGAGCGAGGCGAGGCGAGGCCAAGAAATGCCATCGTTATGTTCAAAAACCGGATCCATTTCCCCTGATTGTTCTCTGGTTTTCCAGAAGGAAGCATCCCTGGAAAGTTCCCCTGGAATGGCTATACCTCCCACTGACCATCATGGTTAAACCTAGAGTCTCCTTCCGACACTCTAAACATGGGTCAATGACCAGCCATTATTTTGGGTAATGCCCAACCATTTTTTAAGGGTCAGAAGGAGACTCCAGGTACCCAGACAAGTGGATTTCCATATGAAGCAGGTACAGCTACCAAGACCTGATCCCATTCGTGCCAGACACAAACCGCATCTGTTTAGGTGAAGAAGAAAAAAAAAAAAAGTCTACTCCAAGGCGCTCTTCCCTCACCCGCCACCGCGGAATGCGTGGGCTGAGCTCCGGCCGACTCGCGACCTCGCGCCGGGCACGGGCCCGGTGCCGCGCTTCTGCGCGATGACCGCCTCGAATGAGTCGCTGGAATTTTCGGATGCGAGTGTGGCTGTCCTCTTCAGGGCCTAGCCTCAACTAGGTCCTCCAGTAGAGAGGTTAGAACAAGGGTACCCGATTTTCTTCTGTAGTCTATTTTGGTAGGGGAACCATCCCCAAAGAAAGAAACGGTAAAAGGGCACTACTGGGGGACCTAGCTCAAACTACGATGCCTTGAAGTTAAACTTGTTTCGTTGCTCCCCCTTCTTGCCCTCCCCAAAGCAGTAGACTACCAGAAGCTCTTGTCATTCACTCAGTATAGATATGTATAGATTGAAAAAACTATCTTCGCATTCTGCTTCAGTTGATCTACCCCCCCCCACCAAACAAAACAACCATCCCCGCTTTTGCCGCCCAGCAAGCCCGAGAAGAGAGACCCCAGAAAGAGAAAAGAGCATATTCGCATTCTGCTTCATTTGATCTACCCCCCCCCCCCAAAAAAAAAAAAAAAAAAAAAACACTCCCCCAAAAAAAAAACACATAGTGTGGAGACAGCTACTCAGGCCGCAATCCCGAAATGGGTCGCTTGAGGAAACCCGATCAACAACTCGCTTCCTTGCCAGCCAAAAAAACTTCCGCACTTTTTGTGTGTCACTATGGTCCAAACCCAAAACGATTCTTGATCGTTTGGGTGTATCTCGTTTTGAGGCAAAGTCTTTTGGGAATGCTAAAAGCATGCCAACAGGAACACCTACTGTGGGTGGACGAAATCCATTTCGCACCACCGTTCAGAAACCCTGGTTTCTGATTCGATTCCCCAAGGTAAATGCCAACAAACAATGGTTTCAACCATGGGTTCAAAGTGGTGCAGGATTCCGTCCACCCACAGTATGGTCCAAACCCAAAACGGGTCCAAACACAAACAAGTACAGTCTAGAACCTGGAGTGAGACGATGGACCAGCCATAGTGTCAGCTACTACAATCAAATTACTTTCCACCAACCGTCATATCGGGGGTCTCCTTCAAACCTTAATTCTATTTTTAGGGTAGACCAAACACATGGCACAAACTCAGACAACAACCTATTCTCCATGTGCGCCAAATACCACCCGGGCTTGTTACTTGTTCAACCTCCAAGCACGTGCTTCTAGGTCCAGGCAAGCCATGCCGGGAGGTAAAGATCCCTGCTTACCCATAGTGGCCTGCCTGGAAGCGCTGGGGTAAACGATGAAACAAAAACAGTTTTTCACAATTGGGGACCCCATCCACGTAGGTGTTCCTTGTAGTGTCCTTTTCAACCCATCCCAAAACCTGGCTGTCCTCAGATCCCCTGCTAAAGCTTAACTTGTGGGCAAAATGGAAACCCAACCATTCAACCAACTAAAAACCAAAAAGCCCAAACAAACTTCAACACCCAGCCACGAAACCAACTAAACACCTAAAGGCCCACCTTGAACCGGGCGATTCGCCGGGCTTGCCACCAAGAACAAGGGGTCCACCCACCCAACCAAGTAAAAACCCTAACAGCCCAAGGAATAGTAAAATACGAATAGTTAAATGCGAACAGTAAAACCCGAACAGCCCCTCCAGCCCGGATGCCCAGTGGCCATGGGAAACACAAGGCATTCTTTTCTGGGTTGACTTTAAGGGAAACCCTTCCCCCAAAAAAAAAGGAGAAATCACAAAGCGCGGACTCCACTGGGCAACTGGGTAACAGCCCAAGGAACAAAAAATGGACGGGACGGAACCACCGAGAGGCGGCTCCGCTGTCACCCGCCTGGTGGCACCTCCGGCGGCCCCGGCGGCTCCGGGCGTTCCGGCGGCGCCAGCCTCAAGCTTTTGGAACCAAAAGGAAGCCCCCCCAACCCCCCCCCCAAAAAAAAAACAGAACAAGAACATCAAAACAAAACCAAACAAGACCTGACTCAAAATTAAGGCCGAGCTTTTCAGTTGCCAAGTCTATAGAAGAAAAAGACACATCTAATCCACAAACACCAACATTGGAAAACAAAATGGCACTTTTGATCAAGAACAAAAAAGGTAGGCGTACTGGCTTCCTGAGGCAAGCGCAACTCTTCCTCCAGCCACAACGCCAGCGCCAGCGACGCATCATCCACCTCCGCCTCCGTCGTTTCCTCGGTTGCTTTCTGCTCCCCTGCTAAAAGTTTCTAACTTTTAGTGGTTTGATACGGAAAACCCATTTAGTTGGCAAAAAGTTCAAGTCCCAACATCCCATTGGCAAAATGCACCAAAGCCTCTGCCTCCGCAGCCTCCGCAGCCTCCACGGCCTCCACGGCCTCCACGGCCTCGGCAGCCTCAGCAGTCTCGGCGGCCTCGGCCTCGACCAAAAGCGCAGCGAACGGGCGGGAAACCAAACAACTGGGCCGTCCGATTTCAGAACCCCCGCCAAAAGTGACTAAGATTTGGCGGGTTACATTCGGAAACTACCCACTAAACACCAAAAGGCTGAAAAGCTAAGGAACCGGATGGGAGTCGGAGCCAGCAGGAAACAAATCGACTGGGACTGCAATCACCTGCACCGAAGGGACCTGGAATTGAAAGGTCAACCGCTTGGGACCTGGACATAAACATGGATCAACATGGAACAACAAAAAGGTCACGGGTTTTGGACCAACGTGGGAAGGGAACTTTCTTGAAACGCCCCCTTCCATAAAAAGATTGGCTTGGCACAACCAAGGGCTACATCAACAATACATTCTTCCGAACTTCTTCACATTTTGTCCGCACTAAAATGTCGACCCCATAGTAAGCAAGCCCAGTTTAATAATAGGAGTGTCCCTGGGTGAAATGCACGGAATCAGACCACTTCCGGAGGGGGCGCCACCCCCAGGGTTGATTCATCTGGGGACATGAAACAATTTGGAGACCGGACCGAAGTTGGGGCGGAGATCTTTCAAACTTTCATCGGCGTGCCTCAACTTCGCGCGGAGACTCATGAGAGCTCACAGGTCTCGGCTCATCGTCTTCGCTCTCGTTGGCCTTGCGGCCGACGGGTTGGGGGTTTCTCAAAACCGTTGGGGACCCCTGTTCGGAGGGTTGTAAAGGGAAGCCAAAAGGGAACGAGCCGTAAAATGGGTCCAAAGCCAATTTTGGAGAAAATTTGGATCACAATCAAAGCGTGGGACTAAAATGGTTCCAAAGCCAAGGAATCGTTGGACTATTCCTTAATTGGGGGGGGGGGGGGATTTTAGGGTTTTCCCCCCCCCAGACAGACCCAACTACCAACCCTAGGTTTTGATCTTGTCTCCAGGCATGGCACCCCTGAAATAGCTTCACTTTCTTCAAGCCAAGGCCGCATCAAACACAACCACACGGCATACGTATTGCATGTGTTTTCGGGGAGAAAAACAAAATAACTTTTCGGGCACTCCTCTTTGCAGGTTTCCCTCGCCCGTGTGTAACAAGGAGCCAAGATTCTAAGATGGTTTACCCTCGAACCACTACCCCCTCGTAACTGGTGGTAAAAACCCTTTAAACAGCGGCAACCAACGAATAACAAAGGCCCCTGTCGTTCCCCTGTTTGGTGCCCCTGTAGGGCGAGCTTCCTTTTCTAAGTTATTAGTAACCTAAGTTATAATACGTTTATAAGCCCCGGTTCAGTGGAGTTGACCTTGTTACTGGGTTACAACCCAGGTGGCCTTTTCCACTTTCCAAGACGGGGCGAACCGAACCTCCAAGTACAACAGGGATCCTGTAAAACATCACCCCCCCAAGGGACACTCAGCTTTCATGACCAAACAGGTGATGTTGAAAGCCACCAAAAACGGAAATATAGGGACCTAGGTCCTCCAGTAGAGAGCTTAGAATAAGTTGGTACCCGATTCCTTTTTCTGTAGTCTGTTTTAGTAGGGTTCGGAACCCTCCCAACCAAAAAAGAAACGGGTGAGAAAGGGGGACCTAGAAGTACAAGGACCCCACATGGATTCCCCGCTCCACACCTCCAGCTGCAGCTGCAGCGCGAGCGCAGCATCCGCCCACTCGTGGACCGTCCGCTTGGGGCTCAATCGATGCGGCGGCGTTTTGTGCGGGCGCCAGGCGCGGACGCCCTGAAGGGAACGTCGGGATTGGTTTACTTGGTTAGACTTCTTCTTTTTTCGTGGGTACAAAGAATTAGTCGGTGGCACACCCCCTTCTCCACTTGGACACTGTTGACCCCTCTGCAGAAAGTTTAATTGGTTGATGGAAAAGTTATCAGTTTCCCAAAAAGTCTAAATCCAAAGATCCAACCAAATGGCCATTGACCCCTCTGCAAACAGAGTAAACTTGTTGAAGGTCCGATGGAAAATCCCACCTGTTTCAACCAAACAGTTGTTCAGTCCAAAGATCAAAATAGCCACAACGTTTAGGTGGGTCATCATCAAAGCCTACTAACATGAGCTACAAAAGACTATGTACACAATTGAAATGTCTGCCGCGCTTATTTGTGGTCGGGATTCCCCCTTACTAACCTTCCCGGGTTTGGATTGTGGCTCAGCTAAGTTGAGAGTTGGTGTGGGGGTGGCCTTTGGATGGTTTGGGGTTGGGTGTAGAGTTGATCTAGGCTTGTTTTGGGTGAGCTCACTTCCTTGGTACATTGGCAAAAAAAAAGTCCACACTTGTTGCTTGCCACCAAGATGGTCTTCTGGTTAAGTAGAATCTCAGCACCAGGAACTCAGGGAGTGAGTTCAAGCTTAAGTGGGAGACTTACAGGGAAAGATGAGAAGGAATCCCAAAATAAGGGCACAAAAAACAACTGGAAGCCCGGAAAAGGAAAATCCAAATTAATGGACACCCAGAAAATTGAAAATCGAGGTATGCATGCCACTGCAAATTGACAAGTCCCTACTGAATGGATTCTTCCGCAAAAGCCGGGTCCTGAGAAAGAACGTGAGAAAGTTCCGAATTTGGAGAAATATCTCTTGGCTGGGCTGCCCTCAGATCCCCCGCTAAATGTTTTCTTCTTGTGGTGGGTTAAATGGAAACTACCACTAAACACTCAAAAGCTAAAAAGCTTAGGGGATGGCTGGGAGCCAACAAGCAGGTACTCCCTAAAATTGTGATCCAAATCCAACAACCGCAACAACACACACAGACACACAGACAAGGACACAAACAAACATGCGAACATATGCGAACACAAACACAATTGCAAACACGGAGACAGAGACACAAAAACATCCGGTTCCAATGAGAGTGCGTCCTGCGGCGAAGCAACGGAACCAGGCGAAATTCTCAAGTCCAGTCACGACATCCACGGCAAAAGGGGGCTGAATCGCCGAAGACCTTCAAGGGCCTTGACAAATTCAGAGTCTTGGGCTGCCAGTTTTGGATGTAAGCAGATTGGTTTGTCAGTCTCAAACCAGGGTACACCCCAAAACTGGGCTGTCCTCAGATCCTCCGCTAAGTCACCAGCTTTTATTGGGTTAGATGGAAACTACCAGGGGACCCTAAATACCTAAAACCCAAAGGGGATGGCTGGAAACCAGCAAACCATACCAAACCAAAAGGGTCCCCTTAAAAAAGAAAGGATATGCCGAATCCGAAATCCCCACTTGGCACCGGCAAATCTCTGCCTGCGGCTGCGGCTGTGGCGGCTGGTCGCTCTGCAAACGGCGCTTGGCCTCTAGGAGCCTTCGGTCGAGTCACGAACATCTAAGAACCGCTCATCATTTTGGGACGAGATCCTCTCAAGATCCCCTTCCCACCCAACACCCACATTTTTTGTTAAGGGTATGGCTCCGACCCTCTACCCAAAAAAAAGGTATTCGACATGGTTCCCCATGTTTTTCAAAAAATACCCTAGAAAAATCGGGTATTTGGATTAGGGGGTCCTCTTAGGTCGAACACAGGCCGAATGCCAAATGGGGGAGGTTTTTTGTTGGGGACCCTCCAAAATAGCTTTGGTTCTCCTGTTGGTTTCTCCCACCAAAAAGGGGTACCGACTTCAAAACAGGCGAGCCACCCAGATTTGTGTCCTGCTGAAAGGGGCCTTCGGGTACGTCGGGTTACCACGGCTGATACGTGGGTTGCAACCATGTTATTGACCCCTTACCTACCTTGCATCCATCGCCCCCTTTCGGTGCCTCTCCCCACCCCCCTCTCCCTCCCCTTCCCGCCCGAGCCCACCCCACCCACCCATTCCCCACCCGAGCCCTCCCCTCCCCAGCCCTCCGCTCCCCTCCCCCTCCCCTTCCCGCCCCAGCCCACCCCACCTTCCCATTCTTTACCCGAGCCCTCCCCTTCCCCACCCCTCCATCCCTTCCCCACCCAAGCCCTCCCCACCTCTACCCTCCCCTCCCCCAGCCCTCCGCTCCCCCTCCCCCTCCCCTCCCTTCCCCACCCCGAACCGACCCCAAGCGCCGCGGTCGTATCGTCGCGTCGCTCTCAGCGCCGAGGCGCGCCGGGACTTCCGCGCGCCGCGGCAGGCCCTCCGCCGGCTCCCCCAGGCCCCGCCGCAGGCCGGCGCCCCAGCCTGCGACGAAGGATCAGGTCTTGGTAGCTGTACCTGCTTCGTAGGGAATCCATTTGTCTTGGCACCTGGAGTCTCCTTCTGCCCCTTAAATGGTGCGTCATAAGAAGGTCATGGAGACTCCAAGCACATGGACATCCACTGGTCTGGGTAAATACCCAAAATCATGGTTGGTCATTGACCCATTTTTAGAAGGTCATGGAGACTCCAAGCACATGGACATCCACTGGTCTGGGTATAAGCCGCTGGAAGCTTTTTTTCCCCAACAGCTGAAAGCTTTGGGGTCTCAGCCCAAATAGGCTCCGGGGTGGTCCGGGCCGGCCTGAGGTAAGGTTCCACGAGGGTTCCACCAGGGTTCCACCAGGGTTCCACGAGTTTCTGCGAGGGCTGCGGGGCGCTGCGAGCACTAAAAATAGCACCGCATGCTGTTGGGGATATCACCTGAGCTTGTTTTTTCCATATGGAACTTTGGTGAGCAACTCACACTAACAGTTTGTTTCGTGCCATCCCCTTTAGGGCTTGTGTGTTCGATTCGCCAAGCTAGTAAGTTGTTTGTAACCTCCTAAGTGATAACCTTTTCTTCCCAAGCACCACAAATGGCCAACCACTTACTAACCTGGCCGAACATCTAAAGTACTTCCCGCCAAATTCCATGGAACCCAAAAAGGGCGGGGGTCCAATTCACCAAAGGCGTTTCCTCTACAAATGAGGGTTTTTGGGGTTCTATGTTGTTCTGCAAGGGTGTAAGATTCTGTGCGGTGTTTAAAACACGACAGAGACCTCAGAAACATGGGTTTGTCCCCTCTCTCCCTAAAAAACAGCCACGACACTGGCCAAATAAGGGGCTACTTCAGTGGAGTCTGTGTTTGGGTTACCGTAAGACTAAAATACAGTCATGACCATGGCAAAATTATGTCAGTAATTCGCCTCGTCCAACCATATCTTTGTTGCACTGCGGGTTTGCCTGGTACTGTGGATGAACAAAATCTTGCACCACCTAAAGAAACCATGACAAACCATTGTTTGTTGGTATTTACGGGGAAGGATCATCTTTAGGTTTCTTTGCTGCGAAACGGATTTCGTCCACTTCTTTGGTATCACAGATGCTGGCCCCACGTCCACTGCGTTCCTCCGAAACCTTGGAAGGGGTCGAACTGGATCGGGTTCTTGGCTGAAGCTTAGCCCTACTCAAAATACCCACTTTTTCTACGTTTTTTTTTTTTTTTTTTTTTTTTTAAATCCTGGGTTTCCATGGTAAATACCTCCTTCTCTGTTTGAGGGTCGCTGATCCTGCTTGAGGGGAAGTAGTGCGCTTCAGCAAGCACGCTGACGTGCTGCCAAAGGTGGATCACCCGTTGCAGGCCTCCCCTTTGTCCACACAAAGAGGAGAACTTAGCCTACATGTGCGGTACGCCACAACTCACATTGTCCGGTTCTGATTGATATTTTGTCTACCCACAAAATAGTTCCCCAACAGCTGCAAGCTTTGGGGTCTCTGCCCAAACAAGATTCGGGGCACTTTCAGGGAGAGTTCCGGAAGGATTCCAGGGGAGTTCCTGGGCTGTTGGGATACCCGGACTTATTTCAACTTGTTCTTGGAGGGTTTTCCCTCAAGAATCAACCACACAAAAGGCCTTTGTTCCCATGGACACCCACTGCGGAAACAATAAGCCTATTTCCAGTAGTAATACCGATTCCCTTCAAAATTAACAGAGAAAATAACATATATTCTTAAGCAAATGAAAGCCCCAGTGTACTTCCCCAAACAAGCAGGAGAACTGCAACAAAAAAATCCGCGCGGCTCTACCTCTCCTAGAAAAAGACGAAACAATATATATATATATATGTGACTGCGAAGCGCGCCTCGCGGCGCAAACTTCAGGGGCCCGCAGGTATGGGTGTCCTGCGCCAGCAGTAGACCTGGGCCAAGAGATGCCCTCAAGCGATTCCCGGCAAAAGAGAAAAGGAACCCGCTCTTTTGTGCCTGTGACCCAGGAAAAGTGGTACGAAGGCAGAACCAAAGGGACCTTTGGGGTCCTGGAACTGTCCACACGATGACCTGGAGTCTCCGAGTCTGACCCCTGAAAAATGGCTGGTCATTACCCAAAAGAAGTAGGGTCATTGACCCATTTTTAGAGGGTCAGAAGGAGACTCCAAGCCCAGCAAAAGAATGGCAAGGACGTCATACCCCCCGTGAAAAGAAGAATGGCAACTTGCAAGACCCAATTTGGATGACAATCCGAATGGAAAACAATGGTAACTCATGGGCGAGCTCGTTTACCAGAGCTCCTTCCCTACTGCCCTCTCTCCTATGGCCCTCCAGTCCCCTTGGATTTTGGGGGCAAGCCTGGCTGTAACCGTCAGCTCAAGTCCCCGAAGAAAAACAAACCGTCCAGTCATAGATTTCTGCCCGGAGTCTCCTGACCCGAAATAAAAATGGGTCAATGACTCAATGACCAACCATTATTTGGGTGATGACCAACCAGGTTTTAAGGGACGAAAGGAGACTCAAATGGTTTTGGGTGAGGCGCCCAGCTCCGAGTCCATGTCCTCGAACTTCCCCTCCATCGCGCCATCGTTGGCTCGCTCCGAGGCGCAGCCCCGCGAAGCCCCGAGGCCGGTGCCGCGAAGAACGGAAGCTACCCAGGCTATAACCCACTAATAGCAAGGTCAATTCCACTGAACGGGGGGAATTACAAGCGGGTTGTGACTCAGGCTACTGGCAATGTACTACCTCGGCGGGGTAAACAGGCTCCAGGTGCATCAACTGGCGGCTGGATGGTTCAATTCATGCTCAAAGGACTGTTCATCTGAGTAGTAGAGCAGTCTAAGCATCAGACTGCTCTGGATGCCCCAAATGGCGGCGAACAAAAACCTCTAGTTCACCTAGCGGACCGGAACATATCATCGCGGGTGTGGTTGAGCATGGTAGGGGCATCACACTGCTGGCGCTTGTCGTGCGCTTGCATAGCAAGCAGCCGTGCATCCGTGCATTTGCGCTGAGCCTAGAGCTGTGGCATGAGGCGCAATATATTTTGTTCAGCTCTTTTGCCCCCAAAGGACCGCAGAAAAGGGATCAACCGTACAAAATCCGAAGATAGGGAATAGATTTGGAGAAGACCCCAGTTGACTAAACGAGCACCAAACGGTAGGTGCAGAAGCAGCCCTGGGTCCGCTAAAGTGACCTGCTTGAAATTTGACTCCGAGCTATGAATAAGGGAAAAAACAACCCCCCAAAAATGAGCACCCCTTCGAGCACATGTGAGCCACTGTCAAAATATGGGTATGTGTCAAAATAGGGGGCGACAAATGTTGTTCCTTTACATTTCGCATTGACTCACTTCCTGAGTGGATGGCCGACAAAAAGTAACCACACTTTTGTGCGCGACACAATTGGTCCAAACCCAAAAAGTAACTAAAGTCCAGAAACTCAAACCACCCCCAAAAAGGGCACCCACAAAAAAACAACCACACGATTTGACCCAAACGGTGCTGTGAAAACTGGTTTCGAATCGCCTCTGAGACCTCCCTCCCGGGACTTGCTAGAGGGTGTGTTGTTGCGATCATATTATAGGCATAGAACAGAATAGAAAAAAAAAAAACAAATATATATATACATATGTAGATATACTTCGCAAACCTTTGTATTGTCTTGTAGCGGTATATCATTACCTAGAGTCTCCATGACCCTTTAAAAATTGGGTCATTACAAGGGGTCATGACCCCTTTTTCTATTAACTCCAGGTACAGTACCAGTTGGTAGTACTATATATGAGCCAGTATTTTACGTACTTGTGCGCAGCCAACCCCTCCACCGCTACCACCTTATTGATCCTTTTCAGCGCGAGGGCGGCCCCGGCGGAGGTGGCGGCGGGGGCGGCGGGCGCCTGGTTGACTCTCATCATCGTCCGGTGAACAATCAACAAACACACAAGTATATGGCCATGGGTCAAAAGCCCCGCTATCCCCCAGTGAACATCCCAATCCCCACTAAAATAGACTAAAATGGGTGGTGCAGCTACCCCAAAACGGTCCCATGGGTTTTGACCCACAGCCATATCTAGTGTTTGGGGCAACATGAAACCAAAATGGCATGATCATGGGAAAAGCAATGTTACCCTAAGCGTCCTGGGATTATGCTGACCCAGAATCCATCAGGACCGGATAGGGTAGCAATTATGCAGCCCCTTGTAGTATGCACTCCTAGCATGGAAGCTCCAGATGGGTCACCAAGTCTTCCGTAAAGGGGTCCATTCGGGAGCTTCTATGGAATCGCCTGGCGCAGGGTACTTGGGTGTTCGATTCGCCAAGTTAGTAAGTTGTTGGTAGCCTAGGTTATAACCAGCTTCGAAGGCCCCCGTTCAGTTCACCTTGTTATTGGTGGGTTATAACCCAAGTGGCATTTTCCACTTACTAACGTGGCGAATCGAACATTCAAGGATGGAGGCTTCTTCGAATGTCCGTCGGTGTCCGTGTCCCATTGTGCGTTAGAAGTGTAAACTAACTTGCTCAATCCCTGGCTTTCAATCAGTCAATTGTAATATTATTTGTTGTTGTTGAACCCTCTGCAAAATGTTTAACTTTTTTTTTGGGGGGGGGGGGTTGTGGGAAACTCCTTAAACTCCCAAAAAGTTAAAGTCGAAAGATCAACCCTCTGCAAAAAGTTTAACTAAAGTCCAAAGATCCAACCCAATAGCAGCCAAGTACCATGGTAGCTTTCTTCGCCCCGGTCCCAACTTCCTCACTGCACAAGGACGTGCCGGCGCTTCCCCGTGGACTCGCGGACCTGGCGGGGAGGGGCGGGTTTTGCCACGGAGCGGAGTTCCGGAAGCACAGCTTTTCTGGGCTGCCCGTTTTCAGATCCCCACAAGTGACCAACTCTTAGTGGGTGAAATTCGGAAACTACCACTAAACAAGTGACCAACTTGTGGTTAAATGGAAACTACCTGCAGGGCCCTGAGAAAGAACCTTGAAAACTCCGAATGAGAGGTGTCTCGTAGCTGGGCTGCCCTCAGATCCCCCGCTAAAGGTTTTCTTCTTGTGGTGGGTGAAAGTCGGAAACTAAAACTACCACTAAAGACTAAAAAGATCTAAAAGGCTAAGGAACCGGATGGCTGGGAGCCACCAAGTTTTGTTGGAGGTGACCTGGAGGAAAACATAGCTGGGTTTCCCTGGTAAATGGTGGATAAAACCAGCTCCAAGCCAGTACAGTTGAATTTAGAGCCACCCCCTTCCAAACACGTGCATTTGCTGAAGTCCCCTCGGAAAAGTAAAAAAGACATCCTGTAGAGATAGATTCCTTTTGAAACCAACCCGGGGAACAAAACATATGGCCCTCCGGTCCACGAACATGGCACTCACCAGAAGTCTAACGGTACCTTCCCCATTCTTTCCAGGGATCCTTCTCTCTAGAGAACCTTCAGAAAACGGATCTGGTTTTTGAAAAGAACGATGGTTGAAACGAAGGGAAAAGGAATCAGCCGGTAGAAGGCCCCTTTCAAAGGAAGGTCGTCCTCCCGGAACCCGCCAGGTTCCATGCTAGTGGACGGGAGGGTAAGATGGAAGAACACGGGGGAGAACATGGTCAGCACTGGCCTTTCCCACGTGCTGCAGTTGAGGAAGCGGGTGTTGAAGATATAAACTTAGCAGCTGGCTGTGGCTCATAAACCTGTACCAAATAGCACCTTGGTAAGTGCCACCAAAGACAAAAACCTAGCTCTTGAATTTTGAGCCACACCCAGCTGAGTTGAGGGGTGTTAGGAATGAACCGGATTCGGGGATTCCCGAACAAAGGAACCCACATCGGAGATGGGTTATATGGGGTCATTCCATTTCTCATTCCCTGCTGAGAACCAGCCCAGAAACGTTCAAGCCTTTTGGACCTTGCCTAAAATGATAAGGACAACCACTAACAGGACGAACGTGTGCCATCTCATCGGGTAAGTCGTGTGTATATATATATATATATATTATATATATGTTGTCCTTCAGGGCAACTATGACACGGGCACAAAGGGGGTTTGTTGCTTGTAAGAGGGACTTCACATCTAGCCACATGGCGGAAGAGCAAATTGGGAGGATGAACTGATGAACCTGGACTTGCAGCCATGGCATTGCATCTCTCGCATATAATATCACATTCTATCACATCTATCCATTGATATCCTAGCGTCTGCACGCATGAGGCACGGTCAGCTTGTTTCAGCGGGATCCTTATCTCTGGGTCTACCTGAGGCGAGTGGATTTCCATGGGAAAGGGCGCCTCTTTTGGCTGAATCCTTACCAAGCCTTTTTACTAAGAATGGAGGCTTGGTGTGAAGTGAGTGACATCTGTTCCTTCCATCTCTCTACCACCTGAGCATTTTTCATGGCAGAGGTAGAGAGGGAACAGATGGGATTACCCAAACAAGTTGACAAAAAGCAGCGGAATCCACTGGTTGCACCAGAGCTATAGTGGCAAGCGCTTGGAAGCACTGGGTCAGACGGAGAAAAGCACATCAAGTTGCAGCGCCTTATTGCTTGGATCTTCGGTTCGCCAAGTTGGTGCTCGTGGCTAGCCACCTGGGTTACAACCCACTGAGAACGGGGGTTAACGCGGTCATTTGTGGATTTTAACCCAGGCGCCTAACCCGGGCTGCCCTCAGATCCCCCGCTAAAAGTTCAACTTTAGCGGGTTAAATTCGGAAACTGCCACTAAACACTAAGAAGCTAAAAGCCCAAGTTGAACCGGAAGGCGGGGCGCAAGCCACCAAGTAACCACTTCCTAACTCGGCAAATCGAACGTAGCGCCTGGGAGGCGTATTGCTGCTGGTGCGGCGGCATGGAGAAGAGGGCGCGCCGGGGCGCCTCAAAGCATCCGATGGCTCACGAGGTGCACGAATGATCGCCCGAATCCGAGCCGTGGACTTCTCAAGGCCGGAGCGGTTTCCGGCAGTGGTCCAGATCAATGAGCTATCCGGCCAAACCACATGAAACCCCATTGCAACATATGCCAAAGCTCTATATATATATATATGCCAGATCAGCCGCCCCCTAACCTACATGCCCAGCGTGCACGGGACATAGCGTTGATCAGCATCAAAGATCTGGTCGGCCCTATACGGTCGGCCCGCGGTCAGATCAACGAGCATTGGAATAGGTAAGCGTTGTGACGGTTTCTCAGTTGCCTAAAGGGCCCAGAAACAACATGTTCGCCTTTTGGGACGACTCAAGATAATGGGAGAATCAAAAGGTCGGATTTGGGCAAGTAAGCCTTTTTTAGGTTCCTTCTCTGGCCCTCTCGGTTTTTCGCTGCGTCACATTCAAAGACTCAGAGGGTCGCTTGATATCCCTTTGAGGATGCTTTGTACAGATGTTAGATAATGGTGTCGTTTGGGTTCCTGGAACGACCCGCAATGTAGCTCCCATTGACTTTTGGTTCTACTAAAATGGCTATGGGGATTGGTAGAGGTTTTACTATATCCTTACCCCTTAAAACTCCAAGGATTGGGGAAGTTTTCACCTTTTACAGACCTCAAAAAAGTTCCAAAAAGCTTTGTTTTTTTTTAAGAGGTAATTGTATCTATGCCACCAGCTAACCAGCTACCAAACATGGCCCCCGGAACTGGTGCTCGACTTCCGCTTCTTTCGGCCCCCCGAAAGGGGTGGCCCGGGGCCGCTTTTCCGCGCTGGCTAGGCTGGAGCTTGGCTTCCCCGCTGCGCCGGTGGCCTTTGGCCTGGGCTCAGATGGCTCATGGCACGTCAGATGGCTGGGCAGATGGCTGGGTAGGCCTGGAGAAGCCAAGGGTCTATGCCTGAGCTGAGTGTGTTTTTGTTTGAGCCGTTGGAAAAAAAAAAACACTCAAAAACACGGGGTACGTCAGGGATGGTTAATCACCCAATTGCCATGTGGTTGGAATATTCATTAAGTTCCATTTCTCATTTGCTGCCTATCGCACCAGCGAGATACCCTACTTACCATGGCTATCAACCAAGTACCATGGTTATGAGTCTCCGTTCAGTGGGTTTTCACCAGGCTTAAATTCACCGCTTACCTGACGTTCCGAATAGACCGCCCCTTTAAGTAGCAGCAACACCCTTGACTTGACGTGTGGCTCACGACCCAGCAAGTGCATTGTCCAAACAAAGCAATCAAACTGTTCATTTACCACTAACATGGTCTTCCCAAAAAGTATAAAACTCCAGGCACTCAGGCAGCGAAGTTGGTTCTACTATCATGTTTGTAAAATTCAAGTTTGACACTCACTGCCTGAGTGCATTTTCCCAACAGAGTAACCAGACTGGATGGTTTGCCACTGAAATGGTCCAAGAAAGTGATTAAAGTCCGAAACGGAACTCAGGGTGTGAGGTCGTATCGAGGACCACCAATTCTCCCTGAGTCCACTGACACCCCTTGACTCTCCATTGGATTCCCCAGAGGAATGACCCTTATTTGGGGTTCGGCCAAGTTGGCAAGTTGTTAGTAACCTCTGATACAACCCGCTTCTAAGCCCCGTCAAGTTAAGTTATCGCTGTTATTCGCAGGTTATAGCCCAGGTGGCTGACCACCTCCTAGCTTGGCAGAACGTCCAAAGTACCCATTCCGTTTTCCTGCAATATTGACCCCAGATCGAGGTAGACCGGATTAATACATCGTCCGATTAATAGGCAGTGGGGGCCCGCAAAAATGATGAACCACCACTAAAAGAGCTTGGCATGCATCAATGACAACAATACTGGCTCCCCGAAGGGACTTGGGAAAATTGGGTGAGATCCTTCCGAGAAAACTGCGAAGGAAACAGTTGCCGGATTGAGTCGCTCCCCCTATTTCAAGACACATGCGATGCCCCCGTTTGTGTGGTAGAACCTGGGGAATCGCCGACACAGTTCAAGAGGGGGGAAATCGCATCTGCCCAAAGGCTTACTGCTACCTGGGCCGGAGTCTCCATGACCCTCAAAAAATGGCGTCATGGCATTCATGTTTAGAGGGTCAGAAGGAGACTCCAGGAGGAGCTTTGTTGAGGGCTAGGAGGGGTGTCCTGAAGAGGGGTCCTCCATAGGGTGCTGGGGTTAGGAGGGTCCAGCGCCTGGGTGGTTGAACTGAGCGACTCCGAACAGGAATTTATGGTGCGGCCGCACAAGACGCTGGCTCCGCCCGAGGGACTTGGACCTCTAAACATGACTTTTCAGCTTCCTTCCGAATTGGGTCTGAGTTGTCCTGGGTTTCGGATTTGGTGGACATCATTTAGCTGGAAATGTGTGTCCGGGCATGTTTCAGAAAATTCCTTGTTAAACTCCTAACCATTTATGTCCATTATAGGGGGAACTTTGCTTTGGTAACAGCTACGCAGGGCAACTGGGCAAAGTCCCCTTACCACGGTTCTAACCTGGAAAATGCAAGCCCAGGATCAATAAACCAGCAGTTGATGAGCGGGGGTTGACCCCCCCACTTGCTGAAAAGACAAGACATTAAACTAACCTTTTGGGGTGACTAAACATGGACAAACCTTTTGAAGTGTCCCATTTATGTCCATGGGGAAAACCAAAACTGAAAACCAACACAAATTACCCGGTTTAGAGGCAAGCCAAAACTTAAATCTAGGGGTACCTTCCCCATTCTTTCAAGGGATCCTTCTTTCTAGAAAAACCTCGGGGAAACCCAGGGAAAACGGATCCGGTTTTTGGAAAGAACGATGGTTGAGAAGAGCGGAAAAGGAATCAACCCCTAGAGTTATTCCATTTACCAAGGGGTCCCCCAGTAGTGCCCTTACCAACTTTTTTGGCGGAGGGTTCCCCTACTAAAACAGACTACTAGGTTCAAAACAAGAACCCTCATGTTGACCCCGAGACCTGGGGCCCGACGGGAGCGGCAGGCAGCTGCGCCGGTGCCGCGGCCTGGCCCAGCGGGCTCCGCTGGCCTGACGAAGAGGTGTTATTTTTTTGAGGGGGGGTTGGGGGGGGGTGGTTTGGCAGGGCGGGGGGAGTTGGGGAGGGGAGAGGTCGGGGGGGGGGGGGGGGTTGTGGGGGGGACAAGTGGTTGGAGAGCGGTGTTAGGGGTGAAGCGGTCCAAACAGTTGGGGGTGAAGGGACCAAAGAGTTGTTGTTTGGAGATTTGTGTTGGGGGTAAAGGAGTTTGAAGGGGGTAAGGGTGGAGCTTTAGCACTGGAGTTGGGGGTTGGGAGAGTTTGGAGAAAAATTGGACAAGTGTTTTGGGTGAGGGAGGGTGCAGGGTTCTTGTGGGTAAATGGGAAACCACCCAGCCTTCACACCTCCAAACCTCCGATTCGGCTACAAACCACCAAGCTGTTAAGGCTGTGGGTCAAAACAAGGTACCCAAAATGGACCCTGGTACATGGAACCAAGCACTAAAAGCCGCGGTCCATATCCTGGTGGCTTAATTTTGACCCATACCCATACCCTGCCCTCCTTCCCTCGAATAACTTGGCAACCAACATCCAATGATCAAAAGGTCCGATGGACATGGGATGACAATTGGTTGGAAAACCTGATGTTTGCCACGTGTGGAAAGCTACCCATGGTCATTTGGGGGCCGAAGGAAATGTTGACCAACCTCCACAACTTGGCCAACATCCAAGCAGCAACATCGAATGCTTCCGCCTCGGGATCATCCGGGTCCGCGCAGTGAGCCTGTCACATCCAAAAAACAACACCCCCCCCCCGAGCCGACAAATAGAAGAGAGAGACGCACAGAATAATATGCACACATGTACATGGGATGAAACTTGTGTATTGGTGGATGTATATTGTATATATATATATAATATGTACTAACACAATACAAAATATCAACAATACCAAGAACAATAACAAGAACAACAATAACCATAATGTGATATTAATGCAGGTAGCTATATCACACCTGTACACCTTTGTGAATATCTACCCCTGCCTGCAAGAGCTCGTCCTCGGGGAACACTTCCCGCGTTGCCAAAGCGGGACTCACAAACCCCAAGGCTTGTTGTCCTCGTCGACCCCTGCAAAGGGCCTCGTGTTTGCCATTGAAAGGTACGACAGAAGGGAATGTAAGGAAGATTCCCTTGGGTATCCAGGATACCTCCTGCCTGTGCGACCTATCATCTCTTTGCTTTAGAACCATTTGTGTGTGGGCCTTTGAGTAGGGACCCCCAAAAAAGGTGGTTTCTCTTTGGGTTCCCTTTAACCTTCCCCCCCCCCGGCCAGGAAAGACACACCCATTCGAGTCTTTGAGCAAGGCACCCGAATTCAGCTTGTTCCTTGGTGTTGGTTTGAAGGTGTTCCGGTGTTCCGGTGCACTTAAAGTAAAGGGGCAGGGTACATCAGGTAAGCGGGCAATAACCATGGTTACTAAGGGTTTACTTGGATGTTCGGGCAAGTTAGTAAGTGGTTGGCCACCTGGGTTGTAACGCACTATTTCACAAGGTTAACTCTACCTAGGTCACTAAAAGCAGGTGATAGCTTCAGTAGGGAATGAGCCCCTAAAGGAATCCACCAGTATGGGTCATTCCATTTCTCATTCCCTGAGCACCAGCAAGTTACCTGGGCGAATCGACCACACAAGTAGCTCAAAAGGGGTCCTGCCCCTCAAAAGGCGTTCTCTTTCTACGAGGCTCACTTGCGCCACGTACGAAGTACCCCGTACGAAGTACCCCGCCGGTTTGAGCGCCGGCCCAGGGTTCAGGGCCCCCGGCGCTGGGGTTGGTCAGAGAGTTCGCCAGGATGCTCTGCACGGAGCTCATGGAGGATGCCAAAGAGGTCAGCCTCAGAGACTAGGTGTTCCAGATTGGAGAGGTTAGAATAAGTTGGTACACGATTTTTTTCTGGACGTCTATTTTAGTAGGGGAACCCTCCCCAAAAAAAGAAACGGTAAAAGAGCACTACTGGGGGACATAGGGGAGGTGTTGGGTTTCTGGGCTGTCCGGTTTCAGATGCCCCGCTAAAGTGACTAACTTTTATTGGGTTAAATACGGAAATCCCTGCTAAACACTAAGAAGCTAAAAAGCTAAAGGATGCCTGAAAACCACAGAAGTTTAAGTCCACCTTGAGATGTAGTCATTGCACCCTGGCCTGACCCACTAACAGTGGATAATGGGAAGTTAGATCCACTAAAGATATCTTCCAAATTGTGGTGACTGTTCGTGTTTGGGGGCAGGGTACAATGTGGTCAGTTTTTTTTTGTTTTTCCGGTTCTCAAAGTTAGGGTGGTGTCTGTGGTTTCCTTGTTAAACCCAAAAAAGGGTACCCTTACTTTAAAACAACACCACACAAACACAAGAAGGGTCGTCATTGATCATGGCACATATGTGGGGTTGTTGAAATTTGCGGCAACCGAACCCTGTGGGGCGCACGCACAATCACATGTTCAGATTATGTTTCATATTCTATCTACCTAAAAATGCAAAATAGTCAAACGAAGAGGACCCCAGAGTTTCTTGGTATGGTCGGATTTACGCACTAACCTCCATTTCACCATCATGCTCGCAGAAATAGAGATCTAGGATCCACGCAGGGTCCGGATACCGCAGAAGACAATGACACTTCAAGCCTCTTTGAGCAAGATTCCTATGGATCTCTCCTGGTTTAGGTTCAGAGAAACAAGATTTTGAACAGGTCTTGCTGCACAAAGATTTCCGCACAACAGGATGATTGAAAATTGAAGGCAGCCTTCCGGCATTCATGTCCATTGGATGTTTACTTGGATGTTCACCCAACGTATAAGGTTATAACCGTGGTTATAACTATCTACTATAGCTACTGGGTTAGGTGAACAACGGCGGTTGTGAGCCCAACCATTGTTTTGATGCTAGATTGGTTCCCAGGGCCCGTGTCAAACACGGAAACCAAGGGATCGCTTCGCAGTTGTTCAGTGACCCTGGATAAAAAGGGAACCCTTTTTAGGGAAGACAATTTTTAGTGGGGATCAAAAACAAGGGGAAAAAGGGTGCCACTGAACAACTGAGCCCAACCCGCCCGCTTCGGCAGCCCCAAGCGAGATTGGCCCTGAAGGATTGACTGAGTGCTCGACGTATGAGTCATATCTGGCACAGCCTGGCACGTACTTTCTGAAGTCGTAACTTCTTATCCCGGACATGGGTCCCCGTCTCAGTAAGGAATCCATATCCAAAACGGCGGTGTTCCTTGTGTTCCCCTTTCAAATCAAAAAGGGTACCGTCAAAAAACATGACGCGCCCACATCAAGTCATTGCCAAGCCCGAAACGTACTTGGACCTTCGATTCGCTAGGTAGGTTAGAACGTGGAAACGACCACCTGGGTGGTTTGACCCGCGAACAAGGTGAACTCCACCGCACGGGGGGCTTCTTTTCGCGGATTGCAATTTAGGTTAACAACTTGCTAACAACGCGCAGGGAGCCGCCCAGTTCAATTCCATGATTTTGGACACACCCATTGTGTATGCATGGGTGTGTACAGTACTTTTGTTAAAAGGCTCCCCTTTGTTGGTAGTGTTGAAGGAAAACCAGGAGGAAGACATAGGAAGACCACCATTTCGGGTGTCGCCAAAGCAAAAGACGAGCCAATCGCAAAGGCGAGATTGCCAAAACCGCCCTTGGGACCTAGCCCCGCAAAACCAGCCATTGGGAGCCCCAAGAAAGAGGCTGTCGCGAAGGGAATCCTGACTCGTTCCACAGCAAGTTGGAACTATCTGCACCCTCAAATTCAAAAGAAATCGCCCCATCATTTCTCTTGAGGCATCTCAGTCGCACCAAAAACACAAGCAAGAAGCAAAACGCAAGGCCTCGATCACCTCACGGTACACTTGACTTAATTGTCAAAAGGGGGTGGAACAATGCCTTTCCATCTTGCAGAGCTACACCAAACAAACGTTCGACTTGGTAGAACTTGATTCCAGCTCCTGATCACATGCCTAGGTGAAACAGTGTGGGTGGACAATTCCTGCACCAGCGGTAGTAGGTATATAGGTGGCTTATCCCATGTTTGTAGGGCTTCATCCATCCTAATTGGTGCAGGCCTTTGTCATTCCACAGCATACCAAAACTAGAAGCATTTTTCATTCATATACAGCCCTACGTCGCCAACCCCTGGCAATGTCGCCACAATTCGCCCAATATGCCCAATCGCTGTACGCATACGTCGCCAGTTGTCAGCCGTCCAATATGTTTCTCCACATGCCGAAGCGGCATGGCACTAAGAGGTTAAGCTTTTTGGGACCAGGTGCACCTACCCCAAAATGGCACCATTGGTTTTGACCCACAGCCATATAGCTATAACGAATATTCATTTCAGCCATGGACGCCTATATTGATCACCCCTGTCAAACAAATCGCGCCCACCTCGCGAGCCGCGCTGCGCTCCTGTGACACCAGAAAGCCTCGCGGTTCGCGACGGGCCTCGAAAGATATGACTCAGGAGTCAGGAGCCCCAAAGGACCAAGATGGTCTCTTGGTTTCTTGGGCAACGAGCAGGTTTGTTTTTGGTTTCTAACATGTTTCAAAGGGCAGGTCACTTGGCGTCCAAGATGTTCTTCGGCAAACCACCTTTGGCTTCGGCAGGAAATTGGGATTGTGACCTGTATAGCAGGCGAAGGGCTTGCCACCCTTGAAAAACTCAAAGGAAAATAACTGCTCCCCTACGATAAGGGCTACCCGGGATCCACTAAAAAAAAATACTTGAACTCGAGAGGGATCCGAAGTGAGCGACCTTCATCCCTGTTTTTCCGTGAGCTCGCCACTTCAATGTGGAAAACTCGTGGGGATGGTGGTATCACTAAGCAGCCTTTGGCCCTTGCTCGCAGGTCGCTCACTGGCAACTTGTTCAGGTCGCAGCGACCTCTTTTGGATGGAAAAGGAAGTGTATTCTTGGCTCCTGGCCTCATGGCTCTGCATCTTGCCGCTACAGCTTCGAACATGGTGTAGACGGTTACGAAATCCACTCAGAACCCTCGAATGATTCAATTCCGCTGGAAAAACAACCACGAACAATGGTGCCAACCAGGGTTTCCTTTCGTGGTGCGAACAGATTTCGGAAGAACTTCTGCACCTGAAATATGAAATCCGGATCCCCCCGAAACAAACACCTTCGCGGCAACGCTCACATGCCCTGGGCATGGTTCCCTTGCGGATGGCCATCTTTCGCCATGAATCGTCTAACGCTCCAAGGGCAAGAAGTCGACCAACCAACACGTGGCGCAAAGGGCCGCGAACACAATGAACAGCCATCATCTCTCCGTGCGACATGCCCAGCCTACCAGCAAGTCGTAGCGAACCTCAGCTCAGATTTGCCCAGTGGCCATGCGAAAAAAGGGCATCCTTTTTTTGTTGGTTGACTTTGAAGGGGAACCTTCCTTAAAAAATAATAATAAACAAGGCAGAAAGGGCACCACTGGGCAACGTTTTTTGAGCCTGCCATGCTACATCGGCGAAGACCCTTCTAGGAGCCCAGTGGATCCCAGGCGAGCCCAGTGTAGGTAACCCTTCGCCATGGTCAAGGGATACCTGCTATGGATACCTGCTATGCAGGGTGTTTGTTTTGGAGACCTGCTATGGATACCCTTCTTGAAGGGTGTTCTTTTTGGATACCTGCTATGCAGGGAAATGGAATCACTGGGGAGCTTTGGCCCTGAGCCACGCATATAATATGCCATGCTCAAGAGCATCTCCTGTCACCTATGTCCCGTCCATGGGGATTTTGTTTTGAAGGGTACCCTTTTGAGGCTGGTTTAAAGGGAAGCCAAAAGGAAAACGCCAGGTGGGGGTCCCAATCCCGATGTTGAATTCACCCAGTCAGGGCCTCCCCGCGTGGATGTCGTACCTCCACCGCTCGCAAGGATCTTCCCAAGTGCTGCAGCCCGTGACGCTGTTGTAGAAATACCTCGCCGCGAATGGAAAAAAGGAGGAGAGGTGCGAGGACATTCTACTGACCTGAAACTAACATCTTCCAGTTTGTCTTGGGTAATGTTGACCCCATATTCATCAAGCCCATGCAATTTATTGATCGGGGCGGGCAAAAGGCTCCTCCAAAAGTGGTGTAATCTCCACATTTCACCCGGGTATTGGCAAATCTGGACAACTCTGTTGATATCATACCAAAAAACGTGGGCCAGTCTCCATTTTGTTCAACCTACTCCAAAGAAACAAGTGGGGTTCGTTTCGTTCCAGGGGATGGGGGGGGGGGGGTAGGATCGTTGCTTTGAGCCTCGGCTTGACCATGACTACCCCAATCAGCCATCACTCAGTTCAGTCACAGGTTTTGGGTAAGTCCCTGAGGCACCGGGCGAACCTGGTAGAAAGCAGAAGACCGCAGGAGCAGTGCACAAAACCAGTGCCTGGAGTCTCCTTCTGGCCCTTTGAAAATGGAACAACGACCCCAAATTTTTGGGTAATGACCCCTTTTTTCACGGGTCATGGAGACTCCAGGTGATCGTTTAATCGAGCAGCTTGGAATCCGAGCCTAATGTCGCGTTGAGGGCTTCAAACTTTGCTGGTCAACTGCGCTTGGGATGCGTGTTTCTGTTGCTATGCTCGGCAAGAACAAATCAAAGAGGGGTGCTTAGAGTATAAGTGCTATGACATTAAAGAGTCACCACAACTTCAAGCGGTTGGTCTCATCATTCTCCCCACCTAAATGATGGGTGTCTCCCATTCCAGGTGCCACTTGAAACTCTACCCTCAACATGGTTGTTTCTTCATGTTGGCTTCCCTTTAAAACCAACCAACACGGGGTTCCCAAAATCAAACACACCCACACACACACACACACCACATGCCCTAAATGGCCCCCCGCCCCCCCGCCGGGGCACTGCTCTGAGGCCTCGCCCAAGGGTCCGATCCACTGCTGAAGGTCCTCGAGAAACTGGACTTCCAAGGGTTGCCCTTTATTTTCACATGGCTTTGAGTTTTCCCTGCGGTTTGCCGCAGCTGGTTAGTTTCGAGGCACACCCAAAACGCCAGGTAGCTGCGCGACCCCAGCTGATTGATTTCGAGCCACACACATTTGGCCATGGGTCAAAATCCAAAGCCCGTACCCCCAGTGAACATCAACCAATCCAACCACTAAAATTGGATCTAGAATGGGTGGTGAATTCACCTGCCCCAAAATGGGATCCCAAAACGGTTTTGACCACCACAGCCACATGAACTTCTAGGGGGCATGGGGGAGGGGCTGGGGCCACGGGGGAAGGCCCCCGGAAGCCCCCCTGCCCCCCTCAAGTAGCGATCGGGTACTTAGAAAGTGGCGAAGGTCAACCCGCTTCAGCCGTGGTTATATTTGTCTCGGGTCAGTGGGGAACCATTTACGAACAACCTGTATATCAAGTACACCCCTTTAAGTGGGGGGGCTCTGGGGGGGGGCTATCCCAGGAGAAGGTCGGGATAAGCCAACGACTTGTTAAGGGGTTTATAAGGGAGAGCCCCCTTCCCCCATAGCGCCGCTTAGGGGTCCATGATTGGAGGCGTTTGCATTTGGTTTCCAATGAACATGGTACTTTCGCAGGTGCCAGAACTTCCATTTGGTTCAGACCCCTGGAAAAACTAAAAAACATCCAGTAGTGCAACTTCTTGTTGGGAAAGGGTTCCGATTCCTTTAAAGTCAAGCAACCAAAAAAGGATGCCCCTGTTTTCCCATGGCCACTGGGCGTCTGAGTTTATGAATCTTGCCTCTTGGGCTTCTGAGTTCATCTTTCCGAGTTTGGAACAGGCCTTCCACAGGGATCCGGATGCATGAGAAACACCGATCGAACATTGCAACTTGTAAATGGTGGTTTGCCTTTTTATTATGGTGTTGTAAAAGCAACATGCTTCAAATGGTTCCAAAATGAAGATCTTTTAAGGAGCCCTGTTCCACTTACTTGCTTGCTTGGCCTTCGAGGTCGTAGCGCCTCTTGGACGGAAAAGGAAGCGTAATCTTTGATGCAAGACGGCATAAGACGGCCGGCATCTTGCCGCAAACCTTCCACTTCCCTTTCTCTTCCATTTGCTGAAATGAATATTGGAAAAAGGGGCGGAATGCACTGGGCAGCTGGGTACCCTTCCTCCAACTAACATGGCACCTGTGGGGAGGTACCTGGAGATTTTCTTTTGAAGGGACCCGCTCTCAGTTGCCATGGCACCGTGGAAGAGTAAATCTTGAAATCCCGGCTTTCTCTCTGCTGAGTGCCCTGCAGCAGCCGCCCGAGCCTGCACGTATTCCAAAAACAAAAAAAACACGCCCTGGGGTTTAAAGGAAACAGATTAAATGGGCTATACGTCTTTCTGAGGGCACGGACCATGACAAAGATGTCTGAGCCTGCGTTGCTTTGACGGCAACACGGAAAATGTCTGCTTCATCTCTAGTCGGCCTTGAATAAAATAGAGTAATTGAGGAGAATTCAGATAAGACAACAAACAAGCAATGGGAACCCCGAATCAATAAACTCCTGGTTGATCGTGATCCAGGGAGGGGGGGTCCCTGGGCATAGTGTGGAATCTGACCACTTCTGGAGGGGAACACCCCCTTTGAATAGGATGGGTACATTGATCTGGGGTCGACATTGCCCGCTTTACCTTGGTTCGGGACACCAACCGGATTCACCGAAATCAACTTCGCAAATCCAAATCCCTAGTTTGTTGACACCAAATTGGCGTGCAAATAAAGGAAAGCACATAAACATATGGGCCCATATGGGTCTGTCTTTGCGGGTACCCCCTTTTTGGTGGGTTTAAAGTGCAACCAAAAGGACAACCACCATTTCTGGGGGTCCACTAAACAAAAACACAAACATATGATGTTGCAATGATAATTAGTCCAATTGATTTTGTTGCTGTTGCTCGCGATTGAAAAGCCTGCACGAGTCACCCTTTGGACAACGTCATGAGGGTCAACGCTGTGCTGCCATTGTTCAGATCACCCGCTAAAAGTGACTATGTTTTAGTGGGTTAAATGGAAACTACCACTCAACACTAAAAATATTTAACAATAATGCATGTGTGTGTGTGTGCGCAGGAGAGGTTTGGAAGACTGCCATCCTCTTGAAAACGCCATGTTGTCGGAGAGAGGATAACCAAACAAAGTCCTGAGTCAACAGCTAAGGATGGTTACTCGCTCCAACTAACCCCCACAACAAGCAGCCCAAACAACTAACCCCAAAACACAAACCAAAGCACACAACTCAAAACACGACCCAAACAACTGGCTCAACAAAGAATAACATACAGCGCAACCAAGCAACCCAAACAAGTACCCAAAGAAGCAATGTCCGACGACTGAGTCATAATCAAAGCCTGGTACCAAAATGGTAAACCCAAACCATGTAATGCGCTAAGGCGGATCTCCGAACCTCTTATCTATGACAAGGGGCCTGTCCCTTACTACGTGGCTCAAGTGCTGTTTTCTATCAACCTGGACCCCCAAAGGGCTTCTTATTTCTGCCTTTGGACCTCTTTTTTATGGGTCAAAGGCAGGAAAAAGGAATCGGTCCTTTGGGGGTCCAGGAAGTCAGCATCCCTCAAAACCAGTCCTGGATCTCAGTGAGAACTTCTTCGATGCGCGCCGCCTCAGCGCTTTTTCGTGGGAACTGAGAAATCTGGAGCTGACTCAACTTAGTTCGCTGATCCCATGCTAAAACTGGGTCCTCCAATAGGGAGGTTAGAATAAGTTGGAACCCGATATTTTTTCTGGACGTCTATTTTAGTAGGGGAACCCGAAACCCCAAAAGGGTGAGAAAGGGCACTACTGGGGGACCTAGCCATGCTAAAAGTTAGCCTCTGACGCACGTTGCCGCGGAACCTGATTGAGGGGGCCCCTGATTTGGACCCATTCGCCTTTGCAAGGGAGCCTGCGGTGGGTTCCAAGTTGGTGGGCAGGGTGTAAAACTTTAGTGGGATAAACGCTCCCTCCAGCAATCATGGAAGCTGACGATCGGGGAGTTTGGGAAGGCTACCTTCCTTTTCTGGAAGCCCGCATCGTCCACTTCCATGAACGGAAGGAGATGTCGCAAATCCAACTCTAAGCTCCAAATAGTTTCAAGCCCACCAACACGACCGCAAGAAATTTGTGAAACATCTCAAATGAGGTCTGAATGGAAAGTCTTGATTGGGGTATATCCGGATGTGGGTAAGTACCGCCTTCATGAGCATGCTTGTAGACGTCTAGACCAGTCGCTGGTACCAAAGTGGTTGATAGTCACTTTGAAGTCAATTCCCTTGTCGCAGAAACTGGCAAAAAACATCATAGCTTCCAGAACCATGCATAGACGTCAACTGCAAACTTCTGTGGATTAACGAAATCCTGCACCACCTGGAATGATCCGATTTCCCTGTAAATACCAACCAACCACTTTTTCAAACATGGTTTCAAAGTGGTGCGAAATGGACTTCGTCCATCCACAATATTTCCAAGAAACCGAAAAGGGGAGCTCGTTCCTTTTCGCCCCGAAGCGATGGAACCGCTCGCCACGGAGATGCAGCCTATGTTTACTTTGTGTGAGGCTTCGCCAAAAAAGACGAAAGAAACAAACTGCTTCCCCCTTTCCAGAAAAACATCATGTTCAAGCCTTCACAAAAAAGTGGCCAAATACCCGCCCCCTTTCGACTTCGATGGGAAGGGCTAGCCCAAAAGCCCCCAACCGGCAGCTTCAGCCGGCTTGCTTTGATTCTGTGGCGCAGGCAAGTCGGTCCAGCCGCAGCTTCTCTTCCTCGGCTGTGTTGCGGCTTGTTTTTTTTTTCTGCAGAAGTTCTCAACTTGTGGGTCCAACGGAAAATCCACCTAGAGTCTCCCTAAGGACCCTTTAAAAATGGTGGGTCATTGCCCAAAATGATGGTTGGTCATGACCCCTTTTTCTAGGGGTCATGGAGACTCCAGGCACTGCTTCCCAAAAAGTTTGAAAGTCGCAAACATTGACTACCTCCTTAAGGTAGACTTAAACTTTCCCGACCAGTTCTCTTGTGGGGACATCAACCCCTAAATATCTGCGTCTACGTAGGTCAAAAACTGCAACCTGTTTTCAACTGGCCGAACAATTGTATGGGGGGCTCACTTCCTGAATTCCTGGACTTTCAATACTTTTTTTGGGAAGACCCTTCGAGTGGAAAAACAAAGCTTGGGTACTTGTTTGGCCAATCCTCGCGATCGGAAGTGAGGGGGTGTCTTCCGCTTTTTGGAGGATATTCAGTGGAAATGAGAGGCCACCGTTCAAGTGCCAAGCAGGGGGAATCTTTGAACCTGCACTTGGCCAGCCAGCTGCCCGACTTTATGGCTATTTGCTAACGGATCTTTGAGTCCAGCCACCCAGAACAACCAGCCAAAAACCTAAGACTCCAACGTTTGGCGAGATTTGGGTCAGGGGGCAAACCTCCAGTGATTCATGCAAACCTGCATATCTTGCTATAACCATCTAAGGGATCCTCAAGGTGTCCAGATGGATTTTGGTCGCTTACCCCCCGAGTGGCTGAGCAAATCAAGTCTGCAGGTCTCGAAAAGCCAAGTCCAGAGATTCCCGACATAGGAATCATTGCCCAAAATCTGCGACTTTCCCCTGCCAACGCTCCAACCTTGAAAGGACTACCTAGAGTCTCCCTAAGGACCCGAATGAAAAATGGTGGGTCAATCACCCCCAAAATGTTGGTTGGTCATTGACCCATTTTTCAAGGGCAGAACGGAGACTCGAGGTACAGGAACATCTACCTGAAGTGGCCACGCATTTTGAAAACGACACGGCCTCTACCGGAAGTGTCCCCAGAACACCGCAAAGAAGCATACAACAGTTCAAAGAGTTGGGTTACAGGACATTCGCCAGGAAACCGGCTTCTGTGCGGTGTTCTGTGGCCACTTCCGGTAGAGGCCGCGTCGTTTTCTCAAAATGCGCGGCCACTTCAGGTAGATGTTCCTGTACCTGGAGTCTCCGTTCTGCCCTTGAAAAATGGGTCAATGACCAACCAACATTTTGGGGTGATTGACCCACCATTTTTCATTCGGGTCAGAAGGGAGACTCCAGGCAACCAACCCCTTGAAGAGTCTTGGAAAAGAGCTCCGCTCTAAGGCTCCAGCGGAGCAGGAGCAAACCTGCTGCAAGACCTGCGCGGGTCAAATTCCTGAGGTGGTGGTCGCTGCTCTCGGTGTTTTGGTTTGGGGTCTTCGTTTTCTTTTGGGGGCGGTTTGAGGCTCTCGTTGTTTTGGTCTTTTGGGGGTGATCGTTTTCTTTTGGGGGGTGGTTCGTTTTGGGCCCCCGCTTCTCTTGGTGCTCGGCCGCCGCTTCGCGGGATTTTGTCTTTTCACCTCGCTTTTCTTAGAGCCTCGACGACCACAGTCAGGCTACTCGCGGGCGAGGGATGGGATCTCCCAAAAACCATTTGGGACTGAGTTTTCATCAGGGACTTGAGTTTTCATCAGAAGGCTAAACAGAACATATGGCCACGAATTTCACTGGATTTGTTGGTGGACATCAAAGTTAGGTGGGGATGATGTCCACCAAGGAAAAGCCCCAGGACCCCTGCTGCTTAGTTTCGAGGCGCACCCAAAACGCCAGGTAGATGCGCGACACCAGATGCTTGATTTCGAGTGAAATCCCAATCCAACTAAGATAGGTCCTAAAATGGGTGCACCTACCCCCAAAATGGTATCGCAAAACGGCTTTGACCCACAGCCATTTCCGGTTGGGAGCTGTTCCTTCCTCAACCCGCAGCTCCGGCCTCACGGAAAGTGTCCGTCAGCGGATGCCTCGAACAGAAACCTGTTTGGAGCTGTTGAAGGCTTCTCTGCCGTAAGGTGGGGGGTCCCCGAAGTTCTAGGGGTAGCTTCCCCATTCTTTCCAGGGATCCTTCTTTCTTGAAAACCTCCAGAAACCCGGGTAAACCGGCTGGTTGTTGAAAAGAACGATGGTTGGAAAGCATGGAAAAGGAATCAACCCCTAGAGAAGTCCCTTTTCCCAGTCTTCCCAAAGAAGACACTGGGACAGGAATTCCAAGAAAACTGGGACTGTATTTGTTTCAATAAAAAGGAAAAAACGCAGTGGACAGGAGAACTAGGAAAAACGGGGGAAAGAACCACGCAGCTACTTGGGTGAAAAGAAAGGCACAAGTCCCCGTGTTTCTTTCATTTGAAGATTCGCAAGGGGACTTCTCCCACTGGGTATTGACCCCATTTAATTTAGGCACATTTCCGGATAAAACCGTGGTATTTTGATTCATTCTAGGTCATTTCCCAATTGGTGTAATCCCAGGGTGTAATACAAAAACCCTCAGAGATGTGGAAAGCTGGAGGCTGGAGCGTCTGATCAGTTGCTTGGCACAAGGTCCACAATGGTGGCAAAGGAGACTGCACAACTTAAAGGGTTTAACCTCAGAAGAATGGCCCAAGGGGACCCAATTTAGATGATGGCAATACTGAACGGTATATGGTGGTGAAAAGTTGACCCCCTTTGATTGAATGGTGAACCGCAGTGGAAATGCATTTGGGTGACATATTCAGGAACCCCATGGCTGGTAAAACCCACCTCCCCTTGAAAACCCCACCCAAACATTCTTTGAATGGTGGCAACTGCGCAGAACCCGCTCCGCGAAAGCGTCACGATTCTGGTCATTGAAAACATCCCCTTGACCTGCAATGCATTGGTCTTGCTCGAAAACTCGCGCTTTTTGTTCGAACACTCGTTTGATTCGTTTAGGGCAAACCAAAGAAACATGGGAAAACACACGCCAAATCCATCGGGTGAAACGTTTCCCAAAGCAGATGCCTGGTCGTTTCCTGCTTGCCAGCGGGTGGCCCTTCAATGACACGAGCCAAATCTCGGCTGCCGTGACTTCTCAAGCGGAAGTTCACCCGTGTGACAGCATTACCCTGTTCAACCCCCACCAAAAACATGGCAAGGGCACACTTTAGATTATGAAACTCCTGAACGGTCAACAATGGCGGTAATATCAACCCAAGCATTGTTGAAACGGTAGCAACTCAATTCCAGGTTTTATGTTGTAAATCCCAACCGACGGGACCCTCTAGACGAACCCTTCAAGGGTCTTCAAGACCCTTGAACCTCTTGAACATCTCAAGACATCATTTGATGATGGTTTCTCTTGGCGGTTGACCCAAAATCGGACGTAGCAAGGTTCCTTTGTGTATACCTGTATATACAAATATATGTACACGCCTTTTCCAGATACAGTGTGTATATATGTATATACATATATAATACATATATATATATATATATGTATATATAGATTTGTATAACTATACCAAATACAGTCTACTATGTATATATATATATATATACACGTACATATATTATAATATATATATATATATATATATTACACGTATATTATAACACAACAAATATGGCTGTTGGTCCATTCCCTCACCATCAAGACCCTCCCATCCGAGCGCCCCTGGCTGCCAAGAGGATTCCTCCCTAAGGTCGTGGAAGAAGTACAGCGCGCCTCGCCAGCGCCCGCGCGCGCCACTGGCGCACGTGTTTTGGGGTCTGACATATATATATATATATGTATATGACAGTTGTCTAAAATTCCTTGTTCCGGAAACCGCCATCTTCGCGAGAAAAACAAAAATCGTGGACCCCATCGCGGAACTTTCGCGGGGCTGTTTTCAGAACATTCACCAAGGGCACTCCTGGGGCACCGAACTCGCGTGCCACAGAACAGGACATTTCCTGAAATCCCACCGAAATCCCAGGGAGTTGGAATCTCGGTTGTTCTTGAAAACAAATTCCCCTAGGTTGGGGTTACTTATGACTTGGTGGCCATGCCGATGCCTGACTCCCAGGCTAAACCCTGAGCCACCCCGCCCCCGCCCCCCCACTGGCGCGTCGCAACCGTCGCAACCGTCGCAACCCTCGCCCGCGTCGCCCGCGTCGCCCGCCTGAGGCGGCATCCACCTCTTCGGACCAGTGGGGCGGGTAGGGCAAACCGTGGGCCTTCCGCGCCACCTGACGCGAACGATGCGCCTCGAAGCGACCGCTCGAAGATCGACCGAGCGCAAGGCGAAGCGCTGGGTTCCGGAGTCGCTTTGGACACGTTGCTGGGGGATGGGGAATCCACACCCAAAACGTGTTTTCTGGGTGTATCTCATATTTAGTCTACCCTAAAGGCCAAAATAAATTTGATGGAGACCTCAGAATCAGCTCAACGGCTTTCATCATGATTTGGTTACCTGCTATAATCCATGGGATCCACGAAATCGTTGCCCGAAAGAAATTCGATAAAAACCAGCAAAAGAGAAGCATACCCTAAACTCTACCCTCCCATCCACAAACATGGAACCTCGCAGAGGGGGGTCCTGGGAGACCATTTTCATGGGTGGGTTCCATATTAGTGGACCGGAGAATGCACGCATATTTTTGTTTGTAGGCGACCCGGAATTGGCCACATACACGCAATCGATTCCCTTGGTTAGCTTAACCAAGGAAGAACTGGGTGCTAGACTCCACAGTTGGGAAAGATTTTTTTTTCCCCTCAGGGAAGCCCAACTCAAAAACCTCAATTTGCATAGGTCCCCTGCAAAAGACATATTCCGGCAGTGATAGATTCGTTAAAAGCTAGGGGAAAATGAAACTGACACATAACTGAAGTCTCCATGACCCTTGGAAAATGGGGTCAGCACCCAAAATGTTGGGGTGATTGACCCATTTTTTAAGGGTCATGGAGACTCCAGGTATTCATTTCATCAAATGGATGGACAAGTTGAAAGAAGGCTTGCAACTCGCAACCGGGGGAGCCTCCAGCACCTCCTGCGGCACTAGCGGCGACACGCAGAGGCTCTCCAGGAACTGGCGGCGAAGGTCCGAAACTTGGATGTTTTTTTTGCAAGTGGCCATGGGTCATAACCTATGCCTCCATTTTGGGGCGGATGAACACCCATGCACCACCTATTTTGATGTTCACCAGGGGTACAGGGTTTTGACCCACAGCCAAGGTGCTTTTTGGTTACCGTGCCTGGGATTTTGGACATGGGAAAAAGCAGTTGGGGAGTACTTGGGTGTTTGGCCAAGTGAGTAAGTTGTCGCAACCCAAGTTACAGCATTCGTAAATAAGTTCCCCTAAACGGAGTTAACCTTGTTAGTGGGGCATCCAGGGACCCCTTGGACCCCAAATTGAAGGGTGTACCTGGAGTCTCCATGACCCTCTAAAAATGGGTCAATGACCAACCATTATTTTGGGCAATGACCAACCATCTTTTAGAAATCAGAAGGAGACTCCAGGCACTTGCAAAGGCGGTCAAATCATACTCTAGGTCCTCCAGTAGAGAGGTTAGAATAAGGGCACCCACTTTTTTCTGCAGCCGACTTTTAGTAGGGGAACCCTCCCCCCCCCACAAAAAAAAGAAACGGTAAAAGTTGGCACCAATTGCTGGGGGACCTAGTCTACTTCGGAGAAAAGTTTCGAGGTTTCGGGCTCGGGATAGGCCTTCGGCCAGCACGAACCTGAGATCGGAAAAAATTAGAAAATATGTTTAGTAGTGAAATCGATTCCCTTTAAAACCAAGAGGGGAAAACAAACAATCGTCTCAACCAAATGGAAGTTTAGGGAGGATGGGGTTGGGTGGGGTGGGGGTAGTTCGGGGGTTTGAGTTGGAAGTTGGAAAGTTGGGGAGTTGGGGGAGTTGGGCAGGCTGCGGGTTGGGGAAATGGGAGGGCTTGGGGGTTGACCCTCGTTTTCAAAGCGGGTTGACGGGGCTCCTGATGGGTCCGGGTGTAAACATGCCAGGGGGAGGGGGGGGGGGGGTTCGGTTCTTAAACTTACCCCTTAAAACTCCAAGCCCTGGGGAAGTTAATATTTTACAGACATATAGCCCATGTTACCCCAAAAAGTTGAAAAGTTGTGTTTTTAAGAGGTAAGTAAAATTGCCCGTATGGAGTGATGTCACAAAGATCCCACTTGACCTGCCTGTCGGGACATGCAAAGCTCAGTGAAAACAGTCGATTAACACATGTAGAAATAACAGCGTAGAAACGGGCTCTGCCATTTTAAAAGGCTGATGCGCATCACAAAGAACCACCCTCTCACTAATATCAAACCTCACGGAAGCTTTCTGGTAGGTTCACTCCAAGATGTCCGAGCTTCTACCTTTCTGCGTCAGTGATTGATGCACGAAAGGCCAATCACCAGGACTCTTTCAACACATGTTCTCTTGAAACATCCCGCCGCGGAAGAAAACTCGCCAAACCCCGTGATTCCCTTTTTTTCCCTGTATAGCAGCGATCCACACTTAAATACCAAAAGGAAAACGGCTGAAATCGTCGGTCTTCCGACAACGCCTACGTTGATAAGCCCCTTTACACGCGCGGCTATGATTCGTGAGAGCAGCAAAAAGCCGCGACTACACCGCCCGTGTGGTCCCACAAACCAGTTTGGGGTTTGGGGAGGGGGGGGAAGTCGAGGTTCCCTTTACTTGCATGTTCAAGCAACTTGGTAAGACAATTTGTAAGCGGGGTGAAAAAGGGGACCAGCCCCAGTTACCCCATATCTAGGGGTTGATTCCCCATTCTTTTCAACCATCGTTCTTTTCGAAAACCAGCTGTTTCCCTGGGTTATTGATGGTTTCCTGAAAATAAGGATCCCTGGAAAGAATGGGGAATGTAGCCCTAGAATAGACCATTGATAAACTACCTACCTGACGTTGGCAATCCGCTATCCCGGCCTGCTGAAAGTCCAAGTGCTTCCTTGGGAAAGCCGACACCAGGGCTCCCTCCCTGATGGGGGAGCAATGATTACTCTAGAAAACGGTTTGGATGCGGCAAATCTGTCCATCCACCTCTGAAAAAAAGCGTACTAAAACACAACTAAAAAAGGACCAACAGGGCGAAGAACTGGCGAAATCCACTCAAAGCGTATCTTTTTACTATCCCGCTGCTTCCAGTTACCACTATAGTAGGTGACCGGGTATTTTTGCCTGTAGGCGTTACATGATGGTTGACTACTACAAATTGCGACATGCATTTCGCACCACGAAATGAAGCCGCGGGAGCCAGTGTTTGTTGGTATTTACAAGGTAATCGATTTATTCCAGGATTTCTTAGTGAACCCCTCTAATTGTGACGCTTGAAATTATCACCCATAGTGTCTTTCATGACTCATGACTATGTCCAAATACCAACCCAGGTCATGGATGTTCTGTATCACCCCTTCCAGGGTTCCCCGTCTATACATGTATTAAGTATAGTTCCCCTTTACACGTCACCCCACGAATAAACAACTCTTGAGCATTGGCACCCTTACTGGGGCGGTTCTGAGCAGGGCGCCAACTACCCGCTTTCCAACCCCGTCATGCAATGGGAATCCCATTGCCATTGATTAATGGGGGCCTGTCCACGTTTAGCAAAATCCCTGAAGTCCTTGACTTCTGCGGGTGACACTCCCCTATAAATAGGGACGGGTTTATGAATCTGGAGCCAACCTTAAGTAGACGGCTTGGGCATTTTTCAAGAAGACTTCCATGCATGTGGGGATAAATAAACAAAAACATGTGAACTGAACATGACAAAATGGACCCAATATTGGGTGACGTCCCCCCCCCCCCCCGGTACGTGGCGATAATTTGCTAAGGATGTTGGACAACTCAAAATTTTGCTGGCTCTCAGCAGGGAAGGAGGGAATGACCCCTATGAACCACCACCTTGTGGCTTCGCTGAAGGGAATCCATGTGTTAATGCCCAAAACCTGAGTTGCTTGCCCCGCTGGGTTGTCTCAAACCTGGGCTGCCCTCAAAAACCCCCTGCTTAAATAGAAGAAATGTTCAGCGGATGGCTGGGAACTTCTAAGTTTTGGTATTCCTCTTAAACTACTTCAAAAACGGGCGTCATCAAAACAAATGACGACACCCACCTACCGAACCGGCCTTGTCCGCGCGTCCCCACGCCCCGGGTTCGCTCACTCTGAGTGGCGGGCGGATGTTTCAGCCCTCTCCATTCGAAGAGCGGCGCAAGGCCCCCACACACGGCCTCGCTCGATTCGACTCGAGTGAGTCGATGGCCAAAACGACACCCTGGCCTGAATGTTGGGTTCAGAAATCAAACCACCACGGTTTACAATGAACCGTAGGGGACAGATTCTACCCCTCCTTTACCTTGCGCCTGAAAGAGGAACATGATTTGACACACCCCTCTTTTGTGCCTTGTGCATCATTCGGAGCTGGGGATGGCAATAGTACCTCCATTTGCTTAAGCCCCCTGGAAAAACATACAAATATTTCCAGTAGTGAAATCGGTTCCCTATAAAACCAACAGGGAGTGCTAAGCAAATGGAAGCACGACTTGAGGTCTCGGACGCAAGCGTTTTGATTTATTGTTTTTTGCGCGAATGGGCGGAATGAGAATGCTGAGCTTATAGCTAAGCTCTACTTGGGCGTTCGATTCGCCAAGATAGTAAGTTGCCACCGGCCCAAGTTAGAGCCCTGTGGAGTTGACCTTGCTATTGGGTTACAACCCAGGTGGCCTTTTCCGCTTACTAAGACTTGGCGAATCGAACATCCAAGTGAAAAATAAGGGCAGAGCATGGGGGAAGATAGGGGACCCCATAAATGCCGATCTTCCTTTTGGTTCCCCTTTCATACCACCCCAAAAAGGGTACCTCAAAAGACACACACACATATCCATGCTCCACCGAGTCGTGTTTGATGCTTTTGAGACCTTTCATTGAAGGGATGTGGCCATCGAGTAAGTAGGTTACAGCCAGGGCAACTGGTGGGTTGGTCCCCTAACCGTGTATAACCTACTTACCTGACGTTGGCAATGACCCACATGTTATGTGTGCTGAAACAAGGTGTCCTCCTGGCTGTCCCCTCCAATGAGGGCCCACAAATGGCGACGGATGTTTTTGGTTGGCCTACAAGCACCATCCAGGAGATCCTTCCACAAGGTTTTGCATAAGGGGCTAGCGAATTACTACCTTTGGAGCTTTGTTAGATCATAACTTGATTTGGTTTTTTACGGTACCCCACAACCCCATTCAAGTGATTTAGCGTGGCTGGTGTGTTTTTGTGTCTGTGTATGTTCCTTCCGAACCATCATTTCCCAGCCCACTGCCAGGCCCCCGGCAGAGTTTAGCTCGTCAGACGACATGGCGAGCGAGCTACATTCGTTCGACGCCGAAAACACCACACAACCCCAAACACTTCAACCCTGAGCTGTTGCCCTCGAACTAACACTGATTTTGATATTGTGACATGTTTGATACAGGGTTCAGTGAACCTTACGAATGTGATTGACATTCAAAAGAGATCCAAGTTCGAGTCAGAAATCTGATGACTCACATGCATGGTAAATACCAGCTCAGAACCCACATGCTGTTGGCGAAGGGCTTTGGGGTGCCGTGAACCACCCAACGCTCGTCCACAGGTACGTCCATTGGAATTTCTCTGCACCTGCTTGCCGGATGAAAGTGACATCCTCAAATAAACACTCCAAATAGGTCAAAAGGCAAACAATTTGGTCCCAGATTTTGTGTGAGCACCCCGCAACTGCGACTACTTTGATGGGCCCAACAGCAAGCCCCGGGTCTCAAAACTAGTCTTGAGCAGCCCTTAGAATGTAAATCGAATGCCCAACACGAACCAATCGCTCACCTTTTGGTGGCGGCCTGGGCTTGCCACTTGAGCCAAAGCGCTCGCTGCCGCGAGAGGACGGACGCATCCAAGCGGATGCCTTAAAACACACCCGTGAAACACAATAGCTGTGTGTGAGAGCGAGTCTTTGAGGGTACCTTTTGAAGGTTGTGCTAAAGGGAAATGAAATCCACCATTTGAGGACTTCCCGCTTCCCAAATTGTGAGACATGGTCGTGGTTCCCTTGATAGGAAATTTGTGGTCTACTTGGGTTTGGCCAAGTTAGCTAGTGATTCGTGACCTAAGCTATAGCCCTGTTATGCGCCCCCTAGGTGGAGTTGACCTTGTTATTACTCTGTTATCTAAAAACCCGGGTGGCTAACCGCATACAACTTGGCCGAGCATCCAAGTAAAGTTCCCAAGTATGAAGAGGTGTTTCTGGAAACGGAGTACCAGCCAACTTGGGCATTGGTTTCCCGGGTTTCTTTCTAAAACAAAACTCCTCGTGAAACAAGGAGACCCGAAACCAGGACCTTTATGATAGGAGGGGTTGCCGTATCCCCAGAGGCTGCTATGACAATACCTGGAGTCTCCATGACCCTTGAAAATGGGGTCATTACCCAAAATGTTGGGGTCATTGACCCATTTTCAAAGGGTCATGGAGACTCCAGGTTGTCAATGATTTTGCATGACCTGGCAAAATCGAGCACGCATCGTGTTTGGAGGCGCGCAACACCCAGTCGAAGCGTGACGACTAAGAGTCTAGATAATCAAATGTTAGACTATTCGACCAACTGCCACTGACATATGCTGAATTTGTCTTCCAGGAAGGGTGGCTGCTCCTGGTATCTCAAAAGAGCGCGCAAATGTGCTCCTTATCCACTAACAGCTCGCCATGGGTCAAATTCCCGTACCCCCCAGTGAACATCCCAATCCCCACTAAAATAGACTAAGTGCACCCACCCCAAAATGGGATACCATTGGTTTTGACAACCACAGCCAGCGGCTTTTTGCAGAGAGAACTTGGGTCGACATGGGGAAAAGGTTGGAGAGCGCCGGTTCGTCCTTCTCCTTTTTGTGTCGAAAGTGCGAGCCGCAGAAATCCCTCCACGAATCTGGAAGAGGCGACCACGCCGGTCGCTTTCCTTGGAGAGGCCAGTGCGCAGCGGCAAGTCGAAAATGACACATGGTTTTAGGGCAACGGCTTTGAAGAAACAAACCAAGTATTGCTTGTTTAAAAAAAGGCGGGGTGAAAAATGTGCATTCCGGAAACCAACATCCAGGAATGGATTCAAAAGGCATGTGAGCAAACTGAGCAGAACCAACATAACCTAAAGAACTAAAAAGTCCATGCCAACTTAGATGTTTAACCAACATCAGGTAAGTAGGTTATAACTGTGGTTTTAAGTTATAACTAGGGTAACTGGTCGGTTGGTGTCCGATCACCGTGGTTATAACCTACTTGCCTGACGTTAGCAAAACGTATCTGAGAGAAGCTGGTGAAATGTTCGCTCCATTTACTTAAGCCCCACGGGGAAAAACAATAAGGCTAAAAAGCTAAGGAGATGGCTGGGAGCAACCAAGTTACTAGGCTGGAATTAGGACCCCAGCAAAAAATATAGTTTTTGCCTCGTTCGTGGAAAACAAATTTGGACCCCAAAAAAGAGCAAAACAACGCAAAAGGGGGGCTAATTCTGGGGTGGGGGTTAAGCCAATGGACGTTTCTATACGTTGATGTTTTTGTAGCCCTCCAGGTCGAACTCATTGGCCGCGAAGGTCAGCTTGAACCTCGGCGACTCAGCTCGAGAATGCGCAGCCGGCAGCCGGCGGCCGGATTTCCGGTTGTCTCGGTTGCGAAATCTGCTCTGCTAAACGTTTTTCTTTTTTTGTTTTTACTTTTAGTGGTTTAATACGGAAAACCCACGAGTTGGCAAAAAGTCGTTCAGTCCTAGCATCCAGGCGAAATGCACCAAAGTTGTGCCCTACTCCCTACAGAAAATACCCTCCAGCTCAGGGTCTTGTTTTTGAGAAACCTGGTTTTAAGTGGTAAATCCCTCGTTTTGCAGTTGAGGGTTGACATGATAGTTTCCCTAAAACAATACTTGGATGTTCAACCAACTTAGTAAGTAGGTTACTACCAGGACCAACCCCACCCACGGCTTTCACCTACTTGCTAAGTTGGTTCATCCAAGAGTCTTGCAACCATGCAGATCCATTTCCTCCAATGGAGAGTCCTTTCTGATGCTGGGCTCTCAAGGGCCCCCAAGGGCGACTAAGAGGGTTTCTAGGACCTCCAGTACGGAGGTTAGAATAAGGGTACCCTTTTTTCTGTAGTCTATTTTAGTAGGGGAACCCTCCCCAAAACGCCCAAAAAAGGGTAAAGGGGCACTACTGGGGGACCTAAGTTTCTTTCGGGTGTCTGTTGTGAGGGGCTCCTCTAGAGAAGAAGCACACTGGCAGAGGCCTCAATCATCAAACCAGCACTGCGGTACATGTTCCGCTTATCCACGTCCGCCCCTCCAGTGGTCTGATTCCCCGCGAAACTTAGGGAATGTCCCCAGTGGGGTTTAGGAGTGGTTCCCCTTTGGTAAGGAAATGATAACGTATTTGTGCAGATTATTTGATTATTGAAATCAAAGTTGAAGGATCATGGATCTGTAAGCCAACTGGACTGCTGTGCTCAACACTGGCTCAAACCAGTGACGAGTGACGTGCGAGTCTGATGCCTTGCCTTTCATTCGGCGGCTTGTACAAGATACCCTCCATCCCAAGTCCCATCATGGAAGCCTACAGCATCGCCTCGTTGACATAAATCGGCAAACTGACAGCTGCCATCGACCTTGCTTTTTTACATCACCGCTGACTTCAAACGGCTTTGACGGCCAAAGGGGATGTGTGAAACGCCAAAATGGCTGTTTCCAAAGAACGTGACAACATGGACTGCCTCAGCTTGAAGCGAGCCAATCATGGGAGCCACCTCCGACCAAAGAATTAACATGTTCCACTGCACCCACCCGCATCGGAAAGGACTCTCCATTCAGGGAAAGGGCTCTTTTGGACCTTCAAAAGGCAAATAATTTAGGTCCCAAGACTCCGAATTGGCGAAACAAGAACATACTGTGCCCAACCTACCCCAAAAAATCCTCCACCACCCCAAAGAAACCCAAGCTTGGACGTAGCCATAAAGAAATACAGAGGGGGAATCGAATCCCTCACTATGCCCTCCAAGTAGCGCTTCCTTCATCTGCTTGAGCCTCTTGGGGAGGACCTGGCGTTGAGCGACCCGGCGACTGAACTAGAGGGATCTCCATTGCAAGGCTTCGGACCGAAGGGCCTGCTCCATTCCGAGGTGCCCAGATTTGGACAGTCATGGGCCAGAAGAGCCGAAGGGGCCTACTGAACGGGTCAGTACACTCCATGACTCTACAGGCGAAAACAAATTATTCCTTTGCCTGAAGAACCGAAAGGAGGCGGAGGGGTAAGTACGCTCCGTGATCTATAAGGCGAAAAAGATAAAATTTATTCTTCGGTTAGGGACCCGTCCCCTGAAACGGGGTGTACCCGCTTTCCGCTTTCCAAGTGCAGGTGGAAGACTACCATCTTAAGACCTCCAACCTCGCTTTGGACAAAAACCTGCAACCGCCCGCCGCCCGCCTTCTCTTTCCACAAGGACTCAAAAGGAAACCCCTTTTCAGGGCTCCCAAGATGTTTCCTTCTGAAACATCATCCACAAGAAAACTCATAAAGCAAATCAACCGAAAGGTGAGTCACAATCAAAACCCGGTACTAAAATGGTCTACCCAGAACCATGTAAAGAATTAAGCAGGCGGATATCCGCAATTATTGCTGGCTGGGACTGCCCCTTATTAACCTTCATCTACCCGAATCGGTTTTGATTGTGGCTCAGGTGGATGTTGAAAACCTCCCTTGGGAAAGTGCTCTACATGGCCCGCGGCTTTTTGGCCAAAAGTGGCAAGCTGCAAGCTCCACCAGTTTCGGTGACCGAATCTGCCGGGGCACCAAGATCAAACTAGGAATCGGACGCCCCAAGAATGGGTTGACCTTAAAACCATTGCAACACGGGATCCGACACGACTGACCCAAGTGGATACCCCTGATCTTCCCTAGGAATATCCGATACTCTCCCAGCCTCCCAAGGTGGTCAGCCTTAAGTGTCTCAGATAGGAAAAGCGGCACTGGTCAAGCCAAACAAAAAACAGTGGAATCCCAGCTGTCTATTCATAACCCAACAAAAAACAGGTTATTCTTTTGCCTCCCCTTGAAAACCAACCACCAAGTGGTTCCAGAAAATAAGACGAGCGACCCATCCATGTTCAACCCAAGTGACCTAAAAGGACCCAAAAGGCCCTTCCAGGAGCTGTTTGGTACCTGCAGCAGGCCGTCCTGGGTTGGCAGTTGGGATTCAGCCACCACTTTCGAGGTGCCCTATACACAGCTCTAGCTGTAGCCGTGGAGAGAGGCGAAGGCTACCCTTTTCAGGTTAACCTGTTTTGAAACCGATGTCCAAGTCAGTTTCACGAGCCATGAGGTATTTGTCAACATAAGGTTTGGGACCCCAGAAATACCTGGGATTCAGCTGCCATTAAAAAAGAATGGTTGGGCTCATCCGCCACCCTTGTTCTGCTGCAAGTCCTCAAATACCCTGCAACTTGAAAACTGTTGGTGGGTTAAATTAGGATCCCCCGAAGGAACCGGATGCCTGGGAACCACCCAGCGATGAGGCTCATCTTTGGGGCCTTGGGACATCGGGCTCAGGATGTGTGATTCGTGAAGCCTTGGGAAGTGGAGAAGGCCACCTGAACAAAATGACCCGGTAGCAAGGTCAACTCCACTGAGGGATTTGTAACCGGGTTACATAGGTTACCAACTCCGTACCCTCCCACCAACTAGCACGCAAACTGACAGAGGGGTCCTGTTTTGGACCAATTTCGTTTTAAAGTGACCATTTCCTTGTCAGGTTCCATGTGTTAATTGGGAGGGTAACTTTGCGAATCCCCCGAATCGAGCACCCCCCCCCTCAAAAACAACCTTATCGAGATGTCTCACAATATGGTACTTGTGACCATGGCACGTATTATGGGTATGTGTCAAATGGGGAACATGATGTCCATTCATTCTAGGTCCTCCAGTAAGAGAGGTTAGAACAAGGGTACCATCTTTTTTATGTAGTCTATTTTAGTGGGGGAACCCTCCCTCGCCCAAAAAAGAAACGGGTGAGAGGTCGGGCACCTAGCTGGACCTGGCATTTCCCTTTCGCACCACCTGCTCAAAAACTCCAACGAGAAAACGCTTCGTCGCGACGGCCTTGTCCACCTGCGGCAGGCCATCCTGCTTGGGGGCGTGGCCCCAGTAGCGCTGATGAAAGTCGCCCCAATAGTCCTGGCGTCGAGGCAATTTGCTTGGATGCTGACATGATACCCTTAAGGAAGCTGGTATATTTATCTCAAGGATTCCCACAGAAAGTGGCAACCTACTGTCGATGGACAAATTCCTGCACCACTTTGAAACCATGGGATTCCATTGTTGGATGGTATTTACAGCGGAATTAAATTTTCCAGGGTTTCTGACGGTGGTGCGAAATGGATTTCGTAACTATTCATAGCAAGAACCCGCTCGTCAAAACGGCAAGAAGGATACAGGCGGAGTAGGGGGTACTTGGATGCTGTTGCCGTTGCGTCAGGTAAGTAGGTCAGAACCATGGTTATAACGGGACCAACCCCAAACCAACCTGACGTTGGCTGACCCCTTCTTTTTTTTTTTGGGGGGGGGGGGGTGCCAGTGTGTATTTGTGTGGGTATACCCGAAAAGGGTTGGCTTCAAAGGGAAACCAAAAGAAAACACATGTTGGGTTCCTCTTTGAGACAGACCCACCAAAATCCCCTTTTCTCTGGATGGGAAGGGGCCAAAAAGGACAACCAGCAGGCATTGGCCCCAAATTGGTTCAAACAACCACTAACCAATGTGGGTTCACATAGAGAGCGTCCCCTCATGGGGGGTGGGTTTGTGAAACCCATAACATGCACCAATTTCAACCCCACAAGCGAGAATTACGCAATAGTATGCGGGCAATGCCCTTTTAGTGCTGTTGACCTGGGATGTTGCGCCCAAATTGCTTGTCTGTTTCGAGCAGGCTTTATCAAACAACTGGACCTTGAAAATTGGCCCATAATTGCTTGTCAG